GCAATACTTTCTTTTTAAGGGTAGTTTAATGTAAAACTAAGAATATATAAATAGCACAGAGTCCCGAGTATGCCAATGAAACCAGGGGTTCCACTGTGAGCAGTGTGAGCAGCATTGTGAGGAAACTCAAAAACAAGAGACCTGTATGACAAATGAGAGGAATTATTACAGGTCTTACTCCTCAAATGACTGCTTGGAAGCTAGATTTTAATTGCTCTGACCAAAATGATCATTCTTGTAGCTTTGACTATTTTCCAAGTGGAATAAATAGTATATTTTCCCCCAAACCTGTGACAGAATCTCCATGTGGAGGATGAAAAATTATATTGACAGATTAATTCATAGTGGTGTATCCCTTTCTCCCATTTTGCTTTGCTAAGAAATCAATGGCATTTGTATTAGCATACAAAACCAACTTGGCCTGCATTGAAGAAAATAGGCAAAATTGAGATTTTCAAGATCTGAAGCTACCCATAAAATACTGTGATACAATAATTTATGATGGAAGGGACTTACGAAAGTCATCTGGTCCAGGCCCCTTTTCACGCTTATTTTAAAGCTACATTAGGTTGCTCAGGGTCAATCAACAAGCACAGTAGTTACAGACACTCACTGCTTGAATAACAGTAAAAACTGAGTACCTCAGTGCTTGGTTCAAACTAAGTACAAGAAAGAAGGATGAATGGAATTTAACTATTTCACTCATTTAACGAGTGAAGGACTGATGGAAGAATGAAAATGGCAAAAACTGCAGAAAAAATGGTGTGTGTTTAAGTGTGATATTGAAAAGAGGGCTGAGTGAAATGTGACCTGGATCCACTCTAAAATTCTTAGAAATAGTGTAAAGGTAACAAAAGCTAACTAAATCACAAAGTTGTAACCAACAGCTGTGAATAGGTGATTATTCGATCACAGAAGTGCATCTGTAACAAAAATGCTTAAGCAGAAGATGTTCATAAAGCAAGAAAAAGTTTGCCTTGTCAGGCACCAGTTATATCCAATATATATTCATCCTATAAGGAAAAATCCTTTAATAACTGTGATATTGTCAACTGTCAGGCATGCCTTACTATGAGAGAATGACATGGATACAGCGTGCCTTTTCTTGGGGAAAAAAATATAGGGATCTCAGCACTCCAACAAAATCAAGCCATACAGGAGACTTTAGAACCTTAAAAAAAAAACCCCAAAACCCCCCCAAAAAAACCCAAACCCCAAACCCAGCAACAACAACATAAAAAACCCCAACAAAAATCCAAGCAGTTTTGTTGCAAAGCAGCTGACTGTACCCCACTTTTAAAGGGTGTATGTCCTTACAGGCAGATTTTCAGATCACTACATTCTTCTCACAGTCTTGACGTCTTGCAGTCAAGTCACCAAGAACTTGATGTTAGCATATATATTGTAAGACAATCAAGATGTATGACCAACTGCCATAATATATACAACCTTATTCATTTAAAAGTAATCCTCACAACTTGTATGCCTATGAAAGTGCATTTTCATTTCCATTTTAGCATGGTATGTGTCTGTTAAAACCAAATACTTGATAACTGTACTGAATGTCAGAACTCCTTTTTCAGCCAGTACATTTTTAATGGATCTAGTCACCTTTCAGACAGCTAAATGGACACACAGAATACTACATGATAATCCTCTGATTCAGAGAAATTTGCATTCATTTAATGTTTATGTTTGTACTTACTGACAGCTGCAGTCATACATGCAATTTTTCATGAGAGACTGTAAGAGACTCTCATTGCTGCCTCCCTAACACTGTCCAAATTTCTTAAATGGAAATCTGAGTCTGGCCATTAGCTTCTAATCTTTCAAAGCTGCCTTGTCAAATACCAGCTCAAATGAATATGAATGTCTGGCTTACTGCAGAGCTTCCCAGAGGTGTAGTAGTTATGACCAATTTGAAAGAAGAATGTAAAAAGAAAAGTAAATAAACAGCATGATCTAGCAGGCACAGATGCACCGTTTTCCCCTGCTGCTCCTTCTGCCCTCTTCACACTGAGGAGTTGTTTGTCTTGCTTCTCTCTTGCTGGATGTGGGTAATTAACTCTTTAGCTTTTGGGCAAGGCTAACATATCCTACCTGATTTACCTCAACAGGATGATAGATGGTGGGCAAACTGACTGCAGACTATCTTTGTCATGTACTGCTTCTCAAGAGCATACATCCAGACAATTGCAGACTTGAACTATCTTGCTGCTATAGGATCTTTCTGGTTTGAATTTACTCATGGAGACTGAGACACCACATTTACAAACATTTTTATTCATTTTGAAAAGTCTCTCCTTAGGTCTGTCTGTTTTAGATCCACCCTGAACTGTCTTCAGTTCTGGATGCACTGAACCTTCGGAGCAGCATAGGTATTCACACAGCCTCACTGATGGCTTCAGGGAAGCTGGAAAAAATAGACTCAAATTCAGCTTGTCAGCTTCTCCAAAGTGCTTGAAGGCCAAGAAGCTCTTCCCCAGTTAATCCACCTTCTGCTATTGAGCATCTCTCCATATACTTGCTGGTAGTTTTGCAAATGTTGATCATTTTCCGAAAGGGATTTGTTTTCTCTTCTAAGTTTCTTTTCCAGCTCCACCTCTTCTACAGCTCTTTCCTTTAAAGCTAGTTATGGAAAAGTCTGCTTCCCAATCTTAATCTCCTACTTGATGAATTTGTGGACATTTCAGGGACCCGATTAATTTACCAAGCTGTGTTTTATTGTCTTTAATCCTATTTTCAGTCAATTTTGTCCACAGGTCAATTTTCTTCATTTATTGAGCAATTGGCTCCTGACAGATGGGAGGTTTTATTATGACATTCCTTGCAACACTGATACTGTCTATATGATGCCAGCTGTCTTCATAACTTTCTTATTTTACCCTAATTTAGTGTGCCAACAAACCTGGATTCAGATGGTAACAGCAACCTTTTCCTGTGCTGCTGCCAAAGCCCTCAAGGTGTCCTCAAAATTAGGAAACATTTTGAAATGGGAGTTTAATTGAATAGAGCCACTCAGAGAAGGATTTTATGTCCTTTAAATCCTGTGAGACTAAAAATGACATGCACCACTGCAATTTCTGTCAAAGGTTTTCGATTTCAGGAATAGTCTCCTGAATCCAGACAGACTTTCACTGTCTTTCGCTTTTGAGGCTGGGGATGAGAGGAATAACAGCTTTTACATCTTAAGTCAGTCTCCACCAGTCAGTAGCGATCTCATATCTAGCTTCCAAAATCCTTGCTGGAAAAGACAGCTTTTCTCCACGGTTTCCACTGTCTTTGGTCTGGATTTGTTTACCAAAACCCAACAGTCCTCTCATACAATTGATGGAATTGTTACTAATTAAAGTTAAAAACCATCTCGTCTGCTTTCTCCTTCCTTATGACCCTTCCAATGGTTCTAGCTAGGTCTGCCTGACTTCATCTTGCCTCCTTTCTGAACAAACAGCAATCTAAATATGCTTTTCTCTCAATATCAAAGCCTTTTCTTTGCTTCCATGTTTTTTTCTACACTTAACTAAATTCATCCCATTTCTGTTACCATATATGACACAGAGTTTGAGTGTGTAATGGAAGAGAATTTCACGAATAACACACTGTTCTTACCAAGGATGCAACTGTATTATTTTAAAGCATTATTCAGAACTAAAATGAAAACACAAACAGTACAGCCTGGCGTGTTTAGGAGCACCTACAGCATTTTGTGTTCACCACTCCAGAATTACATTGCTTTACAATGTATTTCTTCTAAGCTTTCTCAACTGATTGAGGAAACTGATGCTTGGTCTCCTATTGTATTGCCAACATATCCTAGTTGCCTCTTAACAAGACAGAACAACCTAGCTTCAGTTCACCCTTTCACAAGACACATGCCTTTAAGAAGTAAGACAGATATTCTTGATGCAATACACAGAAATGCTAGCCCTTCTTACGAGTTTTGGAGTCTGTCAAAGAAACTGGTTTTGGGTATCACAGTTTCCTCTAGCCTTTCTTTTCCAATTCTCTTCTCTCCCCCTTCACTTTCTGCAACAGTTCCTCATTCCTCAAATACATGATCTAAGAAACAACACCCCAGATTAAACCACACATTGCCTAAAAATAGAGGTTCAAGTTGGGTTCTATGCAGAATTTTGTGCTGTGCTTAAACTGCTACCAATTTAAGGACAGTAATAGAAAAGGGCAATTTGTCTGAAACAGAAAAATCCAGTCACCAAAGTCAAATGGATGATTTTACAGGAAGAAAAACATGTCATTCATTAGCTTTCTGATGCAATCAATAAGCAACACAAAGAACAAGTGGTTTCATCTCATCTCTGAATTTTAACACAAAACCAGAAGAATAATTTTTTAAGAGATACTTTTTTTAATAATATTTATTTGGGCTGCATGAGATGCACGCCATCAATTGGAATTCACTGACCCATTTTTAACTTTCCAGGTGTTTCAAGACACTGAAAGAAAACTACATACACAGCACAAATGCATCTTTCATTTCCATGGGCCATGCATAGTCAAACTTTGTACAGTGCCCAACTTGCACTGCAGTATTTGAATGAACATCTCTAAATAAGCAAGCAGGCCAAGTCAGTTGCGCAAAGTATCCTGGAAGGAGACAGCTGTGCATATAAATCTTTATCTTACATATGAGGTTAATATTTCTTGTGTTCATCTTGTTGCTTTATCTGCCAAATTCAAGAGATATGCTGATAAAAAGTAGTACCTTTTCTTACATTGGACTGTTAATCCAATGTCTTTCTGATAGAACAGGTCACTTCTGCAGTTTGTCCAGACCATACTCTTGGAAATTTCCTAAAGATTCCTCAAATGCCTATTATCTGTTAATTTACAAGAAAGCAAACCAAAGCATACCTTTTTCCTATCAGAACAGGAGCAAAACCGATTTGGTCTCATATACATATGGATTTTCAATTGAATTGGCAGGCAGCTTACAGTCAAAAGTACTTGGATTAACTTAGAAAATGATTTTATTTAGTTACCTTGTGTCAGGTTTTAGGTTTTCCACAGTAGAATGAGTTTGATTTGTAGTGATAATCGATTTCTCCTTTTCACCATCAGTTACTCCATTTTCAGTTGACACAACCTCATACTCTGGAAAAATATAGTACAGAAAAATGTGCTTAAATAACAGCTTACTTGAGCTTCTTCACTGTTCTCTCTTTTCTCATCTGATTTCCACTCCTACTGTCTACTAGGCTGTAAAGACAACTTGGGTGAATCAGTCTGGACATTACTATGCTAAAATTGTTAAGAAAAGGAAAGATCCAATTCCAGATTTCCAATTGCCTAGCCCCTCATACTTCCTTATAATTCAGTTATGGGATGGAAGGTATTCAACCTCTCACCTATGTCCAAAGGTACAGTAGTGACAAAATTCCAAACACAAATAAGTATCCTGCAGTTAGAATAAAAAAATTATCAAAAATAAAAGTAGAGTTTCTAAATGCTTAAAACTCGATTAAGACCTAATCCAGACCTAATATTTTTAAGATTTCCAAAGGAAACTGCTCAACTAACTTGGACTGTGCACTTAGAGAATCTGCCAGTTTAGAATGAAATAATTTTGCATAAATATATTTCTGTATTTATATGATTTATAGAGTCTAACTACTTTCTTTTCATCTCACTGGGATGTATCATCAAGCACAAGCCATGCGCTAAACAGGGAATTAACAACAGATGTTTGGGAAGAAGGTACCCCTTCAGTCATAGCACTGCTGAGACACAGTCTCTAGCAGCAACCTTTGTCCTATACACCTTTTCCTATATAGCCTCCAAGGGCTGAGTAAACCATGGGAAAAAAAACACCAAACTATGCAAAAGCCTTTATTTTCCCTAGTTAAGCCTCATTTGAGAAATTATGTTTACTAGGAAGCATGGAAGGAAATGTGGATATCCACTGCCTTAGGTGCATCCAGATAGAGTATGAGTATTAGAATTCACAGGAATTCTATTTTTCTGTGTTCTGCCTGCCCCAGGTCAATATGTCATGTGAATTTTTTATGAATTATTTAATTCATTTAAATGAATAAATGTGAATGGACATGCAAACACGTGCATGCACAGACACAAAGCACTGTTGAGCACATCTAGTACCTGCATGTTACTCAGTGCGTAAGTCTTGGTGCACAAGTCAACAAACTTTTCTGTGGCAACACAAAGTAGCAGAGAACCAGCAAAATAGTTTTTGCTCCTGACCTTTGCAGCCTTTATGAAAATAAGGATGTAAGCTTGATTACTGTTTGTTTTTAGGAATACCAACACAATGAAACCCCTTGAACATAGCTGAAAGTCAAGCATAGTAACCAGCAAATGACATTTTGTTTCCACAATTCTATCTGAAACAGTGCATTAAAAAAAATAAAATAAATAAATGTGATGCCTAAATCAAATAATTGAAAAAACATGTATAAACTACAAAAATAAAAAGAGATGACAGAAAACTTGATTTAAGTCTGTCTAACCAAGTAATGTCATACTGGTGCCAATATGAAGTAATCACTGTTTTCAGAAAATGGGATTCAATGCCTTCTCTTGAATTCACAAAATGTCCTTGGATGAGTCATTAACAGAGCAATTTTTTGAAGTTAAAAAGGAGACAAGCTCGGTAAGTTTATTTGTAAAACACAGAGTTCAAACATTTGTATTACTTATTGAAGTTAAAAAGAATGAAGGTGGTATTGCAGGAAAGCTGTTACATCTAGATAGGAAGATAGTTAGATTGAAAAATAAAGTTTCTCTCATTGAAGGAAAATGAATATTAGTCACATATTCTGCAGAAGATTTTAATCTTTCCTGGTATGGGGAAGGCTATGCCACATGTCTCAGTTATCACAGAATACTCTTACAGAAGAGAGGAAACTTCATGGAAAGTTAACTTTTACAAATGCTGATTACAAATGAACAGAAGATTCATATTGCATATGAACTGTGCATATTGCTTGCTCTATATTTCACAACACGTATTAGAACAGAAAATGAATAGTATCAGAAGGCAATTAGGTTTTGCTCTCATCATTAGAGATGTGCGCTGACAGTTTTACCAGCTATAGCAGAAATGTTTTTATATTTTTGCAATACAAATGGGTGTGTTGCGGTGGGTTCATTAACATGCCCAAGAAAAATGGCAGGTCTACTTCCAAGAAAACATGCAGACTAAATGGTGTTATCTAATCTAATCGAGCTAACGGCTGGTCTGTGGAGGAGACAACAGTAGCAAAAAGGCTTTTACTTGAACGAAAAGAAGCATTGCAGAGCTGCCTGGAAAACGAAGTGTTCACAGAAAGCCTTTACTCAGCCTAATTTTGAGGTCAGCAATGAGCTCAAAATTCCTTTTCTTCCAGGATGAAGCACATTGTGGAAGACAAGCCAAGTAATCAATCTGTTATATTGTTGGTACTTTTTAGTTGCCTACAGTACCTTGTTATTCCCCTTTTAATCCACCAGAAATGCTAAGTTTCTTCCTCTTTCCCAGAAGTAAAAAAATGCAAGTTAATTTCTGTGTTGAGTGTCCTTTTGGTTTTGCGTTTACTACTTTTCAAAAAGAAAGAATAGAGGCTAAACCTAGTAATTATTTCTAGAAAGTCAAGGAAGGACTAATTTGGGGAAGAGAGTGGCCTTGCTTGTGACAGTCACCTAATTATATCCCTTGAGACACGGGGGAGCACAAAATTACATAATGAAATATATAAAACTTTAGAATCAGTTTTAAGTAGTGTTAAGTTTGATGGCTTTGTAACAGTAGCAATGGAAAATTACTGAGGTGCATGATACACAGAAAAAAAACCCAACAGTAGAGTACAGCTAGAGAACATACTGAGAATTCTTGTACAAGATAAAGCATTATAGTTGACATAGTTTTAAGAAAAACAGTCGAGAAGAACAGGACACAGGGATAAGGAGTATCTGGGAATGGCAGGTGTCCAGGATGGGCTGCAGTTAAACTAACTGATAAGAGGAGGACAGGAGGATTATTATATCTGTGGTGCTAATGAACCAATTAAGCTGGTAGAAGCATCTACGGCGCGTGCTCCAAAGGCTGCCAGAAGCGATGAAGATTGTTGGAAGAAGTAATTGACCCCCAGAGACCACCACCACAATTCTGTACGCATGCGGGAAACTTTCTGGAAAATTATGTAATCCATATGTAGCCTCATGAATATGTATGTATGCCCAGTGACTATATAAGGGCGGCTTGTGTAGCAATACGGAGACACACGTTAGGAGGAGCTATCCCCCGTGTCTCCTGGCACCCAAATAAAGAATACCTGCTTGTCAGCTTGAAAACTTTGTTGGCAAGTTTGTTCCTGGAGTTTTCTCCGAATCACCCCGCACTGAAATCTCTCATGACATGCATATACAACATCTGAAAAAATCCCACTTAAATGATAAAGTGAATGGCTAAGATCAAGTCTTAGTCCTCACAGTCCTGAGTCTTACCTGTTCTACTCCCCTGTAAAGCAACACAGCCAAATCCACTTGGTCATGGCTGTGATAAGCCAGTGATTTTGCAAATCAAAGTTCTATGTCCAGCATAAAAAAAAAAAAAAAAAAAAAGCCTGTTTTCCTAACAGACCAGAAGAACCATAATTTTCAGTTGTTAATTTGGTAAACTTGTGTTGAGACATAGAAGATGACAGAAAAACTATGAATGGTCATCTTGCATGCTTACCTGTCTATGTACTGATTCCTGCATGACTCACAAGGGTTTATTCTCAATACAAAACATTTCTTTGGAAATGAAAAAAACAGATTATTTTAACATAGAGAACTTGGTGACCCTATGGTGAGTACTGCAAGTATTACACTGGCAGAGTTCTACTGTCTTACTAGATGGATGTAAGGTTTCATTGTGTCTGGCCCACTGATCAACAATATCCTCAAGTCAAGAAAGATGTGTGTCTACATGATGTGCATGCATTTATGTGATAAAGACTACTGTCACATTCCTAGAACTTCTTGACTAGATCTTACCAGATTCTGTACACAGAGAAGCCAGAGAAGATACTATAGCATCAGGACAGTCATACTACTTAAATATCTTATTGTGCCATCACTGACACCAATGATACAGTTGTGAAAATCTTGCTTTAATCTAGTAGCACTGTCTTACCCACACTGGAGTTTACAGTAGCACAAAATAGAGGCACTGGGACTCCCTTGGGATTAAAATATCTTTTAAATGGTATAAAACCACTGTGAAAGCATAAATAAGCTGGAAATACTGTATTCTGATACAATGGAGGAAAGAAATAAAACCAACCAGTAACAGTGTCATTGTCTGGTTTCTCCCAGTCCAATATGACGAAAGTTGGACAGCCCTCAACAGTCACCACTGTGAGGTTTGTTGGAGGATTTTGCGGAGGACGAGTAGGTTCTTCCTTGCTGTTAGCTTCCTCTTGTGGAAAATGTTCAAGAGAGCTTGTGATTGAGCAAGGCACATCATCATCTTTCTTCATGTACTTGACATGGGGGGCTAAGAGCAACAGGAAAGAGTTGTTATTCAATACAAGGTGTTTTTACAAAATGCCAATGCCACTTTTCACTTCTGGCACAACTTCCATCTTGTGGTATAGATTTTTACTTGGTGCTCCAAGTCAAACATAAATGTTTAAGAATGAAAATCAAATATTCAATATTAAGCTGCTTGTTGGTTTTATTATTCTTGCTATACCTGGAATGTGCCCTTCACCCCCTTCTCATTGACACCACTGATGAATTACCACTCTGAAGTGATTAGTGGCTGATATGCACTGTTTGAAAGAATTAACTTCTGTCATAAAATGAGATAATCAATTATTAATATTCTCTAGTAAAATGACACTACAATTCCATTTGCAGCTTTTGAGTGCTATGCTAATACAAAGATGTAAAGCCCATCATCACTTTGTTTCACCAGAAACACTAACAAGTATAGTCCAGAGTCATCCCATCATTAAACCTGCAGTTATTAAAGTGACTGTCAAAATCTTAAACATTTTCTGTGGTACAGGACCAAAGCTTGAAACAAACTTTGAGGGAAACCTTGCTCTCAGCATCAAATATAGGAAGACTACTGAAGACAAACACATTAGTTCTAAAATTAGAACTTCTACTGTAAACAATATGCTGTTGGAAGAAAGATAGTCTTCAGAAATGCAGTATCTTTTACGAGACAAAAGAAAAAAACAAAAAAACAAAACCCTGAAAAATCTTTTAGTACAAAAGCACTTCTTCCTGTTATCTCACCTTGCTAAACTCTCTAGGTTACTACAACAGCAATAACTTTATCATCTAGTCTACTATATGTTATCGTTTCAGACTATCTGAATATGCACAGCCTGGAATGAGAGGTGAGGTATATATGGTGAGTAGACATCTATTACAGTAAGTTGCACTGGGATTGCTTGCAAGTCCACAGGATGACTTCTGTTTGGTTTGGTGGAATGTGAACAGAGTGCAGTGGTACTACTGCTAGTGTACAGGAAGAGCCACAATGTTTATGGGCAAGACTGCAAAGTAGGAGGTGGTAGCAGAGAAGAAAGCAGAAGTAAAATTTAGTCAAGAATATGCTGACGGTCTGCACTACAGCCCTTTCGCCTGACACTAAAGTGAAAGGGAATCAAATGGTGTTTTGGCCTTTAGATAACCAAACAAGCTAATTTTGATGCAAGATAAGTCAGCCTTCATATATTCCCCCAAATAAAAATACCATATGCATTAAAATCCTACCTTGGTACCTTGGTTTGCCTGAAGAATCTGTTTCTGATGTAGGATTTGAGCTGAAGACAGTTGCATCAACTGTGGGAAACATAGTTATAATTTCATTTGCAATAAATAATACTTTTCAGTGTTAGAATTGTATCATTTCACAGTTCATTTGGCATTTTACATCATGGTAAAGCTATTCCATAGTAGACCTTTGATGCCAGATCTGTCTTTTCCTTTTGAGGACTCCATTTTGGCTGTGATGCCAGGTAAACACCATACTTACCTGCTAGTATAAATATAGCCATAACCAACCACAGACTTAATGACTGCTGCTGGATTCAGTTTATGCAGTACATGAAAAATACTCTTGACCTTTTAAAAAGGATCTTTTTGTACTGTAGTAGCTGTTCAGCTGGAAGCTTTTTTCATGTTCACAGATTATATAGCACTGTTACATTGGCAAATGAATTTCTCCAAAAATAGCAATGAGGAAATCACAAATTCTGTCTTCAGAGTGTACAACTTCTACAAAATTTGAAGGAAACTGAAGGCAAATACACTGGTGAACAGAAATGTGCTAAAGCAGTCAGGATTCACGATACCAGTATTCTATTAAGTAGCCACTATACTGAACATTACATGTATATATAAATATATATATATAATGAACAACCCAAACATTACAATGGACTTCAACAGACAAATCACAACATGTTCACAAGCATTTCTTCATAAATCAATGTCCTGGGTTCAGCAGTAGCAGTCATGTTTCTCCTTCTTGGTAGCTGGTGCAGTGCTGTGTTTTGACTTCCAGCCTGGGAACAGTGCTGGTGATACCAATGTTTTCGGTTGTTGCTAAGTGATGTTTACCCTGACCAAGTACTTTGTGAGGCTCATGCTCTGCCAGGGAGGAAGGGAAGCCAGGAAGAAGCAGAGACAGGACACCTGACCCAGACTAGCCAAAGAGGTATTCCATACCACAGCACATCATGCCCGGGGTGAGGGTGTGTGTGTGTGTGTGTAACTGGGAGTTACCCGGAAGGACAAGGGCTTCTGGGTGGGACTCGTTTCCTGGCCGGTGGTTTTGTATTCTCTTCCCTTGTTATTTTCTCTTATCATTGTTGTCATTTGGTGTTAGCTTTGGTGATTGTTCTTATACATTGGTTGCTGGACTGTTCTTGTCTCACTGGGAGTGAGTGGACAAGCTGTCTGGCTAGGGTTTAAACCATGACAATCTAGTACCCAGCTTGCTTTACTGAGCACTAAGGTTCACAGTAAGTTCATGATAATTATAAGGAGACAAGAATTTCTGTATTACTATAAATCCAGGAAAACTAGAAACAGCATAATTCATGACAGTACGCCTAGAGCTGCATCTCTTAGCTCAAAAATTTTAAGCATACCGTCCATCAAACCCATTCCTGTATGACACTTTGAGGAGATCTGGTCGAAACTTGTGAAGTTGAAAATTTATGAAGAGCGAATTAACAACTAACCACTATGTTTACTCCATCACATATTTTTTCTTCTTAAATGGTGGCAGTTTGATCAGATGTGGAGCGCTATCAGTCACTGTTGAATAACAATTTGAACTTATGATCTCTGCAAAAAGAAATATCTAGGAAAAGAAGTGCCTTCTCTATTCACTTCACAGGTTTAAAGTAGCTACTGAATGGTATCGAAAGCTTACTAAACACAAATTGATTTCTACGAAGATGGAAGGATCACCATGCTCTCATTTACCAAGATGTGTATCAGAAGACAGCCAGGTGAACTCAGTTAAGTTAGGAAAGTTGCAAAGTGGCATAAAGAAAATGAAATTCAACCCAGACAGAACACATTAAATATACAATGCATAAATACGGTTTAGGGAAAGGAAGTAAAGGAAAACATGAAAACCTTTACATAAATGAAAAAAAAAAAAAAAGAAGAAAAAATAAAAGAAACCAGAACTGTCTTAATATGCTTACCATAATAGTCTGGGGTTGCAAAAGCTGTTGGTATCTTATATGACGTTCCTATCCTCACAGGTGTTGTTGGTCCAGCGGGTTTAGCTATAGTGACAGAAAGAGGAACTTGTGGCAACTAGATATCTTAAGGTCCTTTCCAGCCCTAACCATCCTATGATTCTATGGTAAAGGATGAATTGATTGTTTTCAAAATAGCTGTAAAAGACAAGAACTACATTCATAAAACATGCACATACCCTCAGATAACCATTGCATGACTGTGAAATCATAATCATAATGTTGTTGCCTTCCCTGCATATATAAGACAGAAGAATGTGGTAACTGAAGTCAGAACTCTGGTGAACCAAGTCTAAACCAACAAAAATCCCTATTACCCATTAATTTCTTTCAAAGTGAAAATTTATTAAAATTCTCATAATAAAGATTCTCTCCTAATTTCCTTATTAAAGACTAAATTTATTAGGATTCTCACTAGAGTCCAGTTTCACAAAGGTTCTGGAACTCTCTTGTTTCCTTTTTTCCATCCAGAAGGCTTTTAATGTTGGCATAGAAACCTGCCCATAATACTCGCCCACTGCTTTAGTAAGAAAGATACAAATAAGGAATTAATCACAGTGTTAATGAGAAAAAGAAACAAGACGGAATTATGAAAGGGAAAATCCAAGAACATTGAGGTAAATTTTTCCTGTCAGCATTGTGGAACAATGTCTCCAGGGAACCGGAAGAAACTCAATTATGATAATTAAAACTAAGCTGGATAAAATACTAGTGAACGCAGGGAGAAAGGGAAACCTGCCACTAGCCCCACAGGGAAGAACCAGATCATCTAACCAGAATATTCCATCTTGAATGCCTAGGAAGGTATAATACCACATAACCTGACCCCTAGTATATGGAAAAGGTGAAATTTCAAAACACTGGTGAATTAATTTGACACTTAATGTTGAAAATTAGCATATACCCTATTAAAAGCAAAGTAAAATGTATCAAGTCAACATTATTTTTAATGCTACAGCTTAGGACTGATAGTATCTTATGTTCTGTTGTAACAATATCTTATGTTCTATTACTAAGGAAACATCATTGAACAACAGCAAGTATAGACATAACGTTTCAATCTTGGCTCTGCTGTTGAGTAAATATACAGCTTGTTTCATCCAGATTGAGGATTCTTGCTTCTAATCTGCTGCAAAAAAAAATATTAAGGAATTATTTAGGCCTTTAGTGCCTTAATAGCATACAAGAACCCAAATGAAACAAACCAAAAAAAGCCAACAAGAAATACAGCAGAATTGAGACCTTTATATTACCAGTGAACTACAGAGAGAAATATGAAGAGGGAAGCATTTCTTATGTTGCCAAGCATAATGAGATAGTAGTTTCTGACTACCTGAAATAATGTGTGCCTAAGAATTCTTATCTAGAATCCACAGACAAAACATACATTAGGATACTGAGTATTGGCTTCAGGATAAAATTAAAATAAAATAGGAAATGTCAAGGTTTCAGTGTGCTTTTATACTGATACCAAGAGTAGGAATATTGTAGCATAGGAATGAAGCTAAACTCCGCATGTGAAATAACTCAGCTTGCCCTGCCTACCATGAGGTTAGTTTCCTGGGTGCCTGTTAGCTCGCTATTTGTAGGGGTTAATGGATGTGTTGTATATATGGGACAGAATTTCTTTACAAATAACCAGATGGGAGTATGCATTGAAGCATAATAGTTAATATCTCCCATCTGATATGCACATTAAGTAACTGCAAATGCTGTCAGCAGACACAAAATGTTCTTAAGGTTGATCTTCTTAAAGGATGACTTGCATTATGCTACTTTGCTTTCAGCTTCCTTACTAGGGATGATTTTGACATAACTATGTTAGGAAAATGAAAGGAAAACAGATTTTATGTATGAAAACAAAAGACACAAGACCTGCATGTTCCAGAAGACTAATTTCTGCAGATATCCCAGATGAAAGAAAAATAATCTATACTATAAAATTTTCCTATACCCTGCTAGTCACTTCAGTATTCTCTCATACATAATACGATATTTATGCTGAAAAGGCTGAGATACCTGGCATCCCTGGTTTACCAATCACAGTGTTTGGAGGCAGAGGTTTCCTTCGCATTTGTGTAGGCTTGACAGGAGGAGGCATAGGAGGATGCTGAGAGCCAGGTGACATGGTTACTAAATAACAAGACAATATTATTAATTATTTAACCTCAAATTTCATACAATCACAAACCCATTGCAAGTTATATTCTGACTTCTCAAACTATGTTTCATGTCTGATTTAGCATCAGAAGTGGTGAGGTGAGGTTGGAAGCTGTTGTATGAGTTGTATTTTCAGCCTTAAATTCTTTGGGAAGTGTGTGCCATAGAGTGTTAAATCAAGCTTACACTGAAATTACGTAGCTGCTTTGGGATTTTGTACAAGTGTTTCAGCGACTCATTTTCTGTGTAGTTTATTTCTGTCAACAGTATTTTTTTGGCAGACAATAAGATACTTCTTCCCACAATAAATACCATCTCACTGTACTCAGAAACACCTTCAGTATCCTACTCAAAAGATTTCTGATCTTCTGTACTTTCTAGCAGATAAAACTGGCCATGCTCAGCTTGAAGCAAAAGATGTAGCAAAAGGGAAATTGTCATTAAGGACAGTTTATCCTATGCTGTACAAAAGCGAAAAATGAAGAAGTTACTGTCACTTCATGCACTGATATAGATAAAGACTGTTACTAGTAGAAACTCCTGGAGCCCTCAACTAGGTTGTTTCAATGTGCATCTCCAGCCAATATCTATTAAATTTATCTGGCAAAGTCCCTTGACAGTGAGGAGGAAAGGAGAACCTAAACCTGAAAGGAGAACATAAGTCTGAAAGGAGAACCTAAGCCTCTTAATTCATACTTACAAAACATATAATTGCCTATATTTTCCAGGCAATTGTGAAGGATTTTATTATACAAAGGAAAGGCAAAGATTTTTCTTCCATTATTCACCTTTGCACTTCTGAAGAACAGGAGATATGTGCAACACATTTATGTAACAAAAGATTCCTTGTACCGTACAGGGGAAAATCCTTAAGAATAATATAATTCTTATAATGCTGCCAGCGTCAACAAATACACAAGTTGCCTGATACTGAATTACTGGCTACACAGAGTACTTTGGGTCCTACGTATCGGACCTTAGTTTACTCTAAAAAAATAGCATGACTATGGACAAGAAGAGAGCAGATTCAAAGACTCACTGGGAGAGCCTTTTTAGAAATACTTAAAATATACAAACAGGAACATGTCCATCTTTCCATGTTCCCTTTTCCTTTTAGACTTCTGTAGTCACTTATAAACATTTTTTGTTTTTTTTTAAATCCCTCAGATCCAGACAGGAAACAATGCTCTATCTATTTCAGGAAGATGTAATGGTTTTGAAGAGAGCATTTATAGGTTTCATATTCATTCATAATCCCCAGAGGGAGATGAAAAAAAAAAGCCTAAAGACCTAAAAAAAGGATAATGAATTTTTGTATATACTACTACATGGCAGTATCTGATTAATTTTCCCTTTGACCATGGAGGACAGCATTGTCTAAGATACTTACCGGGTGAAAACATGCAAGTATTTACTCACCAGTGTTTTCTACCTAATCTTCTGAACAACACAACCACAATAGTTACATGCAAGCCAAAACATCACATTCACTGGACTGTGTCACACTTGAATCTACTACACGGCACTCCGGAAAAACAATAATCCCTACTCTTCCCTTCTACAAATTCCACAATGATTTGGGTAATGGTCTGTAATGATAACAGATCTAATTAATAATGTGTGGAGACTCAGCTTGTAACCTAGGACACACAAGAGTATTTAGGGATTTTGTGATAGTGTAGATTCTTGCAAGGAATGGTAAACTATTGGGATTTATTTAATGTTGGGGTTCTTTATGGATTGGGAAGGTATTTCCTTGACTGTGCCCCTCTTCATGAAAGAGGAGTGCATGCAAGTCTCTTAGCACACAAGTGTCTTAACACATCAAGGTTAATTCTTCTGTGCTGTAAACTATCTTTTTAATTTAAGTGGTGTAAGTTTGGGTAAAACCAAAAAGACTTTCTTTTCAGTCAATTTTTATGACAGTAAAAAAGCACAGCTAAAGCAAGCCCTATTCTTGGTGATGCATATGAAACAATGGAATTCTCTACCTGAAAGGTTGTTTACATGTTTGTATGTATGTCTGTGTGTATACATGTGGTATACAAAAACTCTACAACTTTTCAGTTGAAACAAAATTTTTAAGAAGCTGACTAGGAAAAAGTGAAACAAAGAGAGTCTGTTTTTGAAGGCTTCTTTGTGGAAGCTGTTTGTCAGTAAAAATATATTGATTGTTTTAAAAATATAACTGCAAGACTTGAAAGAAAAAAAAAACTGACAAGCCTGGTACAGCACAGATAAAAAACCCTGTAACTTGTTAGTATAACAACTGCATTGTTGTTTTTTTTTTTCCAAGCCTAATTTTCCCAACAATCCTGACATGACATCCTTGTCTCTAAATTGGAGAGACATCAATTTGATAGGTGGACCACTCGGTGGATAAAGAACTGGCCGGATGGCTGAACACAAAGAGTTGTGGTCAATGGCTCAATGTCCAGCTGGAGACCAGTAATGAGTGGTGTCCCTCAGGGATCAGTGTTGGGACCGGTCTTGCTCAACATCTTTGTCAGTGACATGGACAGTGGGATTGAGTGCGCCCTCAGCAAGTTTGCCAATGACACCAAGCTGTGTGGTTTGGTTGATATGCTGGAGGGAAGGAATGCCATGCAGAGGGACCTTGACACACTTGTGAGGTGGGCTGATGCCAACCTTATGAAGTTTAACCATGTCAACTGCAAGGTCCTACACCTGGGTCAGAGCAATCTGAGTCACAGCTACAGGTTGGGCAGAGAAGAGATTCAGAGCAGCCCTGCGGAGAAGGACTTGGGGGTGTTGGTCAACAAGAAAATGAACATGAGCCAGCAGTGTGCACTCACAGCCCAGAAAGCCAACTGTATCCTGGGCTGCATCAAAAGGAGCATGAACAGCAGGTCGAATTAGGTGATCCTGCACCTTTACTCTGCTCTTGTGAGACCTCACCTGGAGTATTGTGTGCAGTTCTGGTGTCCTCAACATAAAAAGGACATGGAACTGTTGGAACAAGTCCAGAGGAGGGCCATGAGGATGACGAGGGGGCTGGAGTACCTCACATATGAAGATAGGCTGAGAAAGTTGTGTCTGTTCAGCCTGGAGAAGAGAAGGCTGCGTGGAGACCTCATAGCAGCCTTCGAGTATCTGAAGGGGGTCTGTAAGGATGCTGGGGAGGGACTCTTCATTAGGAGCTGTAGTGATAGGACAAGGGGTAAGGAGTTAAAACTTAAACAGGGGAAATTTAGATTGGATATAAGGAGGAAGTTCTTTCCTGTTAGGGTGGTGAGGCACTGGAATGGGTTGCCCAGAGGGGTTGTGAATGTTCCATCCCTGGCAGTGTTCAAGGCCAGGTTGGACAAGGCCTTGGGTGATATGATTTAGCATAAGGTGTCCCTGCTTATGGCAGGGGGGTTGGAACTAGGTGATCTTAAGGTCCTTTCCAACCCTAACTATTCTGTGATTCTATGATATTCAACAAAACTTCCTCATAAATGGGAAGACAAATTGGTTATGCATTTACCTTATTCTCCCTTTGCTATGTAGAAACTGTTAATATGAAAAAAGTCAATGCTCACAGTATTCTGGGTGTCATAAGGATATAACACTGCTGGCTGTAGTTTTTAATACATAGTGTATGTTAGTGACTAAGTAGTGACCATGAAATCTTCTTATTTTTATCTTTGTTAGTAGCATCCTGAAGGCAAGAGGTGTATTGGTGAGAATGAATAATAGTTTCTCTTTTTAATGGAGGTGCTTTTTGTGTAGGAATGGTCATGTTTTTATTCTTTCATAACTGTTAAAATTTGCTATATTGTCTTATTTTATTAACCTTACCAGAAATTGCCTTTTCCCAGGTATCAATATATTCCAAAGGTTTTTGTATATCAATGCCAGTTTGTCTGGCAGTATCCTCATGTGTATGTGCATCATCTGGAAAAAAAGGAAATGAAATAACTATCTACAGTTCTGTGTACCAAATTACGGAATACTGATACATTGTGTACGTTCAAACTCTATGTAACACTAAGCGAAAAACTAACATATAAGACCCACCTATGTTTTACAGATTACTTACTGATATTCGTTATCTTCCTGTTCAAGTAAATAGAAAGTGATCTGGGTCTAGAAAGTGTGCAATTAAATTTTTAACGTTACTTGCAAAAAGTCTGCTTAGAAAGAGAACGTTAGTAAGATTAAGAGAGAGCAGATCAGTTAAACCAAGATTGTATGTAGAAAGATGAGTACAGAGAACATTCTATTTTTTCAGCATACAGAATAAAATACCCATTGATACTTGCAAAGGGCAAAGTTCTCCTTCTCCCATATGTAAGATCTTCAGTTTTCCTCCATTTTTAATGACTAGAGCAATTCTGAACCAAACATACACTGCATTTGGAGGGCAAAGTGTACATAAAATCAAGTCTGTATATAAAAGAAAGTTCTACTTAAACGTTACATAAAGACATTTTAAAAATACTGAAGTAAATGGCATTAAAAAGATCAACACAACTATGGCTGGTACAGAACAACTGTCTCTCATAATGATATCTATAGAGCAGTCAAACTGTTAAATTAATACGTTTTCCCTATACAAAATAAGTATATTTACTTTATAAAAACTCTATATATGCTGGAGTGAGAAGATGCATTGCAATTTCATCATGGTGGCAAGGGGGTAGGGGAGGAATATCACTCCTTCCTCTGACATATGAACCCCCCTGAAAATTAATGTTTTAAGAAAACACCAACCAAACCAAACCTCAAATTTAAATTAATTATCAAATTCCAACATGATCTAAACCCTTCAACCACAGATTTCACTGGTTTATAATCTGGTGCTCAGTTTCTTTTGAGATTAAATTAGTATTTTAACACCACAAAGCAAATAATTTTCCAGTTATTTTAGTATTTGGCCATTCTTGCTAAGCATACCTTAGGAATCCACAGTCCATAGTATGGACACATCAAATGTTTTACTTAAGACTGAAGTAATGAAACCTGTAGTAAGCTGGGAGCAGGATGCAGGTCACCCGATCCCTGTGATCAGAGTTTCCGAGCACATCATGTGGTTTTATATAACTGCAATTTGTCTTCAGGTAACTAAAGTGGTTTATTAGATCTTCAGATATACTAAGTACCAGAGCACTAATCAGTGTTTCACATTATGGTGTTTGAGGAAGAAGAGGCATGATAAGACCAGCACCAGCTTTAAAAAGAAAAAAATTACCGTGTACACAGGTCATAGTCAGAGTATTTAGTTTCATTAGCTTCATCTCACATTAAATGCATCAACAAAATGTAGTAGCACACGGACTAAATCACACTAAATCACCCAAGTATCCGTTACAACTCCAATCTAGCTTAGTCCGATCTTAGTGTCTATAGAAAAGCCTGCTCCTTACAATCTAATTTAGAATCACAATCTTTTCTGAGTTAATGCTGTTCTGTCATTAGTAAAGTAGTAATGAAAAATACATCAAAGTTTCAGGGAAAATGTTCACACCACAACATTTCCCTGTTGACAAATCTCCCTTTTGAATGATTCATGCACTTTGAAGTTTCATAAAAGTTTGTATTTTCACTGAAGGTCCCTCCTCTATCAAGCAGCTTGCTACATTTATCATAATATTTGCCTTACGCTAGCAAACATAATTTGCTTATTATAAGCATTTTGGCTTACCACATTCATCTAAGCTTTTAACAAAACTGAAAATACATGTACTACTTGCATGTGTGTTTGTGTCTTGTTTTACTTCTATCTTTTTTCCTGAAAACATTCATGGGGGTCTGAAGCATCTTAAAACTAACTACTGCATCCTTAATAGCAGGCATACAATTAGAAGGGTGGATCATTTTAAGGGAAGAACTGGAAAAATTGCCTTTGATAAAGCAAATTGAAATACCTTAAATCTCGAGTTTCTCTAGAACTTGGCTTTACAGCCACACTTTCAAAAATAAAAAAAAAATTAGCACAAAGTTAATGGCTATATGACTATAATGAAACCCAACCTCTCTTTCACAAGGGAAATGGAAATGTTGCTCTAAACAAAGAAGTTTGTTTGCTGGTGGTTGTCTGGAAGCTTAATAGATCAGGAGCAGTTTTTAAATGCTTAAGACTAAATAAAAAAATAACTAAGTTATACACACTAAGAGAAATATGAAAAGCCATCTCAATAAAACGAACTAAATAAAATGGCTAAGGCATGGTTGAATGCTAGAAGGAATGTTAGTCATGAGGAGGCAATCCCTGCCTCTTTCCCACAGTCAAGTTTACCATCTGGCACTATAGCTAGCCAGGAGACCAAAAAGCCTGCCAGGAAACCAGTCACAATCCCATGTGCTGCTGCTGGAAAAAAACAAATTCCACTGCTTATCATCTGGGCTTTGCAGCTGCCAAGTGTACTCTGCATGGGGTGAAACGTCTTTGCACAATCAGGAAGAACTGGAGTACATTTAACAGCAGTGCCAGCTCATGCCTCTTCAGTGAATGTGCTTTTCTTCAGAGAAAGAAAAAAATGAAGTAATGTCTAGAAGTAAGTTTGAAAATATACTGTTCCTTAAAGTCCAATAAAGGCATCTGATCACATTTTAAGGGTTCTGATAAGCTAACCACAGAAAATAAGATATTTTCATAATGGAAGAAATCAATTTCTCTACACAGAAAAATCATCCGGATACCTTAAAATGTTAAAATATTTGTAAGATATCACCCACTGAAAAAGAAGTAAGATTTAGGTTAGTAGAGTTAGTAGAGTTCTCTTTTCCAAGTCTCTTCTGCAGACTCAGGAATTCTGCCTGCAATATGTAATTTCACATTTCTTCAGAGAGATACAGGTGATTTAATTGGTTACCTGAACTCCCTCTTTTTGTGAAAAGTTTTTTATGAGCAGAGAGTCCTGTAGGCTCAGACACTGCATTCGTCACAATACTGTGATGTACCTGCTTTACAGAAGACTTGGGATTCCACTTATGGATCACCAAGGAGAGTAGACTGAGAAACTGTGAAAAGCTGCAGTCCTCTCTCAATGTCATGAACATATAAAATTCGTTGGTGATTTCCTTACACTACTGAGAAGAAAGGTGCAGACTCACAGAGAGCTATGCTATGTCAGGAGGGTTGGAAGAGCAATGGAAAATATTACTTGAAGTATTGTTTTCCAGAAGAATTCTAAAAGGCACTTACTCGCCTTTTAGTATACATGGTATGCACAGCAAGGCAGTAGTCTTGTGATGATCTTTGACATGATCTACCACAATGAAGCTCTAGCTCTTCCTGGCAATTTGCACTACTATAAAGACATGGAAATAATGAGAACTAGTGGGCATCCAACAGGAGCATTTGAAACAAGATTGCTTAAAACAATACCTTAGCAGTCACCCAAAAAAACATTAAGCACAATAAACTACATTTAGGAATTTACGTCTACTATTATGCTTATACTGCTGATTTACTTAGCATGATTTTTTTTTTCCTTCTTTTTAATCTACAAATGCCTCTGCAAAGGTTACTACTATATGGGAAAAGGGAAAAGCATAATATACTGTTTAACATAATTGTGTATTTCATAAGGTGCTTTCAAAAGCCACCTACTCCTGGAGACCTGTGTGAGTTCTGCCTGTTTTGGTTATCAGACATTAGAAAGCTCACTTATAAGCAGACTGCCAACAAAATAAAAGAATAAAACTTTCTAACCCACAACTACTGACATGGGTCATTTAATACTGTCTCTGATGTCCTGGAATTTGATGGGCTTATTTTATTTATCAGAAGGACTATGAAAGGTCAAAGAGCACATACCTCCAATGAAGGCGCCCACTCTGTATGTAATACAGAAGAGTATGTCATGTTCTAAACAGGCTATTTCGAATTCAATTTAAATATTCAACTTTAAATATACAACCTCTTTTGAGATTTTGCATTCCTAAAAACATGGTGGGCTTCTCAGAAGTATATACAGGAATGAGTAGTTCACATCATACTGAAGTCAACAACATGTATTAAATTGACAAAGATACACTGGAAGAAGTACAGAGAAACATTATATGGATAAAAAAGGAATGTTTACAGTACACATTGCTCAGGTTATCCTAACCTACCTAGCACAGAACAATAATATGGGATAGTAGCACTGTTAGTAGTGGGTGAACAGCCAAAATTTGCTTTGAATATGCATTTTATTTATCTATATTATTTTTTAAGCCTGCATCATTGATGAAGAATCCCCAAATTCTTTATTTAATTAACCTTTGTCTGTATTTAAAAAAAAAGCAATATTTGTATTGATAGAATAAATTAATGCTTTATTAAATAAAATGTATGGATTCATTATAAATTAGCACTGAAAACATTATTTTGATTGGATAAAAAATCAAGTACAATTGACAAAGGATGAATGATTTTTTTCAACAAACAAACCAGTATTCTGAATAAATCTTTGTGGTTAGGGATGTATGTTATCTGTGTGTGTAAGGACATGTAAATTGAAGTGTTAGCTCTCACTCTCCTCTATCACCCACCAACCTGGAATTTTCTTCATGCTGAAGTATTTAAGCATGAATACTGCACAGTCCAAATACTGCAGTCTGAGTATGAGTATGTTTAACATGAACATACCGTGTGCATAGCTAGTAGCTAGCAGCTAGCAAGATAACTGGCCTTAAGGCTTTCTTACCAAGTCTTCTGACTTGGATTTAAGCAACTGGGTAACCCTTTTCAACAAAGTGTTTTCCATATTTATGTAAAGTACTCACAAGGAATTAATTTCAGTAATCAAACACAATAAAATATTTTGCAGGATTCAACATGATTTAAGGTTCATGTGTCTTACTGACAAGTTAAAAACCACCCAAAACTTTAGCTCTACCTGTTGTTGGCACAATCCACTTTGGCAGTCCAGGTGCTTTTGTTCTAGCTGGTGCTAGTGTGATACTGCTAAGAACTGTGAGAGAGTTTAAAAAAGAAAATAGGTTCCATAAGAAGAAAACCCAACACACTTTTATGTGATGCCACCAATTCCACATTAGAGAAGGAAAAAAAACATCTGGTTTCTTTTTTTTTTTTCTGATTTGGAAAAGCTTTACCTCTAGACTGATTAATCGAAAGAAAAATACTTTTTTTTTCTTTCCCCAGCAACACTCAAAATTCTACTGAGAATAGGTGAAATTAATTAACTAATTAATTAACTTCCACCCCATCCTAAATTGAATAAACAATTATTACCTGGTCTGGTCTGTGATTTATCAGATGGCTTTGGTCTTGCAGAAGTGAGATGTGTTTTATGGGGTGCTAAAAGAAATAATGTTCAGTTTAAATATTATGTGTCAACAGAACATCAATACTGCAGTGTAATTTGCCAGAAAAGGCCCATGCACCAGTGCAATACAGCAAAATACATGTATGAGAATTGTATGAGTTCCAATCTGAAATGCACACTGAAAATGCTAGTTTTTTTAGTGGTCAGATGACTCCATCATGCAGCCTGACCAGCTACATTCATGTATAGGCTTAGGAAAAGATACGTAATATTTACAGCCGGCTACCCAACTGTACATGGATATAGAGTTAGCTCTGCAAGGTATCCATGGCCTTAAGACATTTAATTAGGTTCTGTAAAAAACAATCAAACAAAAAACCTCAAAATAAAACACCAAACTAAACCTTCCCTAAATCAAATATTCATATAAAAACATAACACATCAAAAACTGAGAAAACAACTGGAATTATTCAGTGCAGACAATGTGTAAGGCTGCTGAAACATAGTGGCATCATCAAGGTTAAAATCAGAAGTGTTCAGCCTTTTCTTATTGTCACCTTTCACTTGCCAAATGATTTTGATATTGTAGTTGTTACAGAATTTGTATGAATCACACTGAAAGCTGAAAGCATAAGTAGTAATCACTGACATCTTGCGCCAAATTATCAACCTCTGTAAATCAATATTTTAAATGAGTTGAGCTGCCTATTTGATAGTCAAATCTAATAACCACTCTATACCCAACACTTAATGCAGCGTCAGAGAAAATACTTATGCAGGAAAGAACATATTACTCATTTTCGACACTTAAATTTGGTAAAAGCTTTACAGATTTAGATTTACTGTTTTATAAAGAAAAAGGCAAAAGTCAGTTTCATCTATGTTTGCCACACTATACATCTGAGGATCCAATACACAGCAGTAATGTTTAAAGCTTCGTATCATCTTTGAGGCAATACTGATTACACCTTGATTTTCAGAGCAATGAGTAAAACCCCCACTTGATAAGGAGAAAAGCGAATTTTCATTTTATATATTTGAAATAGTTTAAACGTAATAATGAACAGACCATTAAACGTTAAACTGTTCTGATTTTACTTGAGATCTACAAACTCTCAAGATAACAACTTAAGAAAGTCTTAAAAATTACCTGTACTGAAGTGTGGAATTTCAGTTGCTAAAGCAGTTTTGGCCTTGGGTGAAATCTGGTATGTTTCACTGGGAGCTGAAAGTGGAGATATTATTGCTTACCAAATGCAAACTATTTCCTTTTAAACATAAGACACCACAGGGGGAAACGGAAAAACTGTCCTTGTGCTAGAATAAGTGCTAGAAACCTGGTTGAAAATCATGCTTCTATACAAATAAAAGACTTTTCAAGACTGGGAAGATATAGTCGGACAAAAGAAAAAAAGATGACCCAGTAATGCCTTTACATATGACTCCTTAGCTTTGTACATGAAGTACTTATTTCTAGAAAGAATTGTATGAAAGAAGAAATGGCTGGAAAATTAAAACTAGCAACATTTTGTACATGCAGTGGAATGTGACTAACAAGTGAACACAACATGAAGATATATTAAGGTGGTTCTGTTGATTAAAGAGTAAATATAGTCATATAGCAAAGCCAGAGGAACTCAAGTTTTATGAAAAATACACTGACATTACATTCTCATTACCCAAAGTCATTTTGGACCCATCAACAACATGAACTGTTACAAGGTTAATCGATCCCAGGTGTGTTGCTCTTGGAGCTACAAGAAATAGAACATTGCTCTGTGAGAAATGAAATTGAAAATGTTGGATTTCATTAAGGATCTGTGTTCTTTGTTTCCTAAAGAGCTATCACCGCATCTACTACAACAATTTTAACAGATGTGAGACAGATACATGTTCTAATTAGGCTGGATGTATTTTAATGATGGCAGCCACACATTGCAACTATTTTGCTGGCCTCCCCCCAACTTCAGTAGAAATGCCCTTGAAGGTGGAGTTCTGACAGTCTTTGGTCTTTCTCATTCTGGTTATGTTAATTTGCACTTCCTAAAATTTTTCTAAAAGCTTATAGTAGTGGTTTTATCTTTCTGATATTCTTCCCTTACTCAAATATGATTGAATTTAGTGAAAGATATCTAAGTTACTGGATTAAAAGGAGAGACTGGCAGCCAGAGGCACACACTACATATCTCTTTCTCTTTCAGAAATAAGGCTAAAATAAGGAAGCTGGAAAGAAACCTACTTAGTGGCATAAACAGCAGTAGCTAAATAGTGTCGTTTATTTTTAACAACTTTCTTAACAGCAATTTTGCATATGCATTGTTATAATGATTTCAAAGTCAGAGAATAAACCTATAAATTCTGTTTTCTAAAATTCTTTGCCTTTAGGCTAATTTTTTAGTGGCACCAAAACATGGTACTTGTCAGCTATGACATGACTGGATTATAACTATGCATCCCTAAATCTGCTGTAGTTACTACAAAAATAACTGATAAAAAGAAGGTATCTATACTCTTAGCATCTAGCTATCTTGGAATAAGATTCTGATGCAAGAGTTTCAAAAGTACTTGAGAAATTGAAGCAAATGTATATAGAGTAATAAAATCCCCCCAAAGAAAAGAACACATTGACGCTGGCTACAGCAGCGTATTTTTATTAAAATTAATCTAATTCATAGTATTTTTCAAGGCTACTACCCACTAGTTCAAGACAACCAACCAGCTTCTGCTCCCCATGGAAATAGATGCAATTCATAGGCATTCTCTTTGATATAATTTATTAACATACTCTGAGCTGATCAATGAAGCTAATTTCTGTCCACAAATGAAGGATGTCACATGACTGCAGTACTGAATGACAGAAGACAGTGTAGCTAAAGCAGTGCCACAGTAACACTTTTAAAGTTAAAAGCTTTAAATTACCAGGTTTAGTCTGTGGTACCTCTGGCATGAGCAGTGTTTCTTTTGGAGCTGAAAGAAAAGGAAAAAGATTATTACTGTATTTTTCAGGAGTCATGATCCAATGTCATATTTAGCCCACAGAGAATTCATGCCTCAAATGCCTGAAAAAAAGACAATAACAATTCCATGGCTTTCTGGAACCTGAAATAAAATGGCTATCCAAACCACAGAAAAGTCTTAGCACAGTGCTGTAGGATAAATTGAGTTAGAGGCTAAAATTCTTGCTCTAAAAGAAAAATTTGACCACTGAATTTGGTTGGAGATTTGACAAATACAGTCTTCTGACCAGACATGAGCTGTAGGCTATTTCTGCTTTACTTCTAGGATAGAACTGAAACCCATCTGTATTAAGAAACATGCACGTGTGCAAGCAGAATGAAGTATAAGTGGAATGATGTTTCACAAAGTACCACACTGGAGCATGTTCTCTAGGGATTTCTTCACTGAAAAAATAAGAATACCTGTGTCTTAACATTAAGGAAACTTATTTACCCATTGTTGCAATTGAATGGTTGCTGGTAGTAGATTTTGTAATAATTGGTTGTGGAGTTGCCTGATGTATTGCTGTTAAGGAGAGAATGTGAAGAATCTTAGAATATTAAACTGTAATAGAAACAAAGTAGAAATGCTACTTTAGAAATGCACTATTTCTAAAACTTTAAAAATGCCCCAAACTAAAGTGTACCAGAACACTTTAAAAAATCAGCTGCCGATAGATACTTAACTTCTGTACTTTCCTTCTGTAACAGAAATGGAAAGAGACTCAGCACCCTGTAACTATTTTAAAGACTTCTTTTCTTTCAGGATAGCACACAATGTCAGTTGTCAATTGTACAAGCACGTTGCAAAGGAATTCTGCTGCATTTTATGGATGGAAACTGAAAAAGTGCTCGTAGCGTTGCATCTCTGATGACTAGGAAGTAATCAGGGAGAACATAGTCTATCCAGCCACTGAAATTTGTCAGCATCCACGTTATTACATTTTAGTCATCATTTGCTGTATTTAACAGAAAGGAGGAAAACCATTTTCGATGCATACTAGAAATCGTCCTGTTATTTTTAGTGTAGTTTCGGCATATTTTGGATAAAGTGTAATGCCTTTGTTTGAGCACAAAGCCAGCTGTGAACAATTCCATTAAAAAGAACAAAACCCAAGGCTAAGGGAAGGAATTATTAAACACAAACGCACAAAGTTAAAGGAAGGATTCCATTACCAGGTTTGGTGTGTGGCACTCTTGGTTTTTCAGATGTTTTTGGTTTGGTATGAATGAACTGTTTTTCAGTTGGAGCTGAAATAAAAACAAACAGCACCCATAACAATAATTGAAACCCAAGCTTCTTTCATAGCACAGAAGGAACATAAGTACGATCTGATCTATAATAAGGCAAATTATGTAAGAGTAAAGCTGAAAATCAAACAGTTGGAATTCCTGGAAAGAAAGGGAAACAAGTTAAATGGCCACTGACTCAGACTTCATTATATTCAAATTTGTAGCTTAGTACGAAGCAGTGAATCATATAGTCACGGACAGCATACAGTGATGGAAAAGAAATAGACAGTTGCATCTTACATCTTCCACATCTGCCATACATGAGTATCTGAGGACAGGATCTGCTTTTCAGTGGACCCTTAGTATCAGACTTGATTTATGAATTAAACACTTTGTTTTTATGTGGGAACTATTCAATCTGGTCTTCAAACTGCTCAGTTAAAATTGTTGCCATGTAGGAATCATTTACTGGAAAAAGTTATCTTGGCACCAGGTAGTCTGATCTACACCAGTGGAAACGATCTTCAAAATATCTGCCTGTGCATTCTTCACCCTCCTAGCTCTGACGAACCATTTTCTGCACATGAATATTCCATCAGGTACCCCCAGATACATATACAATAGAGCACATAAACTTCATAAAGCTATACAGGGATATCAAATGAATATTAACCTAAGTAATTCGTGCATACAGGGGATATATGTTGAAATAGGAACACAAAAGTTTTTTTCATTTCCTATTCCTCAGAAAGAAAAGGCATACTTCAAAGATTACTGATTGCCTATTAATACTTCATTAGTGATACCATTTCATTCTCAGAAAATTGTGGTCAGTGTTGGCCTCTGAAACTGGGGATAGAGAACTGATTATTAACAGAGTTTACTCAAGCAATACTCCTGCTGCCCAATACTGCTTGGATTTATTGACCTTTATTTGGTCCACATCTGACACTTAAGAATAAAGAATTCTCAGCTAATGTTTCATATAATTTAGCAAGTTTTCCCAATGTGAATGACTAGAAGTTAGCAGAGAAGATGGTTCTAAGAACTAGTATTTGATTTGGAGGGTCACATATCTGGTCCATTTTGGTATATGTTATGCTATGGCTGATAACTTATAATTTCCTTGCAGTGAAGCAGAAAAGTATTTTAGGATGGCAGTACCCATACCTCATGTGTAGAAGTTACAGGATTCACTACATACTCTTTAAATAAAGTCTATTTTTATTGCAAAATATGTAAGATTTTAAAGAATTACACCATCCTGACTGGAAAGGCTATGAGATGAGGAAAAGAACCTTCAAAAGTAAATGATCTCATGCATTATTACCCTTGTCAAGACCAGAGGGCAAACAAGTATCTGGAAGCAGAGCAAAACTTCATCATTAGTTTTTAATGTATATAATGAGCAATCCCTAAGAAGATCTTCTTTAACAAGAATAGAAAATAGATTATTATTTATGAAGTACACATTATTACCCAATGTTGCCTTTGTTCTTTCAGAAACGTGAGGAATCGCAGTAGCATCTGGTTCATGGAAGGCTGGAATGATTTCTGTTGGAAGAAATGTTGATAATGCTCAGAATAATAGACTCTCCCTTTCCCTCCCTCCCCTTCAAAAAAACACTTCAGCACTATACAATATACACCAGAAAAGGGATGTTTTAAAACAACAATGGGCATTTACCCTCAGAGATTTATAGCTACAGAGAGTTCAGGTGTTTTGTTTGCTTGGGGTTTTATTTCATAGATATTTAAAAAAAAAAAGAATAATAGTCCTTCGGTGAAATCAGTGATTATCTTATACAGTTCAGTCACATTTATGGTGGGGAATCTCCTAACCCAAATACAACTGAAGGGAATCCTTAGTCTGATCTGGATGAATATATGCATATAAAGGAAAACCACAGCTTTAAGAGGCTTCTCTCACAACAGGTTCAAAATGTGGTGCAAACAACTGAAGTCTGTTGCATGGATACAAGCTGTGGATAACTTTTTATCATTGATTTAAACATACAGGTCACTACCGTTTCTTCTGGTAACATCAACAATATAAAAAAAAAAAATCTTGAATTGTTGCAGTTTCCATCAATGGTATGAGTTAACTGCAGCATTGCAGAAAATTTTTTAAGTTACCCGGATACCCAGGTAATGGCAAATGCACTGTTGATAACTCCCCCCACTACCATCCTGAAAGTGTTCAATTATCTACTGCAGCTTGACAAAAAAATCTGATAATTTACCAGGCTTCCTGTGTGAAGCATCTGGGATGGGATCTGCTTTAGGTTTAAAGGGAGTATGTTGTGGTTCTTGACGAGCTGAAAGAAAAGTCCTGTTTTAAGGATTTATAGTCTTCAGACATAGACAGGTTTATTTCACAAACACTGCATGCCTTGTGCTTGCAAGGAAAAATAAGATCCTTACATGAGTCTGAAAAATTGAGTGTCAGATGCATAGAGTAATTTCAAAAGAAAAGAAAATCCTGAATTAAAATGGGTGGAAAATTGATCAAGTAAGCAAAATCTGGAGTCAAGCAACAGAACCTGAAAGAACATAGACAACTACAGTAGACATGTTTCCCTCTGTATGTCAGAGCTCACAACTGCAATACCCATGACATGCTTGTCTCCTACAAGTGTCAAAGAATTACAGTGTGTATGAGAATGAAAGAAACTTACTGTGAAGACAACAAAACAGCTAGGAATCTTTCAATATCTAGAACACAGTAAAATTAAGATGGCATGTGAAAAACAGACTAATAATATATAATTGGTCCAAGGAGCAGCAGGGAAGAAATAATGACCAGCGCATGGTAACACCTTTACCTGTTGCTGTCCTTTATTGTACAATTGTATATACAGTAGGTGCCAAAACTTCATAAAAACAAGAACATACACAGAATTAGCAATAAGTGCATGCAAAAGGGTGAAAATACTCCCTTTTACATAACTGATTTCAAATTTGAACACATATTTAAATTTATTTTTAAAAATTATTATTTATCGGTGAAATTAGTGAATATATACTCACTCAAAAGGAAGGTTCAACTGATGCTTTCCCAACCATCAGGAGTTACAGAGGTTTCGTGGTTCACTACCAAACTATTAAAATCCCTATTAAGTATGTACTTTTAAGGGTCAAATTCTATTACCAAGGCACACAAACATAAAAGTGGTTTGATGTAGATATTTAGAGTCATACACAAAGGACCTCAAATATGTTTTTCTCTAAGAACTTTTGATTGGCACAAAAGATTAAATTTCTTCCAAGAACATTCTTATAATGTTTGCATGTTGTCCACCACAATATGCAGATTATTCATCAGTGACAGCTTTCATGCGGTTGAAAAGCATACACAACTCATCAAAATTCAGCCATTAAAAATACAAATCAGCTCTATCTACCTTTAAAAATGTGATCATTAGAAAACCTATTTGTCTGTAATAAGAAGAGATGTTAATCAACACTTGATTCATTGAGGAAAGACAACCCAAAATAAACCCTGGATTTTCAAACACAACAAAACAACAGTGTATTTACCAGTTTTTGTGTATGTTATGCCTGGACCTGGTGATGCTCTAGGTTTGGAAGAGACTCGCCGATTTTCTTTTGGACCTGTAGATGTGCAAAATTTTGAATATGTTACTGAGAATAACAATTCAATATAAACCTTTTGATTTTCCTGACAGAAGATTCACTTTCGGCCAAATTTTTTTTTTTAGAAAGTATTTCCATTTGAAAGTAATTGCAAAGAGATCTCCTGACAATGCTCATGCAGAGACTAAAGACAAAGTGACAGTGCAGTGTTGGATTAACTCTCCACTCCTTTCAGCTCTATCACACAGAGCTTTCTACAGAGTAAACTGCTGTAGTTCTAACACTTAACCTTGTTGTGTTTCTTAAGCGTTTCATATGCCAAAAATCCATTGCTTATTTTACTCAGCTGTGCATTAAAAAAACCTCCAGCAAAGAAGAAATGTGGAAATTTACCACTAATTTTCAAATGGACAGAAGTATTTTCAAAGTTTTGGCAACAGGAAAGTAGCGTAATTCTACACTTGTAAATAAGTAACTGGAAAATATAAATACTTCTGCCACATTTTGTGGAAATTAAGACACTAATTTTCTGATGTGCAAAGGCTCAAGATGAATGTTGACCCTCATTTCCCTACCATTCCCTACAAGTTATTGACATGTATAATATTTAGTGGATTATCTTGTTCCATGACAGCTATATAGCAAAAAGCAATAACGACAGTAAATCACAGCATATGCTGTGTACTTTCAGAGAACTAGTAGATTTTGACAATTTTCAAACTGATAAAACTTTCATGCAGTAAAGGCAAAATATTGATAAGCTTACTTGCTCTAGTTGGAGGAACACGTGGACTGGGTGATGTTTTAGGTTCAGAAGTCCCATGACGTATATCATTAGGAGCTGAAAGAAAGAAATCCTGTTACACCATGCTAAAATTTTCTGAGGTATCAGTGTCCACTACCACTCATAACAGCTAAAAAAAGAAAAAAAAAGAAAACAAACCAAAACCTCAAACCGATCAAAAATTTAAATCAAAGATATTATATGGAAGCGATGCAGAAGAGAAGAGCTTTTTTAAATAAAATTGGTCTATAGAGAAAAAAAGATAACTTTCTGAGGCATACTATCAACTAAGCATGTGACAGAATTACTGGTTCTATTTAAGAAGAGGACTTAAAATAACAGAAGAAAACAAGTAGCTTCAAATACAAAGGCACCACTAGACTGTAATGGAGGTTGTACTGGAATGATTCGCAGTACCAGATCAAAATGATAAAAATGCCTTACTCAAAGAGATCTGACTCAAGGATCATATAACCCAAAGATCACTGAAGCAATTTTTTTTCAGCAATGGAATTGAGGTTTGAGTGAAACAGAATTATTTTTCAGTCCTCTATGAAGGATTAAATATCATCTAGTAAAACTGGAGAGGAAAGGAAGTAGAGAAAGAAAACTTGCAACATGCAGCTCTGCTCACCTAAACTGTATGACTAATGAGAAGAGTGCCACCTCTACTTGTATGACTTCGAACATGCAAGTTAGAATCCTCTTCTGATCTTCCCTCCGCCTCTTACCATTAAATACTGAAGGAAATTGCCCTATGTTATGTGCATAACAACTTGAAAGAAAAGGATCCTCCTCAAATCTTTTGTAGAAAATAAGAAAAGAGACAGAGAATCTTGACTGATAAATTAAGGCTCACACAAAGAAAGGTGACAAATTTTTGCAGGTCTACTCTTAATGATTTCTGTTGAAGAGGAAAGACAACATAACTGTTCAAGTAAGAAAATATCATTACCCACTGTTGACTTCGGTTTCTCAGTTCTAAATGTGATTGGTTCCAGAACTGCATTAGTGTGATAAAAAAAAAAACAAACAAAAGACAACAAAAGCAAGTATTACCAAGAATAATCAAAACAATGACTACTTCCACAATGATCATACAACCATCCTGCTACAGGCAATGACAGACTGTCACTCCTCTCTGAAGCTCAACACATGTCAGTATCCTCAAAATGGCCTCCAGTTCAAGGCAATAGCTGTAATACAGAACAGGGGCCAAATATCAATCTGAAGCTTTTATAATAAACCACAAAGAAATTGTGGGTGTTTTTTCACCTTCAACTTTGCTCACTTTCCTGACTTATGTCAAGGTTTTGATTCAAGCAACAGGCACAGATTTACTGGGGGGAAAAGGAAACTTAGTTGTCATTTTTCTGCCCATTTCTCCAGCAGCACTATCTAATACTGCATATACTCTGGATACCTGTACTGGGTCTGGTTGGGACAGAGTTTACTTTCTTCCCAGCAGCTCCTGTGGTACTCTGTTTTGGACTCATGAACGTTGATAACACACCAATGTTTTAGCTATTGCTGAATCATGCTTGCTACACCATCAAGGACTTCTTCATTTTTAACTCTGCCCCCAAGCAAGTAGACTGGAGATGATAAAGATGCTAGGAGAGGACACAGCAGGGATAGCTGAAACAAACTGACCAAATGAATATTTCACCTCACATAATGTCATGCTTAATAGCAAAACTTTCCAAAGGGCCCATTGCTCCTAGAGTGACACTGGTCTGCTGGTGGGAAGTAGCGTGTGGTTACCTTTGTATCACTTTGGTTTTCTCTCTGTCCTTGTTGAATCTGTCTTTATCTTGAACTATGATTTTTATTTTTTTTTCCTCTGCTTTGCTCTTCTGATTCTCTCCAAGGTGGAATGATCAAGGGGCTAGTGGGCTAATGACTTGGGTCAACCCACCACACTATCGAATACAGTTGTTCGTGTGAGTTAGTTGTGTAACTTTCTTCCTTTATCTTTAATTAGCTCAGGGTTGTATAATGCTCTCTACCAAGCTGTGTAAACAACATTATAGAAAGTATTACACATTCTTAAATCTCTTAACATCATAAGGGAGGTGCAAAAGTGAACTGAAAAGCATAAATGAACAACTGTGCCTGATAAAGAAAAAACAAGTACACAAATGCACAATTTGAGAAATACAGAAAAAATCCTTCCTCTTTGCAATGACACAACTCCTATCTCACCTTCACTTTTCCCAAACCCAAATTCACACAGAAAAGACCTATTTTCATTGACAACTGCACAGAAAATGCCCACTGTTGCAGTGACTTGGTTGATTATAAATCCCCTGAGTGTATATTCTCCAACATATACACCCAAGGGATACATGTTTATCTGAAGCTCCACAGCAAAGTAAGACACTGTCCTGGGTTCAGCAGTAGCAGTCATGTTTCTCCTTCTTGGTAGCTGGTGCAGTGCTGTGTTTTGACTTCCAGCCTGGGAACAGTGCTGGTGATACCAATGTTTTCGGTTGTTGCTAAGTGATGTTTACCCTGACCAAGGACTTTGTGAGGCTCATGCTCTGCCAGGGAGGAAGGGAAGCCAGGAGGAAGCAGAGACAGGGCGCCTGACCCAGGCTAGCCAAAGAGGTATTCCATACCACAGCACATCATGCCCGGGGTGAGGGTGTGTGTGTGTGTGTGTAACTGGGAGTTACCTGGAAGGACAAGGGCTTCTGGGTGGGACTCGTTTCCTGGCCGGTGGTTTTTTATTCTCTTCCCTTGTTATTTTCTCTTATCATTGTTGTCGTTGGTGGTAGTGGTGGCGATTTGTGCTGTACACTGGTTGCTGGGCTGTTCTTGTCTCAACCCGTGGGAGTTGCACTCTTTCGATCCTCCTCCCCATCCCCCTGGGAGCGGGGAAGGGAAGAGCCCCGGGGGAGGGGGCCTCGATTGCTCTCAGCCTGGCACCACTCACTGGGAGTGAGTGAACAAGCTGTCTGGCTAGGGTTTAAACCACGACACATCTTTTTGGCGCCCAACGTGGGGCTCGAGGGGTTGAGATAACGACAGATCTGGCCGGATTAATAGCCACTCGTCACAATGCTGATTTATTGGCTCTCAGGGTTGTTCCTCTTGATCTAACAGTTTCAGTATATCGTACCTTACTTCCGTCCGGTATTTGCTGTATTAGTGTTTTTCAAGTGTGGGGCTTGGGCTAAGGTTTTTGTCTCATTGTACTTTATGGCAATGACTTGTAATACAATAGAATCATTGATCATGAAACTGATCTGGCTTATGTTCCCAGTGTGGTAACCACCTTTATACTTTGGGAGGTATATAATAGAAGTGCTTAGCAATTACACATCTTTTTTCTCCTTCTCAGGTGGTCAACCTGTGAAGGAGACATCCTTTTACCCTCCCGGTCCTCCCCCCAGACCATTTACATTTGAGAGTTTTGAAATTTTGGAATGGCCTTTTAATGCTGTTGAGACTTATTTGCTGATCGTGATGGGGATCACCATGTTGGCACGCATACAGAGTGTATTTTGCCCACGACTGATTTCAAGAGTTAAGCAGAGTCAGGTTTGGGTCTTGTCTGGGGTCAAACGATGATATAGGAGGACCAAGAGATTTTCCCTGAGGCTGGACAGTCATGAGTGGCAGGGTGTGTGGGATAGTATGGGCAAGTATCTAGGTCAGTGGGCCCCTCCAGTACTTTGGAATTTCACCACTGAACAACTGCAAAATCCAGAAGAATTAGTAACACACTTAAATGAGGTGTGTGGTCATTCTGGCCATACCAGAGACGGACAAATCATGGCAACGTGCTGGGGCTTGGCCTATGCTTACAGGGCCTTGTTCAACACTATCCAGCACCTTCAAAAGGAAAAAAATGTCGGTGGATCTGAGAGCAAAGCAACAGTCAGCGCAGCTACTCCAGCCCCAAGCACAGCAGCCTCACCACCCCCAGCGACAAGTACAGTCGCTACTCAAACTTTGGCTGCAGTGAACAGTGCAGCTACCCCAGTGGCAAGTACAGCAGCTGTTCAAACTTCGACTGCAACAGACAGCACGGCGACCCCAGCTCCAAGCAGAGAAGCTACACCACCCCCAGCAACAAGCACAGTCGCTACTCAAACCACAGTGATAATTACTGCAGCCAAACCAGGGGACCAATTCGTACCAATATCGGTTGCCCCTGTACGCAAGAGAAAAAGCAAAAAAGAGGCAAGAAGGGTGAAGCAAGGTGAAGAAACAGTGTATTCACCACCCGGTCTAGCATCTGATCAGGAGTCATCATCACATGATGAAGAAGAAGAAGAGGTGACTTCATGACCTCGGACCTCAACTGAGCTACGGAATATGCGAAAAGATTTTACCCGTCAACCAGGGGAGCACATCATCACCTGGTTGCTCCGATGCTGGGACAATGGGGCCGATGGTCACAAACTAGAAGGTACAGAAGCCAAGCAGCTGGGATCACTTGCTAGAGAAGGGTGAATTGACAAAGCAATTGCAAGAGAGAAAAAGTCTTTGGTATTGCTGCTTTGGAGACTGAGGAAATTGAGCAGCTGTCCACCTTGCCTGGTCTCTCAGAGGATCCTTCTGTTGTGGGGTTGCTGAAAGTCGAAGAACAGCAAGTGCCAATTGCGACCACAACAGTGCACCGGCGGCAATATCGCACCAACCGAGACTCCCTGATTCCCATCCATCAGCTGATCCATAGACTGGAGAGTCAGGGAGAGATCAGCAGGACCTGCTCACCCTTTAATAGCCCCATATGGCCTGTGCGAAAGTTTAATGGAGAATGGAGACTAACAGTAGACTATCGTGGCCTGAATGAAGTCACACCACCGTTGAGTGCTGCCGTACCGGACATGCTAGAACTTCAGTATGAACTAGAGTCAAAGGCAGCCAAGTGGTATGCCACGAATGATATTGTCAATGCATTTTTCTCAATTCCTTTGGCAGCAGAGTGCAGGCCACAGTTTGCTTTTACTTGGAGGGGTGTCCAGTTCACTTGGAGCCGACTGCCCCAGGGGTGGAAACACAGCCCTACTATTTGCCATGGACTGATCCAGACTGCACTGGAACAGGGGCAAGCTCCAGAACACCTGCAATACATTGATGACATTATTGTGTGGGGCGATACAGCGGAAGAAGTCTTTGAGAAAGGGAGGAGAATAACCCACATCCTGCTGAAAGCCGGTTTTGCCATAAGGCGGAGTAAGGTCAAGGGACCTGCACAGGAGATTCAGTTTTGGGGAATAAAATGGCAAGATGGGTATTGCCAGATCCCCACAGATGTGATCAACAAGATAACAGCAATGTCTCCACCAACTAATCAGAAAGAAACGCAAGCTTTCTTAGGTGCTGTGGGGTTCTGGAGAATGCACATCCCAAATTACAGTTCAATTGTAAGCCTTCTCTATCATGTGACCCGGAAGAAGAATGATTTTAAATGGGGCCCTGAAGCAACAACAAGCCTTTGAGCAAATTAAACGTGAGATAGTTCACGCAGCAGCCTTTGGACCTGTCTGGACCGGGCCAGATGTACTGTACACCACGGCTGGGGAGGATGGTCCTACCTGGAGCCTCTGGCAGAAAGCTCCAGGGGAGACTCAAGGTCGACCCCTCGGCTTTTGGAGTGGGAGATACAAAGGATCTGAGGCCAGCTATACCCCAGCTGAGAAAGAGATACTGGCAGCCTATGAAGGGGTTCGAGCTGCTTCGGAAGTGATTGGCACTGAAGCACAGCTCCTCCTGGCACCCCGGCTGCCCGTGCTGGGCTGGATGTTCAAAGGCAGGATCTCCTCTACACATCATGCAACTGATGCTACATGGAGTAAGTGGGCTGCACTAATTACACAACGAACTCGAATAGGAAATCTCAGTTGTCTGGGCATTCTAGAAGTCATCATGGACTGGCCAGAGGGCAAAGATTTCGGAATGTCACCAAAGGAGGAGGTGATGCGTGCTGAAGAGGCCCCACCATATAATAAACTGTCAGAAAGTGAAAAGCAGTATGCCTTGTTTACTGATGGCTCTTGCCGTATTGTGGGAAAGCATCGGAGATGGAAGGCAGCTGTATGGAGTCCTGGACGACAAGTTGCAGAAACTGCTGAAGGAGAGGGTGAATCGAGTCAGTTTGCCGAGGTGAAAGCCATCCAGCTGGCCCTGGACATTGCTGAACGAGAAAAGTGGCCGTAATTTGTCTCTATACTGACTCATGGATGATGGCAAATGCCCTGTGGGGGTGGCTGAAGCAATGGAAGCAGAGCAGCTGGCCATGCAGCAGTAAACCCACCTGGGCTGCTGCACTGTGGAAAGATATTGCTGCCTGGGTGCAGAACATGAAGGTACGTCATGTAGACGCCCATGTACCCAAGAGTCGGGCCACTGAGGAGCACCACAACATATAGATGGGCCCGTGATCGAGGGGTGGACTTAACAATGAACACTATTGCCCAGGTTATTCATGAGTGTGAAACATGTGCTGCAATTAAACAAGCCAAGCGGTTAAAGCCTCTTTGGTATGGAGGACAATGGCTGAAGTATAAACATGTGGAGGCCTGGCAGATTGACTATATCACACTGCCGACAACCCGCCAGGGCAAGCGCCATGTGCTTACCATGGTGGAAGCAACCACCGGGTGGCTGAAAACATACGCTGTGCCCCATGCCACTGCCCAGAACACTATCCTGGGCCTTGAGAAACAGATTTTGTGGCAACACGGCACCCCCGAGAGAATTGAGTCAGACAATGGGACTCACTTCTGGAATAACCTTATAGATATTTGGGCCAAAGAGCATGGCATTGAGTGGGTATATCACATCCCCTACCATGCACCAGCCTCTGGGAAAATCGAATGGTACAATGGGCTGTTAAAAACTACACTGAGAGCCATGGGTGGGGGAACTTTCAAGCACTGGGGTACACACTTACCAAAGGCCACCTGGTTGGTCAACACCAGAGGATCTGCCAACAGGGCTGGCCCAGCCCAGTCAGAACTTTTACATATTGTAGAGGGAGACAAAGTTCCCGTGGTGCATATGAAGAATTTGCTGGGGAAGACAGTCTGGGTTGTTCGTGCTTCAGGTAAAGGCAAACCCACTGGTGGGATTGCTTTTGCTCAGGGACCTAGATATACTTGGTGGGTAATGCGGGAAGATGGGGAAGCCCAATGTATACCTCAAGGGGATTTGATTTTAGGGGAAAACAGCCAGTGAACTCAATTGTATGCTGTTGCCTGCTGTGAAATACTTTTATAGCCCATCAGCTAGATGTCTTCAGGTCACCAGTGACTAGCCCTGACTTCACAGTATCACAGTATCACAGTATCACAGTATCACAGTATGCTAGAGATTGGAAGGGACCTCGAAAGATCATCTAGTCCAATCCCCCTGCCGGAGCAGGAGCACCTAGATAATGTTACACAGGAATGTGTCCAGGAGGGTTTTGAATGTCTCCAGGGAAGGAGACTCCACAACCTCCCTGGGCAGCCTGTTCCAGTGTTCCGTCACCCCCACTGAGAAGAAGTTTCTTCTCAAGTTTAAGTGGAACCTCTTGTGTTCCAGTTTGTACCCATTACCCCTTGTCCTATCATTGTTTGACACTGAGTAGAGCCTGGCTCCATCCTCGTGACACTCCCCCTTTATATATTTATAGACACTAATAAGGTCACCCCTCAGTCTCCTCTTCTCCAAACTATAGAGACCCAGCTCCCTCAGTCTTTCCTCATAAGGGAGATGCTCCACTCCCTTAATCATCTTAGTTGCCCTGCGCTGGACTCTCTCCAGCAGCTCCCTGTCCTTCTTGAACTGTGGGGCCCAGAACTGGACACAATATCCCAGATGGGGTCTCACCAGGGCAGAGTACAGGGGAAGGAGGACCTCTCTCAACCTACTAACCACCCCCCTTCTAATACACCCCAGGATGCCATTGGCCTTCTTGGCCACAAGGGCACAGTGTTGGCTCATGGTCCTCCTGTCGTCCACTAGGACCCCCAGGTCCCTCTCCCCTACACTGCTCTCTAACAGGTCGTTTCCCAACCTATACTGGAACCTGGGGTTGTTCCTGCCCAGGTGCAGGACTCTACACTTTCCCTTGTTATATTTCATCAAGTTATTCCCTGCCCAACTCTCCAACGTGTCCAGGTCTCGCTGGATGGCAGCACAGCCTTCTGGCGTGTCAGCCACTCCTCCCAGCTTAGTGTCATCAGCAAACTTGCTGATAGTACACTCAATTCCCTCATCTAAATCATTGATGAATATATTAAATAATACTGGTCACAGTACTGACCCTTGAGGCACTCCACTAGTTACAGGCCTCCAACTAGACTCCGCCCCATAGACTACAACTCTCTGGCTTCTCTCCTTCAGCCAGTTCGCAGTCCACCTCACTACCTGATCATCCAGTCCACACTTCCTCAATTTAGATGTGAGGATGCTGTGGGAGACTGTGTCAAATGCTTTGCTGAAGTCAAGGTAGACCACATCCACCGCTCTGCCATCATCCATCCACCGTGTTATTTCCTCATAAAAGGCTAAGAGATTGGTCAAGCATGATTTCCCCTTGGTGAAGCCATGTTGACTGCCCCTCATAACCCTCTTATCCTTGATACGCCTTAAGATGGCAGCAAGGATAAGGTGTTCCATCACTTTCCCAGGGATGGAGGTGAGGCTGACCGGTCTGTAGTTACCTGGGTCCTCTTTCTTGCCCTTTTTGAAGACTGGAGTGACATTTGCTTTCCTCCAGTCCTCAGGCACCTCTCCCGTTTCCCAAGGCTTGGTAAAGATGATGGAGAGTGGTCTAGCAATGACTTCCGCCAGTTCCCTCAGCACCTGTGGGTGCATCCCATCTGGACCCATGGATTTATGTATGTCCAGATTGCTCAACTGGTCTCTAACCCGTTCCTCATTGACTAAGGCAAACCGCTCCGTTGACCTGACTTCATCTAAGGTCTCAGGGGTACAGGACTCTTCAGGACTGCCTGCAGCAGAGTAGACAGAGACAAAGAAGGCATTCAGTAACTCTGCCATCTCTGTATCTTCTGTCACCAGGGCACCCATCCCGTTCATCAGTGGGCCTACATTGCCTCTGGTGTTAGTTTTATCTGCCATGTATTTGAAAAAGCTCTTTTTGCTGTCCTTGACCCTTCTCGCCAGGTTTAATTCTAAGGAGGCCTTAGTTGTCCTAGCTGCCTTCCTACATCCTCTAGCAGCAGCCTTATATTACTCCCAAGTGACTTCCCTCCAACCATCAACCCAACAGAGAATGAACTTTGATAGAGCCGGATGAGTTCCGCAGTAAAGGAACGACCAGCATCAGCAGCAACGATCCAATACTGCACACAGCCTATCCTGCCCTGAAAGATTGTTACAAGAGATGGAACCTGACATCATGGACCGAATGGACTCGGCAGCATTATAGGGATTGGTCCATGCACTAAGAAAATGATCTCTTTCTCTTGGTCTGTGTGTATATGGATGTATATATGTGGGAGAGCGATGGTATATTGAAAATGTGGGATCTGAGCATGACGTGAATGGTATGGAATAAGGGGTGGATAATGTCCTGGGTTCAGCAGTAGCAGCCATTTTTCTCCTTCTTGGTAGCTGGTGCAGTGCTGTGTTTTGACTTCCGGCCTGGGAACAGTGCTGGTGATACCGATGTTTTCGGTTGTTGCTAAGTGATGTTTACCCTGACCAAGTACTTTGTGAGGCTCATGCTATGCCAGGGAGGAGGGGAGGCCGGGAGGAAGCAGAAACGGGACGCCTGACCCAGACTAGCCAGCTATGTCATGCCCGGGGGGGGGGGGGGGGTGGGGGGAGGGGGGGGGGGGGCGTTACTGGGAGTTACCCGGAAGGACAAGGGCTTCTGGGTGGGACTCGTTTCCTGGCCGGTGGTATTGTATTCTCTTCCCTTGTTATTTTCTCTTATCATTGTTGTCATTTGGTGTTAGCTTTGGTGATTGTTCTTATACATTGGTTGCTGGACTGTTCTTGTCTCAACCCGTGGGAGTTGCACTCTTTTGATCCTCCTCCCCATCCCTCCGGGAGCGGGGAAGGGAAGAGCACGGTGTTGGGGGGGGGGCCTCGATTGCTCTCAGCCTGGCACCACTCACTGGGAGTGAGTGGACAAGCTGTCTGGCTAGGGTTTAAACCATGACAGACACACATACAAGTTTAATAAGTAAAAGTAACAGTGTACTTACCAGCTTTGGTTTGTGGCACCTCTGAGCCTGGTGATGTTTTAGGTTTGGAGGTAAAATGCTGTGTTTCTTTTGGAACTGAAATTCAAAAAAAAAAAAAAAGCAACTATTAAAATCTTTCAGGAACTGAGACTAACAGTGCATAATATTAAAATAAAAAAAAATTACATGCCTCTGGAACCCTCTGGAAACACAAAAAGCTTGTATGAGAAATGAAGAAGTATGAATGTCTGGTACACAGAGAAGTAGTGCTGATGGAGAACTTCTGTAGCAGGGTAACATAAAGCAAGGCCAGTATGGATGAACCAATTTGAAAGATGAAGCATCACAGGACAGAAACACAGTACAGAGACATGTAGTGAGAGGAAGATTGTTGTGCTTCCATCCACTTTATAGAAGACATTTGTGTAAGAAGAAACAAACAAGACGATTATGAATTGTTAGTGTAAAATCACACACAGCCCCCCTCCCCAACCTAAAGACTAAATTTAATAGCAAAAAATTATGACAGTGGAGCACAATGAAGATGTATTTATGATGATCTGTGTATACTGAGGAAAAAGCTAAATGTGATGGTCTCTGTAGATAAAGTTATTACCTATTGCTGGTTTTAGTTGATCAGTTCTAAGTGTTACAGATTTCAGGACTGTATCAGAAACAAAACGTAAAAGCTATTACAAAAATTGAAGTGAGAAACTGCATTTACAATTAGCATTACTTGTTCAATAACTGTATTTTGAATTATGTAATACGTACACAGCCTCATACAAAACCCATTATATTAAATGAAGTCTCTGAGAAAGTAGCGTAAGCTGAAACATAATGTGAATGTAGCTCTCCCATGGGCTTCAATGAGATATCCAGTATATATCACTCCCTTATTCACATGGCTTTTTAAGGACACAAATCTCTTCCCTTTGTGGTGTATTTCAAATGCAATTTATATATACAGTTGGAATCAGAGACCACTTGCTTGTTTACTGGATGCTATATTATTAAAGAGAATTACAGTGTACTGATCATGTATTTCAGCTATAAACTGGTATGTATCTAAAATTAAACTGGGTGTTTAAGGGGCATAAGGATTTAAAGTTTATGCTGCTTTCTTGCATTTCCCTCATTATAAGCAGAGGCATAACAGAAATGGTATCCCTCTCTGTGTCAATTCTTCTGCATGGGTGACAATAACCAAATCTTTTAAGACAATCACAAGATAAGTGTATAGCGCTGTAAAAAAAGTTCTGTGTATTATAGATTATGAGAGAATAAGGATTTTTACCATTTTCTGCATGAGGAACTCATATCTAATACATAACATCAGATTTCAAAAATATTGCTTTATGTACAATTTACAGATCTTCAGTAAAGTGATTACCATGATTTTTTTCACATTTATCAAAAGATAGCTTACATTGATATTCAATACCCTTGTAATTTTCTGTTGACATTACCTGCACTCACATTTAATGACACAGTAGAAAAATGCATTTTTTTGAATACAGCATAAATGATAATCAATGCTAAAAAATATCAATACTTATAAACAAATAGTAGCTATTTACCAAGTAATTTACTTGCTCATGCAGGAAATAATAATGTAATGAAAGTAAGTAATTGTGACTTTAAAAGGAAATGTATTAATTCTAACAAAACAAAGCAGTGTGAGGAAGAACTGTACCACCTAAGTAGCCATAATACACGCTTCAATTGTTAGGTATTTCCTTTAGTTACCACTGTAATCTGAGTTTATCAACAATATCCTCTTTCTGCTGCCATGAAGTAGCAGAGATTTATTCTTCTGCATGATGAAAAATATCTAGTGAATGCTACAACATCTGAAAACTGCAAGCAAATCACTGAACACACAGCAGAAGAGAACCCCATTATGTTTTAATTTTCTCAGTTACCTAAACAGCTGTTCAAGAAATATATTTCAATCCAATACAAGCTGTATTAGAAATAATCACACAAAGCAGTTTACCATCTTCGGCTTGTGGGATATGAGTTTTGGGTGAAGTTTTAGGTATAGAAGGAATACGCTCAATCTCCATTGGAGCTGGAAGAGAAAATGTGGGTAATAAGTTGCTTAAATTGCACAGTAATTAGAATCTAGTATCATGTTGAACATAGAAACCTCACACCTGCAACAGAGAAAAAATGGTTCTTCATAGAAAGTAGGAAAGTCAGGTAATACTCTCCATGTGTTTATAGCAATATAAGCCAGAGAGTGGAATTTTAGTCATTTTTGAAGCTTGGGTTTTATTTTTTTTAAATAAAAAGCTGGGACAAGCACAGACAAGCAGAATTATAAGAAAGGTTATCCAGAGCTGCCAGAATAATTTTCTTGAAAAAAAAAAAAGGAAAAAAAGAGAGACATTCCAACTCTGAAGAGAGCAACATACACAGCTGCCATGGATGTCAAGCAAGAGAATTACCTAGAAGAAAAATGGAGTTTAATGAAACAATCCTAAGGCATAAGGTGATTAACTTCGATGATGCTTTCTGTGATGAAAAAAGCAAATATGACAGCTTGCCAAGGAAACATCATTACCTATTGTTGACCTTGGTGGTTCAATTCTAAGTGTAATAGGTTCCAAGACTGCAACAGGAGCGGTGTGAGAAGGTAAGCATGGAAGAACTAAAAAAAACCTTTAGAATTACTCCACTGGGAAGTATAAAAGCAGGTGCTAATACTATACCACAGTGACACAGATCTTCAAATTAACTTTTTAAAACCATGGACAATTGAACTTCCTAATAATACAGGTTCAATAATAAGAACATAATAGCGCAAACTTGATGGCAACAGAAGCAAAAATGTTAATAGAAATCAGTAAATCCTAGAACAAGCAAGGGCAGAGATCACACATCTTAAAGGGAGCAAGGGACTCTTGATATACAAAAACGGAAGGTGTCCTCAAACTGAGGTCTGCTAGTCCTTGAAAGCGGCATGCTGACCATGACAAAACAGTTAAAATTTTCCACTAAGGTGACCTTTCTATTTTCAGGTTGCCTCTGAAAAAGCAGTGAGTACTTAAAAAGAAAAAAAATACTTAAGATATTAAAAATGAAAATAAATGTCTGCAAATTGTTTTCTGAAGCAATTTGATTTCCCTTTGTATAAATATTATCCCAAAATAATGAATGACTTCCTTCTCCCTGTTCGAGGAAAAACGAGTTGACATTTTAAACTTTTTTTACTTTCTGCACAAATAGCAAGCCTCAAAATAGAAAATTTCAAAAGAAGTACCCTATCAGATTTAGCTTGAGGGTTATGGTCTTAGCAGATGATCTGGGCTTCAAATGTGTGGACCGTGATTTTGGACACTGGTTTGTAAAAAACAGTATTTAAACTGAAATTAAATGGTGTACCATAGAAAAATCACATTCGCATTTATCAATAAATAAAGTCTAGGAAATTACTGTCAGCATATATCAATGAATAAACACAGAAAAAAAATGATGCTATGGGTTTGATGCATTGACTGTTACTGGTTATGGGCAAAACAAGCAGAGGGAGGCTTTGAAGAAAGGGATAATTAAAAAGTTGGATGCTATTCTGCAAGAAAACTTGGTTTGAAAATTTTAACCAAAAGCCAAAGAAAAGAGAGCTGAGAAATGATGCTTAGAAAACATTATTATCTAATGTTGACTTTGGCAAATCAAGGTCATTGGAAGAGTTTTGAAAGTCATTTACGAAGTAGAACTTAAATTTACTGCTTCAAACTGCAGTGATTTGTTGCTAATTAACCAAAACAAATTGATTCCATTTAATCAAATCATTTAAGCACTTTAAGCACAGACTTCAAGCCATCTTTGTCCAGAAAAGTATCATATGTGTAATTAGCTTCATCCAAGTTTCAAGGAGCAAAGCTATACCTCTTAAAACATCTTGAAACACTTCACAGAGTACAATCTGCACAGTAAATGCAAACAGTGACTCAACTTTTTGAATTAGATATAATATTTCAAGAATCACTGCAAAGGACATCTTTGTTCTTAGTCTACATTAAAACATACTTATTAAACACATCACCAAATATATACTCCCCTATCAAAAAAAGATAGCTATCATGTATTACCTTATATAAACTTTCCTCCTCACTAAAACTAGAAACACATAATTTTTTTTTCATCAACTGAACACAAGTTTCCATTGATCAAATGAAAAGATGAAATATTTTCCATAAATTTGAGAAATTATCAATACAATGCTCATTTATGTGCAACAAAGCACTTTCCCTTCTGCAGAAATTGTTCAGCAATTTGTACTAGAAATATGATTTTTAGATTGTTATTTTTATATTTCATAAAATCTTTACTGTTGCAAAAATTCTTACACTTTCTTCTTCTAATGTAATTGAAGCTTCTAATCAGACATCTTTGAAGTGATACCCTGTCATTTAGAAGGCAGTATCTCCATGCTAGAGGCATGGAAAAATAAAGCACCAAGAGTATATTTCCACTGTTGGGTTTGGACCGCATATGAATAAGCAAGATGCCTACAGGAAATGATGTTTTCAACTGCACATATTATCAAACCAGTGAAAAGAAGAATGGCTAAAGATGACTTGCAATCATTACCCTCTGCAGTCTTTGGGCATTCGTATATATAGGGACTCCTAGTAGTGACTGACACCAGAATAGCTGCTGATGGAATAAAGAGAATCTTCTTGAGCAAAGTACAGGCATCTATATCTATTTCTCAACTTCTAGTATGCCTCAGCTGCTCTCATTTCCCAATTAAAATCTACCTCCTCTCCATTATTCAAATGGAAATGCTGAGAAAGTAATATATTTACTGAATGCTTTTAAGCAACAGTAGCTACCCTGTGAGGTTTTTGCTGCTCTTTGAAAATAAAAGGTGCATTTATGCTAAAGGAACACCACTGGCAGAGGAGCTCCACAAGTCTTCATCTTGTTTTCCTGTCAATCTTGTTTGATTCTTTAGGTCTGTAGACCACTAAAAAGAAAGAGTGCCAGAGAAATCCATTGTCTTTGGTAAATCTTTCTATTATTTTTCCTGAATTTCTTCCACAGTGTTCTTCCACAATAAAGGTTAGATGTGAAATATTTCAGGCGAAAATCCTGAAGAGATTCAAAGCCTCTGTTACTGATAGTCCATTTAAAATATTCACATTTGATGTAGACTTTTCAAGATTAAAAGGTAGAGCTGGAAGGTGGATTTCTCAGAATGATGATGAGAGGAGAATAACATTGGGAGAAAATAAAATTACTTTCAAATCCTTTGAACCTTCTGAAAGTAGAGCATCTAATTATAACTGCCAGACAACATAAGAGGAATTTGGCATAAAAGTTACTCTTGATAGCATTGACCAATTTACCAGATTACTGAGTTATAAGTACTGAGCAGCCAGGTAACCTAGACTTTGAAGGGCAGAAAATAGTAAGACAGACATGCACCAGGTTATCAAGCAGGGTTTTCATAGGCTGAGAATGTATGGTTCTCTGGTATGACTGTATTTCTGAAGATGCATGTTCAGAAGTCCCTCCAGGACCCTCATAGTCCTAGTAAGGGAGAGAAGATTGTAAAAGGAAAAACTACATATATGCACCTATCTATCTAACATTATGCTCTCTTTAGTACTGTGCTAAGACTGTGGAAGTTTACAGTCATTAGTAAGTCAGTGATCAAGTATAAATTTGGCACATATTTTTCATTATTTCGATTCACTGTTAAGGAAAGGTGACACTTGGAGTATTGTGAGCAGTTCTGGTGTCCTCAACATAAAAAGGACATGGAACTGTTGGAACAAGTCCAGAGAAGGGCCACGAGGATGATCAGGGGACTGGAGCACCTCCTGTATGAAGACAGGCTGGGGAAGTTGGGGCTGTTCAGCCTGGAGAAGAGAAGGCTGCATGGAGACCTCATAGCAGCCTTCCAGCATCTGAAGGGGGCCTATAGGGATGCTGGGGAGGGACTCTTCATTAGGGACTGTAGTGACAGGACAAGGGGTAATGGGTTAAAACTTAAAGAGGGGAAATTTAGATTGGATGTAAGGAGGAAATTCTTTCCTGTAAGGGTGGTGAGGCACTGGAATAGGTTGCCCAGGGAGGTTGTAAATGCTCCATCCCTGGCAGTGTTCAAGACCAGGTTGGACGAGGCCTTAAGTGATACGATTTAGCGTAAGGTGTCCCTGCCCACGGCAGGGGGGGTTGAACTAGATGATCTTAAGGTCCTTTCCAACCCTAACGATTCTATGATTCTATGATACAAGTTTAGAATTTAAACTGAACTCCCAAGTGGCCCTGAAATACAGAGGAGATCCTTGCTCTTTGACCATTTTGCCACCTATCCAAAAGCAAGGTTATCCCCATCCACCGCATATTTTGTGCCTCAGTAATTTCTGAACAAGAATATAATCATTTTTCCAACCAAACAAATGCCAAATTCACAAATATTACAGGAAGATCATTACAAGCTTAATTATGATTAAAGTGTTTCTTATTATTCCATCTGACCAATCAGTGAAACCACTAATAGGGAAAGAACAAACAAGAGGCATCTGTACAAATACAGAATCATGCCACCTCCTACATAGAAACTCTTTATATAGTCATTCAGTGTGGTAACATCAACATACAGTGTTTATCTTGGCAGTTCAAGGCTGTAAAACAATTTTATACAACAGTTTCCAAATGAGGGTTTTTTTTGTTGTTTTTTTTTTTTTTCTTTTTCTCTGCTGTTTCAGAAAACAACATGCAGGATTTGAATCTATATTCAGACATAGATATCTACAGCACAGTAATTATTCTAGCAATACAATACTGGATTTCCTACAATAAAATTTCGTAGGAGTTGTAATCACCATGAAAAACTAATTTTACACACTATTTTGAGACTGTTCCAGGTCATAAGAACCATTTAGTTACAAGCTCCACAAGGAGTTATTTGGTCTGAAGAGAGTAATTCTTTTTATGCACAAAAAAATCTTCAAAGGTAATCTGGAAAGAATTTACCAATATTGCCTGATCCCTTCCAGGATTAAGTAATACATTCTTACGATTATGCATTTTTAAGATTTCTAGTTTCGTTATAGACCATGTAGCGCTAGAAATATTTTTGTAACTGCATTCACTTGTTCCTCAGGTCCAGAAAGTGCTGGGTGTCCTTTCTCTCAGATACACATCACAGATCAAACTCAACCCCAGTGCAAAGGTGCAATTTCATTTGCTTTCATAAAATATGCCTTTACTAAATTCCAGAGCAGAAATTACTCACTCTTATTTTCACTGTTTCAGGTATGTCTACATATGCATTAATGATCACTGAATCAATACAAATCTTATTGATTTAGTAAGGTGCTACAACCATCAACAAAGCAGGAGAATTTGCATTTTGTGACATCTGTGCTGCACTAAGTTGGAAAACTTGTTATTTTGTAATGAAAAGCAGGAAAACAATTTGTTTCAATGCCAGGCCATGTGACTTGGTGATTTGGGCTGTAAAAGTTAAAATCTTTCTGGCTGTGCTTCAGAATTTTTTGGTTCAATGCAAAAATAATACTCTTCAAGGAGCACAGTTCCCTCGGTGCTCATCTTTCTGATGGCTAATGCTGAGTTTCACAGAGAATAAAATTAAACAGAGGTATCTTATTTAAGTGATATAACAAATATTTGTTATGGAAGTCAGGTACCAGGTTTAGTTCGTGGCTTTTTGGGTCTGCCAGATGGTCTACGTTTAGATACAGATGGTTTGAGTTTTGCTTCTTTTGGAGCTGAAAGAAATACACTGGATTACAACGTTATCCTTTCTACTGTATCACATGAAAATCACATTCTTCATGGCTGAAATGAAGCAACAGAGGGCTACTGGGAACAAATGCAAATGGTGAAATCAGACTTGCTAAGAAGGCTTCTCAAAAATCTTCCTAAGACTTCACTACCAAACAGCAAAACCCCTGCTTGTTCTTTGCTGTAGTAGTCAGTAATAAAATTTAAAATACACAATTGTAGCTTTCAATCACGTCAAAATGTTCCTCTCACTAAGTTAGCAATTCATTATTGCAAGACACCTAACAGGTAAAATAATAATGCTGTTTATTCTTTTGAACTCCAGGTTGATTTTAAGCATTCAAAGACATATGTAGAAAAGTAAGCAAAAACATCCTGTATTTTCAACACTGTAAATAAATTACTGCTAGTTAGATGGAAAAACATGGACTGCAAAGAAGAGTGGCCAACAGCTATGAAACCATGTATTACCTAGTGATGTTTTTGGTTTTTCAACAGTCTGAGAAGCTTTAGGCTCCAAAAGTGACAGTTTAGGGGCTAGAAAAGAAAAATTCATGTATGATCAAACAATCAGTAGCCTTATCAGCAGTAAACTTTAGCATTACAAGGGTTCAGGGTATGTGTTTTTAAACCAGCTAGATAAGCATGCAACTACTTCCTGCTCTTACACATAATACTCTTTACTCCTTTTAGGTTTGTTTCCTCTGAAATTACACACTGTATGCTTGTGGTTATGTGTGAGAGTCTGCTTCTGAGGCTCCTTCCCCATATTTATATCCTCAGGGCATTTTTAATCCATTGTTTGATTCAGTCAACAGACAAGGGCTCTGACTGAAGAAAAGACTGCAGTCCATAAGAAATACCAGAGAATCTATACCAAAGAGGAAACCTCTGCCAAAATCTTGCTGAGATGAGAACAGAAATATTTTAGTATTGGTCTAGTAATGTACACCATAATATTTATTGATCCAGTACCTGAATCACTAAAGACACAAATTCAGCTCCCTTTAACCCCCAAAAGAAGAAAATTAGTAGAGATACCTATTGTTTGATCAAAAAGCAGAAAAGTTAAAAAATGCATGACATGTTGATAACGTTCCCATGGTCAAAGAATGAATTGCATGTATATGAAATTTTTCCCTTCCCCTATAAGAAAGCTCTCCTATCTTCACTAAAATGGCAACCCTTTCAATTGAGTTCCCTGCAGGAGGACTAACTGATCATGAGTAGTACTTTACTTCAATCAACAAACTTTTGCAACTAGTAAAGATGCCATCTTTGCCATAGTATGCCTGTGTGAAAGGGCAAGATGGGGACTGGCAAAAGAGATGATAGAAATAATAATCACATATATTTTTTTATATACGTGACATAAAAAAATACTTCTGTGACATCCAGAAGTAGTTTTTTTCCCCTTCAAGTCCTTTTAGAAGGTTAAAAACTAGAGAACTTATTTATATTTTTATCATTGGAACCAAATGAGTAGAAGTGATGAGCTTGACTCTCATTCCTCCTGTCAGACAACATCAAATGACTGATTTTAGAATGCTGAGTTAGTCAAGATGCACAGATCCTGGCCCTTTTAGGAAGTTCTACTTAGATTATTTGTAGTGAATATATCTCTCTGCATACTAACTTACAAAAATAGTGTGCAAAATTACCAGGTTTCACATGCTGCACTTCTGGGGTAGCAGATGGCTTCAGTTTAGAAGGAATAAGCGGTATTTCTTTTGGAGCTGAAAGAAAGAGCTCAGATGGCAATCAAGAATTGTTTAACAAGGGTTTTCCACAACAAACACCACATGCCTTAAGTTTATACTGAAGAAAAGACCACTTAGTATGGAAAGTCAAAGACACCTGATTAAATCAGTGCGGAATGGAGATGATATTGAAATGCCATGCACTGATCAGAAATAGATCCTATGTCTCCAAAACAATGAAACTTTCCACAGTGAAAGCTCTACATATCCCAGACAAAGACAGCACATGCGTGTGCATGAATGTAAAAGGGATAGACAGAACATTTAATAACAGGACGATGGTGTTTTTCATGCAAGAGGCAAGTTTTACTTCTCTGAGGACAGTAAAACCATCCTGAACTATGTTTTCATTCAGAGATATGTCAAGAACAACAAGTCTAATGACAATGGAAGAACAAAACTCTATAACCAGGAAGAAGAATGATTATGCATGTGAAATTATATACTAGAAGAAATGCTTTCATATGGATGAAATGCTCAAAACAAACACAGAGCTTTTCACTAGGTGAAAACAATAAGATTACCTAATGTTACCCTTGGCCATTGAAAAGGATGAGAAGTTTTAGGTGTGAAAGATTCCAGAATGGATTCACTTGTTGCTGTCGGAGAAAATGGTAACAGTCATAAGAGAGCAATGAGGTCATAGCAGAAATTCTTCTTTCATAAGCAAAACCAAATTTGTTTCTATAAGAACAACAAATACTTCAACTACGTTTGGACACATCATTTTAGTATGCATTTGACAGAAATTCTGTCTTTTGAACACCACAGAGCTTCCGTGACTATAAATCATCGTATTTGTGAAGCGTAGAAATACTGGATGTTCATTTCCTCCTGCCCTCAGTGCAACTGGTCTGGATCTGAACCACTGCCAAGTAAGATTTTAAGTTGAGCATCTGAAAATTTTGAGGTTTCGTCCGCCACTTAAGGGAGATGGTATGGTGTAAATTGTAGGAATTTAATAAAGAGGACATGTTGAACAATCAATTATCAGATATTAAAAGCAAACAGAATCTGGAGTAGAAAGCTGACAAGCGATATAACTGTGGTTTCAGTCCAAAAGCATCGAGTGTCTGTAACTGTTAACCAATTTCATGCTTCATATCCTTTCAATATCCAATTTCACTCCTTCATATTTATAAGAAGGCTACAGCAGTAGAATGCAGCCTACAGCACACACAGAAGTATTTTCATCAGCATAACTGGACAAAAAATACTGTTTCCTTAATTATCTGTGGCATAGTTTTCAAAATACTGAAGGAGAACTATGTGACTATGAGTTACCATATGCATCGTAAGTGTTAAAAAGCACCAATTTTAAACCACTAACAGAAATCTAAATTCAAATTTCAGGTGTTAGGGTCTTATCCAAATGTGCACTGAAAGCGAGGATTAACAGTGAACTCACTTCAATGAGTTTAAGAGCATGGTTTGAGCTACTGAATTAAGAACAAGCTAGAGATTATTGTACCTTGTCTAGCATCTGCTATTTCAAGCTTACTAGGTGTCACATGGCTTGAAAAAACAGCTGAATGCCATTGAAAGCTATAAAAATCCCAGGTTACAGTACCTGTGATTACTAGTTCTACACACAGGTTCTTTGGTTTAGAAAAAAAAATAAAATATTACAGGTTATAACATATTTAAATTTGCAGTGAAGAGGTCAACCCATAGTAAGCATGCCTTACCTTGACAATGGAGCAGTACTGTTTAGAGGGGGAGCTGACAAATAGAAGTGTAACCCAACCAAAGCTAGTAATACTTTAGATAGCATGGTCCACATAGTTTAAAGCTTAAGCGCAGAAAAAATAAAGGTAAAAGAACAAAAGAACTTCTAACACCATGCCTGTAAGAATGAAGTGCTCCAAAAAAGGCAGAAAAAAACCCAACCCTACAAAACTAAAAAGCACTGCAAATATATTTCTGTAAAAAAGACTCTCTTAATTCTCCTCAGTACTTTGCTTTCTGTTAAGATTTGTTAGTGAATTTTAATGTATGAGTACATACACACATAGAAAACAATGGTAAAATAAAGAAAACCAAACTCCACTGCACAGTAAGAAATACTAAGAAGCTTACTATGCTGACATAAATAACAGTATACAAAGGTGTATATCCATCAGAGTGTAACAATTAAGCTTGAAAGAAAAAAAAACAAGTATTTTTAAGATTTGTATCACACTTAAGGCATAATAATAATTAGGAAAAAAAAAATTACTTCATTTAAGTATTCTCAGAATAGCCCTAGTAGCATTCTGAGAGACAAATGTAAGATCAGAAACACTATCAGATGAGTTTCTCAGCAGTAAACACAAGTTATCATGTAAAAAAGGATACTTTTTCTATACTGATGGTCATGACTCAAGCAGAAAACTAGCATGACAGATGATCAAAATATCTGGGATGAACAGAATTACCAAAATTACTATCAAAAGATAGTGGTTTAACTGAAGTGGTTTAACTGAAAAGCTAATACATTACTATTACCCGTAGTTGTTGTTAGCACATGAGGTGTTCTGGAAAGTGGAGACACACATTTTTCCAGGTCAGCTGAACTTGTAACTGCAGAAAAAGGTAAATAACCTTGAGAGATAGATTCATATTGGTGCAGACACAGGGGGGAGGAGGGGTACCAGGTGCGGGGGAGGAGGGCGGAAGCTGGAGGAGAGATCAGAAAAAGATTGCTTTACATTAATGTGCAAGATGGCAACACCACTATACTACAGTTTCAGAAGATTTCCAACTTGAAAATAAATGAACAAACCCCTAAAGTTTTGAAAAAGTCACACGTCCCTAACAGACACAACAGGACTCCCAATTGATCTGTGTATGTCTAACATCAAAAACACTGTGATTTGACTTCACCTGAAAAAGAGACCTACATATTTAAATTACATGCAAATATGAATTTCTACAACCAGCTATTCCTAATACCAACACTTTACTTGTTTCAGCTGAACAGATATTAGTAGTTTGAGTTAGAGGTTTTGCTATATTACTACACATTATGTCATTAAAAATAAATTGTGGTATTTTATATAATAGACATAACATAAATTGACATAGATTTTGTAACATAGTGAAGAGCTAGGAAGTGACACAGAAAATTCAAAACAATACTACTGAAACATTGACTGTCAGGTTTAGGATAATTTTCCTTCACATATTTTGCACATTAAAATCTTGGCTGTGAATACAAATTTAATCTTAGATATATATGAACCCAGTAAGAAAAGTTCCAAGGTGAAATAATAACATAACTTGGACAAAAATCTTAGTAACAGAGAAAACTGCAAAGTGCATAGTATGACTAACAAGATATTTCCCAGGGTAAAACGTCCCAGTCAAGAGTATGTTTTCATAACTGATAATGACACTATATAACTGGTGGACCTTATAGCTGAGAGATTAAAACCACCCAAACAATATTGATTCCTGTGGGTTTCATATTTGATCCTATGACACAGAATATCATCATGTAGCTATATAGCCTAACTACCAACACTGCAGACAACACCAAGCAACCAGAGCAAACAGCATGTAACTGTAACATCCTTGACACACAAACAAATTCTAAGCTATGGAAGAAACAAATACAATTTTCCAGACTCTATGTTTGATATTTCTGCATATGCAGGCATTTGGGATGGGAAAGTAACATGATCAGAGTCCAGTGAAGCTGGAAAACAAAACAAAACAAAGAATTGTTTTTGGCAGCATCTGAACCTACAGACTGAACTAATTTCAGGCCACTACTAAGGAACTAGGGACTTGAGTCAGGAAAAAATCTCTGGTGCAGATAGAATGGATTTTCTAATGTCAATGTGCAAAGATGCACTGGTGATTTAAATGATAAAGAAGCTGTTGCAAGAAACATGAAGAGATAATCAAGACATAAGACACCATAATGAAAAAATATGAAAAAAGAACATAAAAAATAACTAAAAAAAGGGGGGAAATGCAAAGAAAGATTGCTTATGCCTTGCAGCACAAGATGTTACATAAAAAACATAGTTTGAAAACATTATTTAAAAATAGGAATAACAGAGATGTACAATTTCTGAACACAGAAAATATTCTCTTGCAGAAGAGAAGGCAGAAGGATCATAAAAGGATAATATATGTAAAGAACCCCAGCATCATGGGAAAAGACCCTAAAGTACATGACATACAGATAACAAAAATATAATATTTTTCCAGTGCCATAAAAACACCCTTCAGAATCAGTTTCTGCTTCTTAGGTGGAGACACCAAGAAACACTGACAGCACATCTCTACGATCCAACTGTGTCTCAGTGGGAAGGATACATTAATAAAGAAGGATACATTAATACAGTACATTACAATACTAACTTGCACTTGACTTCAAGTCTGGGGACTTACCAGCCTGCCCATATCATGCTTTTATTACCTCATGGGCCAAAAATTACTGCCAAGCCGCATGACTGGTCTTGCACACCTGCCAGTGTGAAAGCAGCTATCGCCATGAGCATCTCCACCCATTGCCATCAACTGCCATAGCCAATGCTTAAGTAAATACAGCTTTTCTGTGAACAGCAGTTTCAACCATACACTTATGCTTCACCCTTACACAGGCCAAAGAAAAACAACGGTTTGGCTAAAAGCACAGCAATAGCTCCTGAGAGAGCACTTCCCATCTGCACTGTGACCAGTTCTGTAAGAAATGCAGCATGGCCAGGCACCAAAGGCTGCCGGTGTTTCGGAGAAACATGCTGTGATTCACCAGAAGCTGAAAAGAGGCATCGTCCTTACAACCTTACATCCCTGATGTGACCCCAAAACCAGCAGTAGAGCAGAGCGCTCCCATTCCCAGGTACTGGCAACATAAAGGTGTGGGCAGATGACAATGGGCTGCCTTCAAAGTCAGCAGTGAAGCAACCAGTGGCTGCACCCTTGGACCTGCAAACACTGGTGGGCAGCTGAACCACAGAGCTGTCCTCTTGTGCCAACCCAGATCAGCACAGCCAGGATTTGCACCTTAAGAACGCTGTCGTATTTGAATGTGTCAGAGAAAGGAAGGTCTGCTACCAAAACAAATGAAGCAGGGCAATGGCAGACAAAGGCAAGGTGCAGTAATGTGTTCTCTACGCAAGCTGCCATTCAGTCCCCACAGAAAATGCTTGTCAGAAATGGAGAAGCGTGGGATGAAACAACAGAATCACAGAACAAGTGAGGTGAGCGCTTTGGCAAGCCAAGCTGCACCAAGTCTTCGTACTCTCCATGGAAGATGAGACGGATGCCAGGTGTTTTGAGGTGGGAGGCATGATAGGAAGAGACAAAGGGGAAAATGGAAAAAGAAGGGGGTTTGCTAGTTACCCATCACAGTTGGATGCGTTGTCAAGGAGGAAGGAGTGGTGGACTTCAGCCTGGGTCTTCGAGTAGCTAAGATCAAACACAGAAACCACCTTCAGGTCCTCACACAGGATGTTGTTGCATGGTTGGTATCAAGACAGAGCTATAAACAAGGAAATGCGGACCTGCTTGGAGCAGGCTTCCATGTCACGGCATCACTCCTGTAGTGTGCATGATGCCATGTTTCAACTGGCATAGGTAGCCTGAGGCAACAGAGTAAACCTAGAAGTGGAATCTCAGAAAAAGCAGCAGAAAAGCTTACAGATGGAGCAATTTCTAATCAGGAGCCATAAAGGAACAACCGCATCATTGACCCACTCTTTTGGACACCAAAAAATCTGAACTGGCTCCCTGCTGCAGAGAAAAGCATTGCCAAAGTAATCAGCGGAGGAAAGGAACCACTGACACTGACTATTTACCCTTCACAGTCCGTGTGGTTTTCAACGAAGCAGACGAGGTGGATTTCAGCTCCGGTCTCTGGGTTGCTGCAGTCAGACACAGAAACGACCTTGAGACACTCACACGGTTTTCCCACAGCAGCACAAGCAGCACTAGTTCACAACACCCCAAAGGTCCATATCTAGGTTAACACACCCCTTCTCCTTGGAGTACCTTGTGACTCAGTGATCAAATCAGCAGGTAATTGTCTTGCTGTGGTTGCAACTAGCACAATACTGTTAAACTCAGTAGCTAAATGACTCTCCATCATCAGAAAAATGTCTAAATGTCTACTTTACCAACACACGTCTGACACTTTCCCAAAAGATGTTACAAGACCAGTCGTTGCAGACTGAACGTGGAGCAAAGAGACCTACTTTTGAACTCAGAATTCAAGATGACACGTCATGCGTTCATCTCAAATGCAAGGAAATACGAATTCTAAATTCTTCCTTATTCCAGCTCTAAAGAATAAAATGCACATTATCATTTGAACACTCAGTCATAACTCCAGCTCTCTTTGAAGCTCAACAACTTCACCACAATTTTTTTCCTTACTGTTCTTGTCACTAATATTATTATTTTTACAGAGAACAGACTGTGTAAGTCCTCACCATTCCCCTGAAAGGCTTCATCTTTCCCCATGTCATATAAAAGTTCCCATTCTTTCTTTAGGTTAGTCACTGAATCATAGAATCAGCTATGTTGGAAAAGACCTCTAAGATCATCAGGTCCAAAAATAACATGCCTATTCATCAAGCTTGAACTTCATTGTGGAATGAAAGAGGGAAAAATTGTTTATGTCCTATAAGTAAACTATGAGACAGCTATACCACATCAATAGCAAGACTAAGAGGTAATAAAACTATGCTGCTGATATATTGGAACTACATCTACAGACACACAGGAATTTAATGACAAATACTTTTCCCCCTCTGTCCCTGCAAAAAGTGATGGAAAAAAGCATAGGTTCAAACATCAGAATCACATCATTAGCATGTCAAGTGTTTTCACAAGCCAAAGTGCATTAACAAACCTAGTATTGCTCAAAGCAGATGAAAATTTTGTCAAGTGATAGCAGGGGAAAAGAAACAAATATGAAATACCATATTTACCCTCCAATGTTCTTTGACTTGCAAGGTAAAGAGAGGTAGATTTCAGCTTTGGTCTCTGGGTAACTAAGATTAAACCAGAAAACTGCCTTCAGATATCACAGATGAACATTCCTTTTTCAAAGCAGTGTCAGTACAGAGTTTTAAATGAACGAAGCCCATATTCCATTCAGCTTTTACATAAATATCTGCATTCATTACAGCATTATTCTTTTTTTAAATGAGGGTGGCCTAGCTGAGTTAGTGTAGAATACAGACAGTTAGCCTTTTAGTGAACTAGACCTATAAAACAGAAGATTACAGAGGGGGATTGAGAAGCTTAACAATTATCTCATTGTCATTATTTATAGAAATGACTGACCACTAACACATTTGGCACTGCCACTAAAAGGGGGAAAAAGAAAATTCAAAAGTTATTGATTAAAATAATGCTTTTCATATATAAGTATTGCCAAAAAGAAATCATGCTGGAATATTGTTTACCCTTTACTGTCTTCCTGGTTTCCAGTGAAGAAAAAGATGTGGGCTCCAGTACTGGTCTTGGAAGAGCTAAGGTTAGAGACGGAAACTATCTTGAGATGTTACAGAGTCTCTCTGTAACAGCATCACTTTAATCGCATCCAGAAAAATCAGTATTTAAATTGTGGCTTATCAAGTATACTTTTCCTACCAAATAAATCATACAGCAATTTTTTGTCACTCTCTATAACCAAAAACCCCAACCACTAGTTGAACACTGTTCCTAGAAGACAATAATGGCAGTCATGATGTTCCAGAGCTGCATTTTAACTGCAGTAAATAACAGATCCACCAACTAATTTTCAGGCATCAAATATTTTCAAACTATTAATTGAGAAGTGGTCAACAAATATGTAACCAGAATCCCTGCCTGCTTCAAAGATACAGGCAAGTTTTTGAAATGACCACCTTATTTTATTTTTCTGATCTCTTCTACATTACCCTCTTCTAGCAACATTTAATGATTCACTAACCAAATCAATAACTGGCATTTCCTGTGATTAAAAATTCATGAGGTATTCTTAAGAACAGCAGCTAAATCTGTTTCCACCTATGGAGAAGCTTTTGCATCCAATATAAAAGAACCTGATATGCATAAAAGTAGCAGATTTGACATGTTAGCACTTAACCACTTCGAATAACAGGCCTCCATAAACATACAATCCTTCATGGAAAAAAAAACAACAACCCCACAAGACAATCTGTCCTATTGCTTACAAACATAAGAAAAAAAATAATCTTATCATTCCAGCATTTCATTCTCAGTATCTCAAATGTTGTAGCAGATGTAACTGCTATCTCTTCAGTTACGCTTTTATACAGAGCAACTTAGAGTAAACTCTCCGTTTAGGAAAGCATCACTGTGACTTTGAGAGACTGACTAGATGTCAGAACTACAGTGAAGAGAGATATCATTACCAGCTGAGATTGGTGACATTTCTGGCATGCTAGATGTTGTGGATTTTGAAGAAAAAGCCTTCCTTTCACCTAAATCCAAAAGGAATCTTGTATTAAAAGGCTTAATTGCCTCAGATCTACTATGGATAGCACAGGACTCCGCAGACAAATGCTGCATTGGTAAAACTGAAGTACAGGGAAATTTGCTTGCAAATCAGCTAGGCATTACTATGTCTTATGAACCGTTAGGGGGTGTGGACTCAACGTGGAAACCATGTGACTGAATTATTCAAACTGAAGAGGATCATAGAATGGTTACAGTTGGAAGGGACCATAAAGATCATCTAGTTCCAACCCCCCTGTCATGAGCAGGGACACCTTCCACTAGACCAGGCTGCTCCAAGCCCCATCCAACCTGGCTTTGAACATTGCCAGCGATAGGTCAGCCACAACTTCTCTGGGCAACCTGTTTCAGTGCCTCACCAACCCTCACAGTGAAGAACTTCTTCCTAATATCTAACATAGGAAAAATATCTTATTACTAGGAAAGAAATCTTATCACTACTTACTTATTTTAACATAATAAGAATTATAAGTTGTAAGAAAACACCTTTTGATCCAGAAAACAGTCAGTGGGTCAGCCAATGTAAAAGCTAGTCAAAACAACCTTTTCACAAGATTACACAAAACCAACCTGTTGAGTGCTTAATTCCCTTTCACAGTTAAGTTCTCCCAGCATAAAAAATACCCCAACCAAACCAAACAACAACCCCCCTTCCCCCACCCCCCCCAAAGGAAACCAAACCCAAACCCCAAACCGAGAAAGGCAGGTACATGGCTGGGAACCTCAATAATGAGAAAACCAAACCCAAGAAACTAAAGGGAACCCACATCTATGACCCCAGTCTTCCATCTACAAAGATGAAGGATGAGTGCAGATGAGATCCTGGTTAGTGGCAGCAGTAAGTGGGGAGGAGGCCCAGTTAGAATTTCTAAGGCCCGGTTAGAATTACTAAGGCCTAGCTAGAATTAAACTTTGCTAGGGATGTGAAAGATAACAGGAAGGGGGGGTTGGAACTAAATGATCTTAAGGTCCTTTCCAACCCTAGCTATTCTATGATTCTATGAATTACATTGCAAATAAAAGACAGACTAAGGACAATGTGGGCCCCCTCCGGAAGCTATCAGGAGAACTGGCTACCCTGGATTTGGAGAAGGCTGAGGTTCCTAATGACTTCTTTGCCTCAGTCTTCACTGCCAAAGGCTCTGAACACACCACCCAGGTCTTGGAAGGGAGACGAAGGGACTGTGAGAATGAAGACCCTAGGCCCACTGTAGAAGAGCATCAGGCTCGAGACCATCTTAAGAACCTGAACATGCACAAGTCCATGGGACCTGATGAAATCCATCCACGGGTCCTGAAGGAGCTGTCAAATGAAGTTGCTAAGCCGCTGGCCATCATATTTGAAAAATCATGGCAGTCAGGTGAAGTTCCCAACAACTGGAAAAAGGGAAATATAACCCCCATTTTCAAGAAGGGAAAAATGGATGACCTGGGGAATTACAGACCAGTCAGTCTCACCTCTGTGCCTGGCACAATCTTGGAGCAGATTCTCCTGGATGGCATGCAAGGCACATGAAAATCAACAAGGTGCTTGGTGACAGCCAGCATGGCTTCACTATCTGAAGGAGGACTATAAGGATGCTGGGGAGGGACTATTCATTAGGGACTGTAGTGACAGGACAAGGGGTAATGGGTTAAAACTTAAACAGGGGAAGTTTAGATTGAATATAAGGAAGAAGTTCTTTACTGTAAGGGTGGTGAGGCAGTGGAATGGGTTGCTCAAGGAAGTTGTGAATGCTCCAGCCCTGGTGGTGTTCAAGGCCAGGCTGGACAGAGCCTTGGGTAACATGGTTTAGTGTGAGGTGTCCCCACCCATGGCAGGGGGTTGGAACTAGATAATCTTAAGGTCCTTTCCAACCATAACTAATCTATAATTCAATGAATTAGTGGGATGGTGATAACTAAAGCAACACAAAGCTTCCAAAACCAGCAGCAAGGATAAAAAAAAAGGGGGGGGGGAGAAAAAAAAATTGCAACTAAATAAAGTCATCTTATCAATTTTATCCAGTGCTGTTTCTAATAAGTGAGGTTCTGTAGTAATTTTGGGCATGGATATTTCCAACTCAGTATATCTCCAGCTGCAGGGTGTGAAAAGGGGTAAGTAAATACCCCTGAAAAATAACTTTATGTAAATAAATTCAGAAGGAAGATGAGAAATTTTACCCTTGACTGCTCTGCAGAGTGTTTTTAAAAATTGCTGTTTATTTATTTATGAACTCAAACTTCTTTTTCCAAGTATTTTCAATACCTTCACTAACTAGTTAGCTGAAGATAATAGTCTAGTTTTTGCAAGTGTGCAAATGTTCACAAAAATTTTGATAAACAATGTATATATAGTTTTACATGTACTTAAATAGCACCTGAAAAAACAGCTGTACAACTTACTGTACCACTTAAAACACATCTTTCCAGGAAGTTAAGAATTCTTCAGAAAATTTAGGAAAAAAATGTGATCTGGGGAGGTTAAAGTCTCTTGGTACCACTTCATTAACTCAACTCTCAATTTCTGTCCCAGGTATCCCATGTAACAAAATGAACGAAGTTGATTTGAAAATCATTGCCTGGGAATAAGATGCAGTGTAGCAGATTTGAACTCTTGAAAACTGTACTGCAATGCCAAGAACCAGTAGGTTATACAGCAGAGGGCTTAATAAACTATAGTTGCATTACTCAGAGTAAAGTGTTGGGCAAGGAACTGCTTTCCTTCCCCCTTCACCACCTCCTACCCCTTCCACATTACCCTCATCTCTTCTGCACATACTTGTTCATATTCAAGCTTAAAAAAATTAAGCATCCTCACATCTCAAAGGTTACAGAAAAAAACAACTACCTATCTCCAAAGCTGTAATCCAAGGTATACCTTAGTCAGAAAAGGTCTGGACTGAGATATGTTTACTTTCTTATTTCAAGACAATACATCAGAAAAATCACAGCAAAAATGTGTATGGGCATTGAAAAACAGACAGAAAGAGAGAATGAAAACAATTTCATCAGTAAAAAAACTGTAACCGTCTTAAGCTTTGAAAATTTTAAATCTTTTCCTGACACATCCATTTTATCAATACTATAGTCTTTGTTTAAACTTGTTCTGTGAGGATGCTGTTACAGGACTTGAAAAACTAACACATGGGGCAACACACATTGCAAGCAAGAAGGAACAACTGTCTGAAATCATAAACATGGAAGTAGCACCAACCAACCAAACAGAAGGGTATGTTTCTGAAATAATAGCACTATAATTTACCAGTGCCTCGTATTTCTGAAGCTGTAAAAGTTTGGGGAGTAGAAGTAACATGAAGAAAGTCACGTGAAGCTGGAAAACAAAAATAAAAATAATGTTGTATTGTTTTGAAGTGGTAAGAACCATCATCCAACAGCACCATATTATTTTATGAGCTGAAGAAACTTCTAGGTAATATTTAGCACATTGTGTTCTGCAGAAAAATAAGACTCTGAAATGTACAATAACCAAGTAAGTATGACTTGAAAAAAGTTCCAAAACCATACATAAATGCACAGATACATAAGGCAACGAATTACCAAACTGTCAGCAGAATCACACAAAAAGAAGCTGAACTATAGAGTTAAAAAGAAAAATATAAAGCTGCTCAAAAAAGAACAAATTACAAAAAATAGTAGCAAATTGGGACTGCATGGAATTTTTTTCTAGAATTCCAAGAATCAAGAAGGAGGACATATTGGTGCTGAAACTGGAAAAGGATGACAAAGCAGGAACTGTACCAAATGAAACATACAATATGTCTGTTGTCAAACATGAGAATGGCTGATAGTTGCAATCAAGCTCTCCTTTATTAATGGATTTTCTTCAAAAATTAATTTCTTCCAAAAATGTATTCGTCAGGCATCACACTATTGGCATGTTAATGAAGTGAAATCTTTCCAACTGGCTCTCATCTTACTTTGTTTTTTTTTCTTCTTTTGGATAACTGTCAGTGGCCCCAGGTAAATAACTAGCTATTACAAACTCATCTATAAAATAAAAGAAACCCGTCACAGAAATTATCAAAGGACCAAGTAGTCAGTGTCTGAATCTTCAATGACATGTTTTCATAGTGCTAGTTTTGAAATCTGGGAACTTACAGTTGTGCCTATGCTTATATAAAAAGGCTAAACACAGAGCTACATTTTTAAAAGATGTTGGAATTTCTGCAGTTTCCATTCATTTTTTAGGACTGAATACTTCAGCAAATCAGGATATTACACTTATGAAACACAGGTGAGGACAGGCCTATTTAAATTTAGTATTTACTGTAAGCCCAATTGAATTTTAAAGCTAAGAATTACAGGCTGTAGCCAAACTACATGTAAAATCCTCCAAACTGCTAGTTCAGTTTGTCATATAAAATGTTATAAACAAACCTGCTATTTGATACAGCACTTTCATACCTGCAGTTACTCTTCATTTGCTGAACAAACTGTCAAACTGAACAAACTGTTTAATGAGAGGCACTGTCTCTGAAAATTCCTATCTGCCAAGAGGATTAATCTTATGAAAAATTGTTACCAGATCTGGTTGGTTGCACTTCTGTGGTATAAGATGTTCTGGATCCTGAAGAAATAGGCTGTGTTTCCTCAAAAGCTGAAAAAAGAATCTGAGTTTAAAATGCTGAGACCTGTGATTTAATGGATTAACATCAAGTAGCTTAGTGAAGGCTGTTCAACTTCAGATGATGATAATGCAAAGCTAAGCAAGATGGCAGATGGCCTGAGACACAAGACAATTGTGTCATGGCAAGAAGACATGACGGCTTGCAATACAGACTTCGGGCCCTGAAATTTGACTTTCACATGCCTGAAGGAATTCTTATCAGCAAGGAATTTTATCTTATTAAATTTTCTGGGATCAGTTGCAGCTATACAAAAAGAAATAAGCTAACAGTGAGATATGACAACACTGTCTTTAAAGCTGTCTTTAAATCAGTAACAAATATGTTTTTCAGCTGGTCACACAGACAAAAGAATGGTGAATAAGAAGCTCTCTGTGAGTGTTGGTAGTCAAGATTCTAAAGCAGATCTCAAAATTACCATTTGCAGATCTACGTGATGCTAAGAAAATTGAAAAAAAGTCACGGAACTAATCTGCTGATTACCCATCTCCATCTCTCTGGTTTGTGAAGAAGGTAGAGATACGGATTTCAAGGCTGGACTCTGAGTAGCTAAAAGCAAAGATGAAAAAAAAAATATCATGATATCAAGACGGTGGTACAAAAATCTTATTTTTAACTGTAATGAGCAATTTTTTGTTTGGTTTGAAGGTCTCTTCTTTCTACTAATTTTTACCCTAATCAAGCTTTGACATACATTATCTTATAAAGCTGAATCCATATTACTTAAGAGGTTTCTCTTCTCAGAGGAGCAGCTCCAACCCCAACTCTCCAATCAAAACACATTTGATCTTCACAGCAGTCACATGTCTGCATAAACTGTTTACTGTTATACTATGTATAACTATTTTAAAAGGAGATGTAATGGGAAAAGATAAAAATAGAGAGTACAATGAAGTCAGTGAAACAATCATGAAAGTAAACAGCATCCTTTACCTGTTATGTTGTAATGACAACTATTACAAAAACCTTACGGTTATTTCAGTTTGAAGTATGGATAACCTGAAGTGTGCTTTAACGAAAACAATGAATCAAGGCAGAATTGGGCATTCTTATCTAAAGACTATTATGAATATGTTTCCACCATGTGCCAGTTTTGCACTACTGTCCTGCTTCTAAGAACCAGATCCTATTCAAATGTGTGTACAGGTCAGTAAGTACCATTCTTTCCCGTAAACTTATTTGCACCAGTCACTTATGCTTATTTAGGTTATGATATATTTGAAAGAGAAAATTTCCATCTTTGTTTTTAGTAGGTCTTTATCTAGATGAGTTTTCCTGAAAAGCAGTTATACCGGAATTTTAAAAACAAACTTCTCTGAATGCTTGGGATTGAGAAAAACATTCTCAGCTAGGTGTAGGTTTCATTTCTAACACAGGCAATATAAATATAACCCAAAACATGAACAGACTTTTACTTCATATATTGGATCTGCTTTCCTATTTACTTTCAATCCAGCTTATCACATTAACAAATATGATCTCAGTTTACTACCCTGGTATAGCTGGACTCAGCAGTTGGACCAGATGATCATTGTAGGTCCTTCCAACTGAAACTATTCTTTTCTGTATTTATAAGGAAAAAAAAACCTACCAACTAAAGCTGTATGATTCACAGCTTTTGGCAAAAGCTTCCATTGATGCATTTATATCCAGTAAGAACTATGAAAGATCTCCCAAAGACATCAGAGCATTAAAGGCATGTTAACAAAGTTATCTTTTCAAAAAAAGACTGAATTCAAAATACAGCGACCACACAGATAGTTTATAAAACAAAGGAGATGTCTCCCTCTGGTACAATCAAGATAGAAAAATAGAGGAAAAAAAGCCATGAGGGGAACTAGGGCAGAATACAGGTCACACACGCTTAAACTTCAGAAATTAAATTTTGCTTTCTTTCCTGATTTTGTGACAGCAGGTCATCAAGGCGTGAAGAGGCAGAGCGCAGAGAAATCTAATCCATATGAACCTCACCTTTGCTCTCACAAAATATTTTTGACTTCAGTACTGATTTCATGGGCAGCACAGATGCTCCAGCTGACCCAATGGCTGGGCCCAGCTTCACATAATTAAATAACACTTTTGCTAAGTGAAACAATTTGGCAAAAATGGAAGACATGAAAACAAAACCAGAATAAATACTTGAAAGAAACATGTACTGTGACTCAGCTATTACTATTTTACTTTTATCCCTGAGACAAACACAGATTAGGTTATTGTGCCCCAGTAGAAAGCAAAAATACTTCTCATCCCTAATAATCTTCAGGTTTTCAGCCACATTATAGCAAATAGGTCCTTAAATCATTGTATCTCTCTCTCTCTTTCTCCAGTGCTGCCTCTAACTGGATTTGATCAAACTTCTTTCACCACAGTGAAAACAAATATGTATCTCCATCCCCACAAACATATCTGGAAAAGAGCCGTTAAAAATTGTAGTAAATTAAAAAAAAAAGATAGTTAAAAGGATTTTCACATTCTTGAGAATTTGTTTCAAATACTCATTTCAAGAAATAAGGGAAGTAAGGGTTCCTGGAAATTATTTTAAAATTTGGCAGACTGCAGTAAGTAAAAGTATGCTGCCTAAATAAAGCAGCACTACTACATAATAACTTCTTGACTAACGTTGAATGAAATATAAGTCCACACTGATTCAAGGTCACTCGTTAACTAGTGTAATAGCTATTTATATAGATAGCAGCAACAAGCAGTTTCAGCAGAATGAGACATTTAGGACTAACACAGTGACTCAGTGTAGAGAAATAGAGGTCTGTTATGTAAGCACAGGTCTTGAGAAGGGGAGACATAGGAAACAGCAAAGAAGAGTACAGGCATGGGATAATAAGAGATGGGGAGTAGGAATTGGAGACCCAATGCCATAAACAACTCAGTGATGATGTATTATAAAAACTGCACACCTGAAGCTGGACAAAATTTACTTTGAGTTAACAACAAGAACAGAGAAATAGCATCTAATACAATAGGCACCATTTATGCTAAAATCAGATGTAAATTGTCTCTCAACAGAGGGGAGAGAGAGGGAGAAATCATCAACATGAATGTCATATTCCTCCCAGCACAGGACTCCAGATGCCTATAACTTGCTGAAATATCACCACTCCCCACCGACACAAGCATGAATGCACCAAGCTTAGGACCCAGAGATAGTGAGTGGAAGGGTGAGCAAAACACCAGGAAAAAGGGTAGAAGCTAAAGTTTTCTGTTACTGTTTTAACTACGTTACTGCTATTATTGAGGCTTTCTGTATGGAAGGACTCCACCTGCATTAATATTCTTTGTTTTACTCTAAGAATCAAACCTAAACTAATGATGATTGTTGAACTATATAGTCCATTAAGGCATGTTCCCTCTTTGCCCATAAGAAGATTTTGACCCTAACATTTTGACTCTAACACAGGTAAAACTATTTTGAAAATGTGAGCAGTGCCATACTTTCTCAAACATCAGGCCTTTCCAAAGTGTTCTGAAGTTCATCACCAAACAACTGATGAGAAATAAGCAGATTTATGTATATTTAAACTGCAACATCTTCTACAAATTATGGCACTATTTAAACAGAACATACAAGTATTTGGCAAACTGCATGAAAATCCACAGAACTCATGTTCAATGCAACAACACTCCAACTGTGAAATGCAGTCTCAGAAGCTCATGGTGTAGAGTACTTCTAAGAACATTACAAAACTAAGAGTACAGATTTTAGCTAAATATAAACTGCCGTCATCAGACTGTAGATAAAAGTTATCCCATATTCTCACAAGATTTTGTTTGTTTGGTTGGTTTTTAAAATGAAGCATTAATCTGGAGAATCCTGTCACAAAAATAAAGCAAAACCAGGCTTATAATGAAAGAAGAAATTTGCAAATTCTGTGAAGAAAAAGCTAAAGCCTACCACATTTTATAGACAGAATATTATTGCAGCTGAAGAATTAAAACCTACTAACCACAGAAACAAAAGAATTAGATAATTTTCTGCTGACGTTTACAAAGAAAGCAATTACCGAGCTCTGTCAGTGGACTTTTTGGAGCATCAGAGATTCTGGATCCAGAAGGAAGAGGCTGTATTTCATTAGAAGCTATAATAAAAGAAATAATCAAGACTTTAATTGATTAAGAACATTACAAGGCACAGCATGGATCTATACTTTGGCTTATAGACCACTCACTCCTGAACCCAATGATATTTAATAAAAAAAGAAAAAAAAAATTAGTTCCAACCTAGGAAAAAAATATCCACACAGCTTTCTCATTTAAAAGGATGTGTGGAATTGCAGAAAGAAATCATCTTTCCCCTAATAGTAATATCAAGATCCATCAATCACAGGGATTTAGTAATGAACATCCATCACTAACTATGATCACTTAGTTTGAAATTAATCACTGACCCATCTTGATTAAATTTTGTATTTTAATCTTTAAAAGCATGGCAGAAAACCAAGCAAGGTTCATTATCCTTAAAAAGAAATTGATCAAAGTTAGAAAATTTGATTGGCCGATGACTGAGCTTCAGGAATTACTGAAAATCCACTTGTGACTGTAAAGGAAAAAAGACAAGAGAATATGTAATTAACATGAATCAATAGGATTAAGTAAAAATACGTTTATTGAGAAGCATTAGCAGTCCTCTTCATGGGAAGATCTGTATTTCAGTCCTGCAAATGCTGATGATCTTTTCCTTTATCGTATATCATCCTGTGTGTATGTCATCTGGGCCTTAAAGAAATCTAAGCAAAGTTTAGAAAAAAAAAAAATACAACCTCAAGTTTAGATTTGTGTTCAGAATTTTACACCATTTGGGGGTTAAAATACAGGCAACAAAATCAACATTGGAGAATTTAGAATTCTGAATGCAAAGAAGTAAGTAGATGCTGGTTCAAATCCCAGAACTAACAGTACTATTACTTTGATCAGAAATCTCTCATTCTGAGACACTCTGAAAAAAATCAGTAAAGTTCTTTTTTCCTCCAGGAACAAATACAATTATATCATGTCACATGCAATACAAAACTTTACTTTTGCATCACTATTGATGCTACCTAAATGAACCTGTCAACAGAAGAAAAACAAGGAGGTAATTATTTCAGTTTAATCACTGAAGTTAATTTTACTGATGGAAATTTTATGTGATGTCAGTCATACAGACCACATAGACAGAAAACATTGAATCACCTCATCAAATCCGCTAGTAATAACCGTACGTATAACAGCCACAGTTCAGCCAGAGCTAGATGCATCCTAATTTACATTTCATGTGTGAATTGCTGGAAACACAAAGGGAACCAGAAATCACTAATTAGGACTTCTTTTGGAGCAATAAAAAGGGAGTGTAGCAAGTAGCAGAAAAGGTGTGCTGAAGGGGAAAAAGGCATTTAATACACAAACAAGGTAAAAAGCAGCAAAATTAGTTACCCAGTATGTTTTGAGTTTGCACCAATTTGGGTTTAGGCGTTGATTTAAATTCCTCAAGTCCATGTTTTTTCTCAGCTTGAGCTAGAAGAAAGAAGCTTTATTTACTTTAGAATCCCTTTAAACTTTTCTTTACCTACTGGTGACCAGCAGCATCAATATAGCAAAAAGTTTCAGTATTCATTAAGTTTAATAAAAGACCATTTTAATTTTAAAACACAATAGAAGAGAGTTTTGTTTATTCCAGCATGGTCTCCATGCTTTTTCCACAATCTACTGAGCATGGTTTAAGCAAGAACTGATCAGGTAGGTTTATAAGGTTCTCCTTGCATTTCTTAAAGAGAACATACCATTTTCCACATTATGCATAGTTACATAAATGCCACTACAGCTACAAGTGTTACACTATTTTCCGCTTTTCAATGCCACAAAAACTGGAATCTCCACAGGTGCTGCCTTGTTGGGATCAAATTCAGCTTCTACTACATCAGTTACAGCGCTGTTACTTTCACTGCAGTGGAAGGCGTTTTTTGTTCTAGAGTGAAGTTAAAGGAATTTATCCTTATGAAGCAGTGGATGAAAATTCATCCAGAAAAGCTCCACAGTTAACAAACCTCAGAAGTACTTCAAAAGCTAGCATTTCTTATTGGTGAAATGCAACCATAAAAAAAAACAACAAACCAACAACAGAACAAAACAAAAACCTCAACAAAAAAAGCTAATACAGAAAGTTAGAACTCATTATTCTTTGGGTTCTTTTTAGAGGTCAGGTGGCTTACACTCATATAAGGTATGTCTCTTGTCAGCTAAGTTAGCTGAGCAAGCTGAACAAAAAATAGCATGCCTACAATTGGGATAAAAGAAAGCAAGGTCTCCTGCAGTCTGCACAGGACATTGAGGGATGATATGAAATAACATCAGACGTTTTTGTAGAAAAAGATACAAGAGGCAGAAAGCTTAGGATTTAAATGTAAAGAAAGAAATGCCGCTATTGTCACAGCATGGAATACAGCAAGAATGATTTCAGAAAACATTTCTTAAACAATTTTCCCTCTAACTTCTCTTGACCTTCTCATTCATGTTCCTCTATTCCTCCACAACTAGAATTAAGATATTCTGAGGGAATCAATAATCTCACTCCTTCCCATACCCCACATGAACACAAGGAGAAGCCTTCAGGAGCCAGAAGGACAGTAGAAGGAGCAGAACTTGGGGAAACATGTCAACAAATGAATTATTGCCACTAAACATTAACTCTAGATAATTTTTCATTTCAAGCCTATTCTCTGTTTGACAAAGGTATTTTGATAGATTTCTGATATAATCTGTTACATAAAGAAATAACTTGCTCTTTTATAATTTTTTTTTTATTTAAAACAGTTCTTCCATGTCCTAGACAGCTGTGCTGTTATTTCTAGCTGTTATTTTATTTCAGTTTCCCTGTGAAGTTAATGAAAGTGCTCACAATTCAACTGAGAGAAAAAAAAAGCAGTGGTAGTTTGAGTTATATTAGACACCATTTTAAAGATCGAAGGGGGGGTGGGGAAGCATTTTGAATTTGTGCTGTTGTGTTAAGGATAAATTTGTCCTAAGTGGAAAATATCGTAACAAGTCTGGAAAAAACAAAGCATGAAAGAGCTCACTAACCAGTCTTTCCATGGAAGTGCATGCCAAGGGAGGGGAGGCCTGAAATTAAGAAAATGATGGGATGCCTGGCTGACAAATACACCAAAACCAGTTACTGAACTATGTCACACCACAAAACACTCACTTTGACAAAGGCCCAGTGGAATAGAGGCCCAGCTCACTGAACATTTCAGCTTGTTGAAATAATTCAAGCTCCTTTCTTCCCTTCTTGCCTGACTGATGACACAATGGCTGCTACAGCACATGGCTCCTTTTAAATCAGTGTTCCATTGTCAATTCTGGCACCAGTTCTTAAAACTTTCATAGCAAATAATTGCTATGCCTTAACTTTCAAATAGTGAAGCCTGGATGAAATATAATGAAGTAGATCCTATTGCTAAACTCAATTAATTGTGCCCATGTATCACCCTGTCCTTCAAATACAACCCTTGCAAAATGCTGGTGCTCAGATCTCTCGCTCAAAGTCTGGCTCAAATGCTTAAGTATTCAAGTTATTTTTGCATATGCAATGACCAGACTGAAATGACACTTGAAGAACTTACTTTGTCTTTTAAACAATTTACTTTTACTTCTCTATTTCCTGCCCCCTTTTTTTTTCTCTTTAACTGAAATATTGTAACCACAATGAACACATTCTTTAATGTAAATAGTGTCATACTCTTACATCAGCACTGTGATCAAGAAAGAATGACTGAAAGGAATGGTTACCACAGCAAAAGATACGGAAGTAAAATCACAGAGGAAGCATGGAGAGGAAGATGAAAATTATTCTAAACATTTCAGTAAACAAATAATCGTATGGTAGCTGTAAGAATATATTAAATTTCAACAAATGCTTCTATATCGCTTGGCACTAAAAAGACTCTGCTTGCTCAATTATCATGCAAAATGAAACACACCAGTAACTTAAAAAACATATAATTCTGTGTTTATGGTTAGAAATACTGCATGCCAGGTACATAAACATCATTATAGAACACAAAGGAACTGGAATGGACTGATTCTCTGTTCCCCAGGTGATGTATCACTTCTGGCATCACATTTCACAGCATTTACCTGATTAACCAGTAAATTCCAGCACAAGGATGAATTATTTTGGCTAGATGAATGCATTCTTGAGGATTACAATTTTGCAGGAGAGCCAATTATAAATTATCTTTCATTTCTAATTTTCACAAAATGGCAAATTCTGTGAAATGTATTTGTAGATTGCAGTTACTCAGACAAGGCAATTAATTCAGTAAAATAACTGCAGAATCTAAGTCTACAAGAGACCACAAACTATAAATCAAAAAAATTTGAACAAAAAAAATTACAGTTTTTTAAAAAGTATTCACATTTTCAAATGTGAGGCAGTCTGTTTGTTACACAAATGCTAAACTTGTCATGTTCAGAGCTCCCTTTGAGAATAAATTCCTTTGGGAGCATCTTTGTTTTCCTCTTAATAATTAGGATGAACAGAAAAGAGCTATTCATATGAAGGTTCTGCAGCAAGTAATTGATGGTTAAAACTAGAATTTAGCAAACACATATCTACTGAATGAAAAATAAAATTCCACAAACATTTTCAAAGAGAAAAAAAAATGGTTTGTTTAGTCTAAAAGATGGTTGCCAATCATTACATGAGTTTGCTGCATTATTTCATCCCACACTTCTTTTACTCCCAAATATTCTTTGGGAGGGTTTTTGTCTACTTGTTTGCTTTAATTAAAGACTGAGTTGGTCTCACGACATAAAGTATCGTATCTTTGATATACATATGGAATAAAAATATCCACAGTCATGTTTAAGGGCAGTATCTGTGTGAATTGTGTGATATTGTCCTGGGTTCAGCAGTAGCAGTCATTTTTCTCCTTCTTGGTAGCTGGTGCAGTGCAGTGTTTTAACTTTCAGCTCGGGAACAGAGCTGATAACAAGGATGTTTTGGTTTGGCCAAGGACTTTGTGAGCCTCATGCTCTGCCAGGGAGGAGGGGGAGCCAGGAGGAAGCAGAGACAGGACACCTGACCCAAACTGACCAAAGAGGTATTCCATACCACAGCACGTCATGCCCAGGATGTAACTGGGAGTTAGCCGGAAGGGCTGGGAGACTGCGGGGTTGGAGGAGGTATCGGTCAGAGCTTGGTCGGGCTGGGGGGGCGAGTTATCGGTCAGCTTGTGGTGAGATGATGTATTCTCTTCCCTTGTTATTTCCTTTATCATTGTTATCATTGGTGGTAGCAGTAGTGATTTGTGTTATACCTTAGTTACTAAACTGTCCTTATCTCAACCCGTGGGAGTTGCATTCTTTTCGATTCTCCTCTCCGTCCCTCCGAGAGCAGGGGGAGGGCAGAAAGGGGGGGGGAAGTGAGCGAACGAATTACCTGACTGGGTTTAAACCACGACAGATATCAAAAGAATAATGTGCTACACAGTTTCAACCAGCCAGGAAATACTTTCTATATGGAATAGCGTAATGCCAGCAAGACAACATAATATGACTAAGCTAATCCAAAGCACACCATCACTATATTGTTTCCACAAATTCCTTTTTATTTTTAAGTCTTGCCACTGTTTAAGCCTTCTTTCTCCCTTTCAGCAAAGAAGTTGACAGAAGTCAACTACTGTCTCTAATGACAGCAAAATCAAGACAGCAAGCATAATGAAGTCTCAATTATAGGATAAAAGCCAAACGACAAAAAATGAAGGTAGGTATATGACTACTGAAGCAATTTTAGATGTGGGTTGATAAAGTAGATAGTGAGTCTCTCTTCATCATTTGACACAAAATAATTGAGTTCTGTCCAATCTTTTTCTCAGATCACAAATGTTAAGCCATAGGGCTATACTTGTCTTATGACTTGATAAAGTAGTCTATGTTGCACTTGTTCCCTAAGCAAAGGAAGCCAGTAGATCATGTGAGTTTTAAAACATCACTTCGTGTTTTTTAACAGTATAAGAAATTAGCATCTGAGTAAGTCCTTTTAAATAAATGATATTTTTTCAGCCACAAGTAGATGATAAAAAACTTCAGTCTTCAAAATATACAAGGTAAGATACATTTCACAGTCATATAACCTTGAATATGAGTCTAGGATCAAATTTTATATCCCTTTCCCATATATGTGAACAGCTTCCACTTACATTAATAAGACCAGTAAGTCCACAAAGACAGTGTGGTCAAGATTAATGTGATCAAAACTGAACTTAAATGGATCATCATGCTGTTATCCTCTAAGCCTCTGAGCTTGATACAGTGATCATTCCATCTTAAGGTCACGCATGCATTTTGCATAATCATACTATCATCTCTAATTTGCTTCTTCACATATTTCATGGAAGTTAGAAGTTCAAGGCGCATCACCAGAAAACTCATTTTGCCATGCTTCACAATTTCAAGGTATCCGGCACCCCACAACGATACGGTTGTAAGTTTTTTATAAACCTAACAACTTTCCCCTCAAATTCAGATTTTATTCAGACTTTTATCTACACCTGCCACTCATGGTTACTAATTCAGCCACATTATCCTCCTGTTTTCCCATTACCGCCTTTAACCGCAGATTGAGCAACACAAAGATGAAGTTAATTTTAGCTAATATATTTGGAAAAAATATTCCACAGTTTCTAAAAACAGAATTTTCATTACCTGGGAGAGACTCTGGAGAGATTTCTTGAACTGCTGGTGTTTTGGATTCAGCAGGCCACACTTGAGTTTCATTCTTAGCTAAAGGGACAAAATGTAAGAGAGTAATTGCAAATCTGCTCTGTTCTACTACAGATTTATTTTTATCCTACTTCAGTTTGCCAAAGTAAAATGAAATGGACAAATGTGGAAAGCTGAATACCTTTAGGAATCAATGAACTTCCACTGTAAACTCAGTACAAACATCTATCTAGGTATGTTAAACACGTGCTTTTTTAATTTGTTTTGTTCATTAAATGATTCCTTAAAAATAAAATTTACAGCATGGAAATTAATGCCTTATGAATCATTACTTTCACAGCGCAAAATAGTCCTCAGTGTTTTTCATTTTCTAGCATTTCAAGCATTAACAGCAAAAATGCTTTTCAAAAGTCAAAGATGCAATATAGCTCTAAGCATTATAAAAGAATAGTCTAATAAATTTTCAAATACAATGGAAATTTCATACTAGTCATGTCCTTATTTTCAGTTACATTACTTCTAAAAATTACAGTAGTATGACAATAGCCTTCTATTTCAACAGATAGAAAGATATTTCAGCAGTGGATATAAGAAAATTAATGAATTTTGACTTGAATAATACACTTGTGGGTTTTTTTTTCCACTGAGGACTAAGGCAATACACTTTGTATAGTAAGATTTTTACTAGTTTTTATAGAAAAAAAACAACAACAAAAAAACCTTTGAGAATTCAATCAGTATGATATTCTTTGATGCATTATTTTGACTTTTCTAAATAATACAGAATTAGAGTAGTTGCAGTGTGTCAGCAAACTATAATTAGTCATAACTCCGCACACAGATAAGTCTTATTGCATTTTATTGTAGACATACATCATTCTCAGACATCAGTGAAAGGTATCTGTATAGATTTGGATAGTATGTCTTCTTGTCAATTATATTATACATTTAAACTCTTTCTCAGAGTACTTTTGCTTTACAAGCAATGATGCTTCCATGTTTTACACTCCTTTGAAATCCAGTAGTTATTTGTGTGTATACCAATGTACTTCACATTCTCTATTAAGGAACACATAGTAAGTAGAACAGAACAAAACATCACCTCTCTGCTCTGGTTATTTTCACAAAGGTGTCTGTGTAAACTACCATAAAAAGTAGCTCCAAACTGGCACTGCACCAGCTATCTATTTTAGACATATCTGAGCATTCAAATTTAGAAGTCCAAGTTCTACAGTCAGCCTGCTGAAGAAGCTTGACATCTCTAGGTCAACTGAAGTTACCTTTGTCTTTTTTCCTGTCTTTTGCTCATTGTCACATTCTCCCATTTTTACTGTGCATACCTCTTATGACCTTATACCTTCTACCTTCTTATACCGTATGACCTATCTGAAAAAACAGTATTGTTTTCCTGCATAATATTATTTCTACTTCTTACTCAAACACATTCAAATATTTTCCTACTATCTAACTCTACCCTCACATGTACACTGTATCTTAACAGGAACAAGCACCGCTGTTTAATTACTGCAAGGCAAGCCAGCCTGAGAATATGCCATGGCCATCAATGGAGTAACAGAATAAATTAAACAAAGCAGAAATAAGAAAGGAAAAAAAAAAGAATAAAATCTGATGCAGTTGTTTGGAGTTCAAATCAAGTATTAAGCCAAGCCAAAAGTCACCAGCTCCAGAACTCTAGTCTGTGAAAGAAGTACTGGAGGCATTATTAAGGTTTGTGATGATAGTTGAATGCTAGTTTGCAGATCTTAAACAAAAGCCTCAATTAATCTTGTTCCTGTGGTTTTCAGGCATATTCAAAAGATCCACATGAAACCTGTACTGGAATGTTCTAATTTCTGGTTACCATTTTTCATTGATTTTTCATTGATTTAATTACAGATAATAAATAAGACTCTCTTCATGAAACAATTTCTCACATACACTCAAGCCAGGACTCATATAATTAAAATTCACTGAAAATCCAGTCTTTCAAATTGACATGCAGACTTTCATTTTTAAAGACATATATTGAAAGATATAACCTAGGAAAAAAAAAAAAAAAAGAAAAAGCATAGACTGTAAAACAAAACAAACCCCCTGAAGTCCATAAAAATAACTAGATTACTCCTCTTTTCCATGGATCAAAGCTACTTCAAATGGCTGTGAAATACCTTAAAACCCCATTGAGATGTTTTAAAATAAGTAGATTTCTATGAATTTTTGTAAGTGCAAGCTAATCATTAATTAGACAAATAGAAAAAAATAAGGTAAAGGAGGAAAAAGAAGGACTTTTCTTTTTGCACATATGATCTCACTTTGTTACACTTCTGATACTGCTCATGAACAATACAAGCTTAGTTCATTTCTGCTTACCCATTTTTTTTGTGAATGCTTGATGTATGTCATCTATTGGCAGGAGAGGGGGAAGTTTCTGCTGAGTTTCATTGAGACCCGGAACAATGAGATGCACTACACAGAAAGATGAGTGTCATTAATTCCAGAAGGGATGAAAAATACAGTCTACCCTCTGAGATAGGTGAGCAAGTACTACTGAACCACTGGGAGTTTAGTCTGATTATCTGACACATTAGTTAGTCTTATTCAGTAATTATCAATCCTATTTGGTGCTATTTCCTCTTTATATCACTCTTTGTATTACCATTTCACAATTAATCAGAATTGAAAACATTCAGTCCTGGAGTTCTGCTGTATAACAAATGCTTGGACATTCTGTCTGGTGGGCCTGGAGGATGCAACACTAAATATGGTTAGTGAGTATCTCAGTCATAGAAATACGTTAAAACTCTCACAAAGCAAACTTAAGCCAAAGTTATGCAGCTCTATAAAGTATGTCCATATGTACAAAGGACTAAACACCTCCCTGAATCCAGGAACAAATTGGTCACGAGGGACATGATGCTGTGAGCCTTTCCTATCTACTTCAGACAGACCAGTAGTTCACCACGCTAAGCACTAGGATAGTCCTTTCCCTATGATAGTCTTTTCCCTATTTTTTCCCTGGTTTTCCCTATCTGTTCTTACAGGTCAAACACAAACAGAAAGCATGAAAATGAATGCCTTCATAGAAACAGTTATGGCCGAGATCTAACGTTAAGCTCTAGTTACAAGGAAAGTTACAATACACACAACTATAGCCTAATATATCAGAGGTTTGCCTGTATGTATACTACCTTAAAACCAAAAAGAAATAAAAAGAACCCCTCATCTCAGTAAGATCTTTGCCACAGAACTTTATTGAATTATGAAAGAAGTTCTTGGCTTCATCAATGATAATATCTTCTTTTAAATACTATGATAATAACGTGATTCTATTTCCCTTAGGCTACATCATCCTTGAACCATCTGTACCACCATAAGATATAACAAATACTGTCTGAACCAGCTGCAAAATACCCTTTGATATGCAAGAAAAGAACTATCAAGATCAAGAAAACTGAAAGTATTTACACAGTTCTAATTTTCAGCCAAAGATGAGAAAAATAATAAAAATATCTTCTAGTCACCTAATATTGCTCCTGGGAGCGAAGAATTATCTGAAGTCTTTGACTGCGTCCGATTTTGAATAACTGTGGAGACAACAGAGGGATATTAGAAGATAAATTTTAAAAACCAAAAAACAAGAAACAAAACCATACATGAGACAAGCTTCAACATTCCAAAAATCTTCTTTCAACATAATAACTGGAGATGAGGACACCATCCTAATCTTGTCTGTATTTACACTGAGTTCAAGGGACTTCAGACTGCTTTTCCTCTACATCACCTCTTAACTGTGCATCTCTCTCTCCCTTAGTGTATCAGGTTTATATCCTTGCTGAAGAATGACATTCTATGCTTATATTAATATAGGGCCAGCTCCAGGCCATCTTATTACCCTGCTATACACAAGTCTTCAAAAAAAAAAAGTATGTATGCCAATACAGTCATATTTTACTTGTAATACTGTATTTTGCTTTCACTCCACCCTCCAGTGTTTTCCTTTTCCTGAACTGTCAACTACCTCCAAAGACAATTTGCTTAATTTTATTAGTTAAAATTATTCTCTATACAGTTTCTGTTACCAAGTTTTAATTGCAGTTTAGCTTCTACTAGCTATATTTCAGTACTTAATTTTCAAAGATTACTACTATGCTACCTCTCCCTACTAGAGAAACAAGCATTTCTAAAGGACAGTATGTGTAAGTCTACTGTAGATATCTCCACTGACCAGGGAAAGGAGAAGAAGGGAGTCTAAGTCGATGACTTAGCTGAAGATACCCACAAAAAAGTTGATAGCATGAATCTTATCCATACTGCTGCCCTTCACACCTGACTATCAATTTATGCATATCTGGGAGATCAACATACCTGGACAATACAGTCGAAAAATCAGCACTGATCTGTGTCCTTTTAATGACTCAATTAAGTCATTGTTTATAATGCAATGTAGTAGCTCACTTTATTAACACAGTTAGGTAATAGCTTAATAGTACTTGCAATTAAAATACATGGTAGTTTGTAATGTTCCACCTATTCTAAAAGGAAACTTTCATGACATTCACATCCAAGTCAGAGGTTCAGAGGTTTGGTTTATTTTTTATTTTAATGTTAAGTTACTGTTGCACAGTGTAAGAATCAAATAAATAAAAAAAGGCATACAAATTTACCTTGTTTGATTATTGTGACAGGGACCAACCTCTTATTATCACGCAGTTTAAGCTGAGAGGAAAGAAGAAAAAAAGCCTTGGGATAACTGCCAGAATTGAACTTTCTTAGCAATAAAAACAGAGGGCTTCAATCCAATACCATGACTGCCCCAAGTTAACACTGGATATGGCCCTCACCCTGGCCACTATTGCTTCAATTCCCATGGGCTAGTATAGTAATACAGCATTTTTATCTCCTTCTTTTTCAGCTTAAGACATTTTGCTTCACAAAACCAGTGTTTGGCAGCTTAGGAATCCTGAATCCTTTTTTCTTTTAAGAATCTCTTCAGCACTCACTGGGGAATAGACCAGAAGACTTTGAAATGCTGAAATTTTAACTACAACAAAACATCTGAAACATACGCATATACAAATTTGGTCACAGGATATATATATTCTCAGTAATATATATTTAGAACACAAACTATTCCAGAAACAGGTGCACATTTGTAAACTATCAGCACTCTTGGGTGCTTAAAGGAGATTAACTCAAAGTAATTTTATTTGGTGAAATTATTTCCAAAGTATAATTGGCCAGCCACCCATATTCTCACATCTTTATGCTAAATACTCGGACTTTCCTGCTGCTCACTTGTCTTTAACCCAGATTACCTTTTGCTTAAGTGTGGATCTTTTCCAGCATTTAATACCACAAACATAAGAAACACATGAATGGACCCCACATTTATTAAAAGGAAGAAAACAGCTGATCCCAAAGATTATATATCACTATTCACTACCACACATGGGCACTGGGAACAACTTCTGAAAGCTTAGTAATACACTTGGGCGATGAGAAGAGGTAGACTGTTAATGACAGCAATACAAAACTAATAAATACAATTAAAGTGGATTTTTTTTTTTCCAGTTCTATCTGAGTTACAAGAATGAAAGGAACTCAGACAATTACCCTTCTGTGTTAAATGTACACCGCTAATGTCTGAATCAGTTAATGTTCATTTTGGATTTCATGACATCTGGTCTATTTCCTGTGAAAGAACACTTCCATGAAAATTAAGCATTTGAAGACAAAGCTTTAATTATTTACCTAAGGTTTACTACTTTTGCTCTATTCTAAATATATACATATATATAAAAAGCTTTAAAAGCAATGGCTGGGTACACATCAGACACATTGCAAAGTCTAAGAAGCTGGAAAAAAGCAAATCTCAGCAAGTAGGATGGCCCTTTCCTCAGGGAAATGGAGCGAGGCTGCTTGTTCTGTGGAAGGCATTACTCTCTGCTGCCTAGTAACGGTTTCACATTGGCATGAACATGATATGAAATTAACTGGAGGTTTCAATCATTGACATTAATGAAGGATAAAAAATAATCTTCCTTTTACATTAGTTACTTTTCCTTTATTTCTTAACCTTTGTTTATTAACCTTGTTTATATTTCTATTGTGCCTTCAAATGAAAAAAAATGTGCTGCAGATGATCAGCTTTAGAAGTAACCCTGCTTTTCATATGACTGAGAAGAGGGATGAAATGCATTTAGCAGAAGGAGGTGTTCATTTTACTGTATTTATCATCAGAAGCCCTACAACCAATATACAAATCAAATCAAAGAAACAGCTCTCAAGCTGTAGTGACATGAAATCCATTTCCACAGCTGATATTATTACACTGCTCACTTGCACGAATCTGAAAGTGTTGCTTTTGAAATCTACCAATGTTTCATCAATCCCCTCCTTTTGTTCTGCAAAAAAGTGCCTATTTTAGATATTTCTATGTCTAATAGAATCTACTACTTGGACAAACAATTTCAGAAACATCAGCATGTCATTTGTAGGAATAACACTATTATATATTATACAATTACATTATTTTCCAAACAGACAACATAAAGCATATAGGTATTAGGAACAGTAGTTATTAAAATTAGTGTGGCATCTCCACGAATGAAGAAAGATGGTAAGTAAGGTATTTATTAATTTCAGAGGAAAATTAGGGTTGTAAATTATACCATAAATCAGGCATCTTAACTTCTGACCATAATCCTATGGTATAATATAAAGGACTGAAGTTCTCAGACATGCTCTCAAACGGCATATGGCAACATTACTTTAAGAGATACTTGTTCTTTCTGCCTCTCATATCCAAATATCCACAAATAACTGTCATACACATAAGAGAATCCTCAAGGAAGCACTACGATCAATCTGGATTGATTAAGTTTTCGAAGGGCGGGCACGTTTTCTTCTAGAGTTTTACAACTGATAGAAGCTGTGAGTCCTGCTTTTTGGCTGGGGAAAAAATAAATAGATATATCCAAGAGGACCCCACCTTTCAAACTGACATTATGAAATTACAGAAACCTAATCAGACAGAAGAGGAAATAAATTTCTACTGCATTTTCCCCACCCTACCACCACCCATTATTTATGGGAAAAAGAATGACCAACTCTAGAACTCTCCTTTTCTTCCCTCCTCTCACTAGTTGTAGCTTACACAGCCCCAGGAGCTTAGTCAAACTTAAAGGATGAACCTGCCAAAAGAAACACAAGCTGATATGTGACTAATGTTGAAAGGGCAGAATGACTAGATAGATCTGTAATGTTGCTTTAATAAACACCCTTTAAAAATGTCTCTTCACAGAGAAGAGTTCGGACCATGCTGATAGGAGCCAGTTGTGTCTCTGGAGCAAAATAAGGCACAAACAAAGCTTGGCCTAAATAGCACTCATGCTGGCTTTGCACTTATGATGTGATTGCATCCCCGAAACATACCCCACCTAATACCTTCGAAGCTGAAATAATAACGTAACTTAAGAGCTTGCCAGTATCTGCTTCCCAGCCTCAGTTTTGTGGCTTTTTGTACCACTAAAGTGAGAAGGATAAGAGATTTTTTAGAATAATCTATGAAATGTTTTCGTATTTCTGTGGAGGCTGATAAAACAGTACTGCTCTGGAGCTAAGCCCTGTGAAGCTAACTAAAAAGACTAGATGTTGGCTCTAGTCCTCCTCTCATGCTTGAGCTGTGCAAATATTTGGAAAACGGTTTTAGCTTACTTTCTCAGGACTTCTCTTGCATAAATTGAATCCCTACTTCCACAGAAGCAGCATAACAGAGTCAGCATCCTGGCACACAGGGTTTGCTAAGAAGAGTAAAGTAACTCAGCTTGCACTCTGTATGTCAGAATGAATTTACCTGGCCTTGGGATGTTGTGTGTAACTTTAAATATGCTAATGGGACCAATGGGAAGAACAGTAAGGTTGAGTTTATCACCAACATAATGAGATGAGCACCTTCTTGAATAAATAATCAATTGGCTTCATATTACTTACAGATAAAAGAGGTTGTCTTGAATGTGAGACACGACTGTGCTTCCAATAATCTAAGCATTATGCTGCTCTAACTCTGTATGTAATGCTATAATCAAAGTATTACTGTCCTAAATGAATACCTAATTATTTCTACAGGAAAATGCATGTAATGGACTGTGATTTGATTCATGAAGGAATTACAGGTTTGGTAATTAAAGACCATTTAAAATATTGTACTATATGAAGAAAGAACAGTGAGAAACCATACAGGACCAGTGCCTACCAAGAATGTATTTGGAAAATTAGGCAGAAGAGAACTGTGAAGAATGGATTGTTCCCTCATAACAATCATTACTCATGAGTCAATCCTTTAAAATGTCTGAAGTAACAAGGATTTCTAAAACTTTCCTCGGGAAGTTATCCCATAGTCTAGTCAGGGACAGTACCTTAAAAAAAAAGCAAAACCACAACAAAAAAACAAAACAAAGCAAAACACAGAAGATTAGCTGCTGAAATTTTCACTCTGATGAAAAATTAAGCAAAGGAAATAAGAAGAAATTTTAACCTCATAGTAGAGGTGGTAACGCTCGAAAGTTATGAATAAAATGTCTCTTTTTCACTGTATTAAAACTAGTCCACTAACAGGTTCAGCTGACATACAAATGCTACATTTCTGCTTCGGCTCTTGGAAGCGAAAAGTATCTGCGTGTGTGAATCCACAAACATATGAAAACCCACCCATGATTGCTTGACAGCTGTTCTGGCAAATACCAGATTGGGGGGGGGGGAGCAAACAAAAAAGGTGGAAATTAATAAATACTGGTATTTATGTATTTATTTACAATAATCTTGGAATGCTGTGATGAAACAGTTAAAAATTCTACTTTGGCACTTGCAAGGATTTAATGAACTGCCTACCAATTTTGATAAGCACATTAAATTGCCCCTTCCAGCTTCCTCTGGTTCTACAGTTTCCTCACACGTAAGAACCACTAGTGAATCCAGTAGGATGACTAAGGATTTCAGAAAATCTGAGTATTCACAAGATTACTCTATGAAATAAAAGCACTACCTTATCACAAAATGAACTGACCACCACAAATACCAAAGGTTAACAAACCTGACTAGCACAAAGAGATAAGCAAATTTTTATGTTTAGAGTTCACACACAGAACACCATCAGTACCATGTTTGTTAAACCCGAATCAGTTTACGTCATCATCTCAGTTGAAGTTCCCAATCATTTAATCAATTCACATATATAAACACTTCTTCATAGAGTTACCTAGTTTTAGATTTAATAGTTTGGTTTTTTTTTTTTATATTGGCAATCTGTGGCCAAAATGTCTTTCTCACTTTAACAGAGAAGCAAACATTTCACCATACAAAACATAAACATGGTATAAAATAAAAAGACTGTTTCTCATACCTGTGTCTGGGAATTAGGTACCAACTTGTACACATTCTGGAGATGTCCATTTACCTTTTTGCCTGATTTAACAGAAAGATAGTTACACAGAATTATTTTTGTTTTGTCCAAAGCAAAGTAAACCAAATGTATTCACCTTTTTCAATAGCTAGGAAAGTTAGGAGGCTTAAATACTATGTATAAAAACACACTGTGTAGCAGTTTTTTTGGTCTCATTTCTCCAGATTAATCAAATCACCTGCAAAACCTCCTTTTAACATTTTACAGAGAGAAAATTAAATGTATTCTTCTTATTCTACAGCAGGAAGTAGAAGAACTGAAGTCATCATTGGGCCCTACTAAGAACTCAGAGGTGCCTTCTTGAATAAATTTAATGTAACCACAACATTAATACGCAAGGAAGAAACTTGAAAGGGGAATTTCTGCATCCCATCTCTCAGGCTGGTACTAGGACTGGCTAAAGGCAGCATGTTTTAAAGTCTCCAATAGTCTTGTGCTCTTTAAGTGCCCTTCTAAAAGAAATACAGATTTACCAGTGGTAGCACAGCACAAGCGTATCACTTCGCTTTGCGTCTGACATGATTTCCTTTATCTCAGGATATAAACAAAGTGACCCAGGGATTTAATACCTGAAATTTTTCTCTTATGTTTTTTTTCCTAGCTTCTTAGTATTAGAAACTTCTTGTAATGCAGATGCAGGAGAAACCTCCCAGCACCTCTTATATTCTAACATGATACTTCACACTTCATCTACATCTTCCACCTTTACACCTTACTGCTCCTTTTGTGAACAGGCATGTAAAGACGAGTCAAGTTAAACATTACCATATTTCTTCATACTTCCATCCAAAACAGATAAACATTAGGAACAAATCAACTATAAAGAAATATCAATTGAAACACATTTAAGTTGGCAAGCTATCCTGAAAAATCAATCTTTCAAAGTGCTTGATACTTCTCAGGAACTATTTGCTTAACCACAAGGCAAAGCTGACAAATGTTTCACACTGATTTAATGAGAAAATCATGCTGAGATGGTCAGAAATAAGACACTTTCATCTCCTTTGATAATTTTTGGTTAAGTAAATGTAGAACCCTTGCCATGTCTTTTATGTCTTCCTTGAATAATGAATTAAAACCAGATTTTCCTCCCAATTCCTCCCAACATGTTTAGTATATAACAAAAATTTGGTCTGTGGAGTCAATAAATACAAGAACATGCAAGAGGAATTTCAGTTTATAGTCATTTATATATTCTACAGTAAAGAAAGAAAATCTCTAGTGATGGATGTGTGTTTTAGTTTGAAATGCTTCTTAATATATAAAAAAACCCTTGAATTGCTACATGACAGTAGTTAAAACAGGCTAAAAATTTGACATTTTTGCTGACTGGTAAGCTCCTATGCAGAAAGATGGCTACAAATGAACAATAAATGTTCACTCTTTGTTTACTGCCTGCAGCTTATCTACCTACTATGCCCTGACAATATGAAAGGCTTGAATCTGAAAGTGCTTACAACTTTCTGATTAGAAGATAATTTATCAGTAGAACAGAATGCAGATAATACAGGGTAATAGTAAGCTCCTTGGATTTAGGTGCTTCAGAAGCATCCGCCAAATACACAAGTCTACATTCTAGTAAAAAGAAATCTCATTTCATAGAATATGAACTCTTACCAGGAAGTATCTTTCAACCAAACTCTATCTGTCTCCATAACTTACAAGAACCATTCTTCTAGCCTATTAAAAATGTATAGTCTATAAAAAATAGCATTTAGAAATACATTCCATACAAACAGGTCTGTTGATGACAGTGGACATTTCAATTATTCTTGAACACTGCATTAAACTATAAACACAATGCACTCTTCACTGCCTCCTGCTCAAATATAGTCTAGCACTTGATGTACAGATTGCTTTAAAATGTTTAAATGTAGGAAAAAAAGCCATTTAGTAAGCCCTCTTTAGAGCTATACAGCAGTTCCTTCTTGTGAGGCAGGTATGGGAAAAGACTATCATGCTTCTCCACATTAAGTTCATGGTTTAACAACGGCATTATTCTGGACTGCAAAAATGACTCTATGAGTACTGAGCAGGTACTTAAAAGTTATAGCTTTCTAGTTCATGAGGAAGGCCTGAAAAGTTCTTTATTAGGGAGTATGAGGGCTTTTGCAAGCTCTTATCCCTTCTCCTCAAGTATATCGAGCTGTGTAACTTGCCTACAACTTGAAAATGGAAATTTCATATGCATAACGGTCTCATGAGAATTCCCATTTTTCACATTTTGAGTCAAGCTAGAAGTACCAAGAACAGGTGTTTGCAGCATCTTCTGACCAACATCCTGCTCATAAATACCTTTATGTAAATGCCTGAGGAAAATAAATGAAATCAGACGGCGTCTGTTAAGACACCTCTTCCTCTTGTTAAAAGGGGGAAGCTGCCTATTTCCTTCAGCAGTACATGATGGGGTTAATTTGGTGTCAGTTTGCCTGAATTGTCTTGGGACTTTGGAGAAAAAGCTTAAAATACGACTGAGAGAACAGCCAGAGATGCTGTACACAGCTTCTGTGAAAACCCAAATAAAAACATGCATGACAACGCATGTTTCAAACTCAATTTATGTAATTCTCTGACTGAAAATTATCTTCAAATACAACTTTCCAGCAAGGCAATAAAGAGCCCAATCTGCTGCAGATAGTCTACTATTTGCAATGAGTAGAGAACAACTCTTCGAAGAGTAGCTGGCAGTTTTTCAAACACAAAATATTTCGAGTTATACCAGTTTCTAAAGAATTTATTAGGGACATAAGGAATAGCATTTAAACCTGATCAGTAGCTTACTCTACTGCAGTAGAGGAAAAAATACTGTCAAACTAAGTAGCTGTTTGATTAATTAATGTCAAATACTTACTAGACAGAACTGTCTTATGATTGGAAGTCTTGCTCCAAATACTATCTTCTAGATTGTCTTTAACTCCAAATTCATAAAGTGTGTTTGGCTTCAGATTGTCCACCACTGTCTCTGTAACTGGGCAAAGCTGAAAAACCCATTTCTTGTCTTTACCCTTTTCTCTGTACCGAACTGTATAGAACCTGCTCAACAGAAAAAATAAAATAAAAAATAGTATTCTGCACAAAGAAATGTATTACAACCATTTTTGTTAGGAATTACTAGAAAAGTTTCTACCCACCATTGTTCTTGTTCTTTCTGGACCCTTATTGTTATCAAATATCAGAAAAGCCAGCATACCTTCCCTGCAAAAGCAGTACCAGCCCTGTCATCTTCTAGATATATGTATGTTCCCCATGATACAGGCCCCAACAATATGACTGTTATACAAAGAGCAAAAGAACAGTCTCCTTATTAACAACCAACCATGTGTGTGAGGTTCTGACCACAAACTGCAAGCTCATTTTGCAAGCAGTTCCTTTGATTCTGACATAATGCAGAACTAGTCAACTGAATCATGAGTCAAGGACAGTAAGGAAGCCTCAGCCAGGTTCTCAAATTCTTCTATATTCACCCAGGGGAAAGTGTTCCCCTCAGAATTAGTCCAAAAATGTACTAAAGGGAAAGCCAGTAATAGTTGGCATTTATATTATAAATGTGATCTCATTCTGTGATTCCGTTATGTACTGCCCACACTTCAAACAAGAGAGTAAACCGCAACATTACTTTCAGCAGTTTAAATTAGTAACATGATGAATTGCTAACAGATTATGAAAATAAAAATATTTTTACAGAAATTTCCCAATTCAGTCAAGCAGCATCTCTCTAAAAATGTATGACTGCAATGTTAACCAGTAAATAACAACACGACATAAATGGTGAGAATTATGGCACAAGAGCTCCACTGCTTACTAGCATCTCACTTTCCATATATGTGCTGAATCACTGCCAGAGTGGGGCAGAAAAAAATCTCAGAGAGGTTTCACAACTTTTTAATCCAAATATTACTGAAATGTTTTACACATAACTTTAATAAAGCATATCTATTGTCCATATCCATCTTACATTTACATCAGCTAAAAAAAAGAATGAATTCCATCCAATTGCATTTTTCCACACATCAATAGAGCAAATTAAGGCCATAAATCAAACACAAATCTAAACAACCAGATACATGCCCAGTAATCGTTCAGGAGCAAAAAGAAGAAGGAATTTGGCTTGTGAGATTTAAGCCAGATATTCTACAGGGAAATACATGTAGAGAAAGGGAGGCACTTTAAGAGAACAACAAAAATGTCCTGTAATCAACTCAAAAGTTATCAAAGGTCCAGATTAAAATGACTTTATGGACCAAACATGATACTGCCAATGCATAAAGCTGCTTTTGCCAAAGCTACAGAAATGCACCTCCAGACTAGCGCATATGTGGAAAATGACTGTCAAGGACACGAAAATTCCTCCTTCATTATTAAAACACAACCTAAGACAAGTGCCAATCATGGAAAATAATTTCAAACACAAAGTTTCACTTTGTTTACATATTTTATCTCATAATAGTCAAATTTGTTTTCTTGGCACCAAAAATACAGGTTCTCCTGGTTTAGTTGCTACAATTCAGCTCATTCAGGTATTTTACCAGGTTATGAAATTAATATTTATCTTGCTTACATAATGCTTTTCATCAGCTCTACTACTTTGCATTCAAAGCAAGCCATAGTTTAACCCAAAAGTTGGAAAGGAAAGAAATATGACAAGTAGTAACTCTTCTCTCTCATCTTATTAATTCCTGTGCTACCAAGTAAAAATTTGTATCCTTATTTCAGTGGGCTGTGATCTACTCACATTTCAGATGCCTTTCTATCAGTTGGACTGACAAAGAATCTTTAAGAAGAAATTATTAGTAGCATCAAAATGAAAATTTCTTCTCCTTTATCCTCTTAATCTGTTCATACATAATCACACAGACATTAACAGACAAGAAAAACTTACTTGAAATCTCTGTCACTAACTTGCAAAGGATGTAACATTAATAAGCAAATCCATCTGCAATATAAATGCATCTTGCTGGACCTCATACAGTCTCTTGGTAAGGGGTTTAGAATAGGCAGACAGATCTATCATGAAAATGTGAATCATGAGTAGAAAAAATTTCCTTCTCAGCTTGCCCAAAAGAGGAAATTTTGTTTTCATTTTCATCCTTAGATCTTCCTACCTGTTCTAGTTGAATGTGATAGAAATAAAGTGATTGTATGTGATGGAAAGAAACCAGTGTACTGATCCATTTTGGTTATTGAACAGTCTAAATTAATAGGTGCATCTGAAATTATGAGGAAAAAAACCTGACCAAAAACATGCCCATAATGAATAGGCTTTTAAGTGGCTTCTCCCACTTGCTTCTACTGTTGAAAATATTATATTACACTGTGTCCGCACCTGCAGCCTCCTTCTCCCTGTTTGTTGGGTTTTTGTTTTTTTTTTTAATTAAATAACTGAATTTAATTAATGAATTAAAATATGGAGAACACCTGCATTTCAAAAAATATCTTTCATTACAAATCAAAACTATTAAAAATCTGACAAGATGTGCCACACTACGACATTAGAAATAGAAACATATAGCATAGAAGAAATGTGCTCTCAACTCCCAAGATTTCCAAGCCCATAAAAACTTCACCAAGGGTGTAATTATTTCAATGGAAGCTTGTCACCAATACTAAACACACTGACTGTGATGACAGAATTTCCTCAACAATTTCAATAAAAGCAACCAAATGCAGTTCCATTTACCAACTTGTAAGTCACAATTGTTTGAGTATTAATAATATCTAAATTGTAAACAACATGCACTTTTGGGGAAATGCAGTCATTTGTTTATAGAGTATGAATACAGAAATGCCAAGTTTTGTCATCAAAGAATAACAATTCATTGTTAACCTGACCAACAAGCTGCCAAATAAAGCTCAATTTCAGTGCCTGCCTGAGAACATTCTAGTGATTAAATTCTGTTATCATTTTAATTTCTTCCTTTTACAAACCTTCCTTTCAGAAAAAGATACAATATCAACCAATCAATATATATAACTGAAAACATGAAAAAGTAATAAAATCCAGTTACTGCTCACATATTGCTACTAAGAGAAGCAAAATTGTATGATGGATAAGAAAAACATTAAGTTTTCATGACACTGCCTTGATAAGAATTCCACCGCAATTTTTCCAATTTAACCAAATCTCTTCCTAGCCAGATTCCCAGAAAATGCTTGTACATGCAAATATTTGTGCACAAAAATTAGATACTGGAAATCTTATAAGGCAGATGGCTTTATGAGAGTTCCAGAGTAGTACAGTTTGTATAAATATCATGAGTTTATTTGGAACCATATCCAAACCAAAACTCCAAACAATTTAATCATGACGATTTTAGTCACACATAACAGAAAACAAACAATTAAGCCTTGGAGATATAAGAACATTCCTTTTCTGTGGTTTTTTTTTTTTTTTGCCATAGATAAAAGATTATAAAACTTATTTCACTTTAGTGCAGAGGAATGTAATCAGACATACACACGTACATATTTATTTCTTTATAGTTCATTAGAAGACTTCATTAGAAGCACAGTATCCATTTAGTGTTAGAAAGTACTAAAAGAAATTGTTCCAACTATGATTCTTCATATACTGAGTGTTTCACAAATTGGCATACAAAATTAATTATACCATTTCCTTTTTATTGCCGAGTTTACTTTAAAGTAACGTATAAAAAGATGGAAAGAATTACATCACTGATGGCTGCCAGTTAAGTCTCTAAAGCACTAATTTAGTTTTCACTGTTACATGATCTCTAACATTCACTTTTTTCACTTCTATTTTTTAGTAGAACAACTGAAATGAATAGTTAGAGGTTCTGAAGAATAAGATGCTGGCCACCAACAAATCTTTCCATGTTTAAACAAGCTTTTAGCATGTACTCCCACAGCAGTAATTCAAAAGCATCTGAAACTCAGTTATCTGCTGCAGTAGGTTTTCCTTAAGGAATTCTGATAAGTTTAAAATACGTTTTCTATGACATTTGCAACAGATATTGTGATTAATCTGGCAGCTGCACAGTGACAAAGATTTGTGGACAGGCACAAAAGGAGATGTGTGTACATACCTTTCTGAATTTAGGGTTTAAAAAGCCCTACTTGTGTGCTGTGCAACATAAAGATTAAATATGGATTCTTCTGTCTTCCACCTCTTTTTTTCTTACTTTTTTTTTTTTTAAAGCCTCGGATATAAATTAAGTAAACCATAAAATCCATACTCCTTGCAAATATTAGGACATGAGGACATTTAAATCATGGGCAAATAAATTTAAACAATATAAATGCAAATTTGTCAAAGTCCTTAACTGAGGTGTATTTCATGAAAAAACAAACTTCTTGGTTTTAAATTTCTATTTCATATTTATTTGGAAGCATGCTTTTTTTCTTCTATACAATCCACTTGATAGAGTAAAATATAGTCTTCTCTCAACAAAACCTGTTTTTGTCGTGCATGGAAAAAATATCTTGTGCTCCTTCCCTCAACTCTCTCTCCTAAAGACCTGAAAGTCTGCTTCTTCAACACCCTGATCTGTTTTGGCATCTGTAGAATTACTCTAACCTAAGCAAAGCCCCCCAAAAGTTTATGCAGCAGTCTATACTCTCTTTTTCAGACCTACATGGACTGTAAGCAGCCACAGTATGTTTATTATGAAAGTTCTGTCCACTATTGGCTGTTTGAACATTGAAAGAAAGAGAAGAAAGAATTTTACCTACTGCCTCGGAAATAAAAAAAAAGAGGAATGTGACTGTGCAGCAGGTTATTAACTACCTCATACTGGCATCAGAAAATAGAAGACATGGAGAAAGCTAACTCCACATTGGTGGAGCCTTTCTGGTATTACATAATTTTCATCAGCTACATAAAACTAACCACTTTTCTGTTGGTCTTTTTGTTTTGTTCTGTGTTCTAGTGCTAAGGCTCTGGCCAAGGATTATAGCCACTTCAAGGAAGTTTTAAAATTTCACACAAACAGCAGTGATTATCTTTGCTTCCACAAAGAATTAGGGTTTGGAGTTATTTTCAGCAAATACATAGCACTCTCTTGGCTTATGCCCTTAATCTCTAGAGAGTTAAGCAACCAAAGAATGGTTTGTCAGGAAATGGGATGGGAACCTTTTCTTCATTGGAGTTTTGTGTAAAATACTTCATAGGTACAGAATAATACAGAAATTATGTGTTACTTACTTATCCAATAATTAAGCAATAATTTGACTGAAGCAATAAAAGATACCATTGCTTTTTGAGAACATGGCACCTTTTACTCAAAACTTATTTCCTCACAAAACCAGATCTTCTAAGGAATACCCCACTGAGGTCAGATTCTCACTAGACAAAATCTTGGCCAGCATATCCATGCTGTTCCATGTGGTTTTAATCATCTGAGTCAGCAACATATTCAACTAGCTTACATTATGCAAGATTTGTACAGAAGCTTAAAGTCCATCCAGAGATGGTAGAACTTGAGGCTGGGAACAGTGACTCCATTGCAGGTCCTGAAGAATTACAAATCTAAAACTTGGTGAGATATTAACTGAAATAAGCGGTCATACATGCCACATACTGCCAATGTCAAAGATTACAGGTCATGGCTGTACAGCAGTCTTAAAGATGATTAACAGTACATTTCAACAGGTCTCAGTAAGGAGAACCTGCCAGATGAAAAAGGACCAAGTGGACTGCCTCTGCAATAGATACAAATGTTGATGAATCTGTTATCTGACTTCAAGTCTTGAGCTTTTCTTACCATAATCTACATTTGACATCGAGTTGAATGGTATCAATGGGAGTTTCATTATATATGTCCTGGGTTCAGCAGTAGCAGTCATTTTTCTCTTTCTTAGTACCTGGTGCAGTGCTGTGTTTTGACTTTCGGCCTGGGGACAGACCTGATAACACTGATGTTTTAGTCTGGCCAAGGACTTTCTGAGCCTCATGCTCTGCCAGGGAGGAGGAGAAGCTGGGAGGAAGTAGAGAGAGGACACCTGACCCAGTATTAGTATTATTGGTGGTAGCAGTAGTGGTTTGTGTTATACCTTAGTTACTAAACTGTTCTTATCTCAACATGTGGGAGTTGCATTCGTTTCAATTCTCCTCTCCTTCCCTCCGGGAGTAGGGGGAGGGCAAGAAGGGGGGGGGGGTGTGTGTGTGTGTGTGAGTGAACAAGCTGCCTGGCTGGTTTTAAACCATGACAATACCAAAGTAAGCAGATTCATGTCTAAATTGACAGATAGAAATTAGGAAAGAAAATCAGAAAGATGGAAAAAAAAAAAAAGTGTTCTCAGAACACTTATTAGAAAAATAAAAGATGATAGTTGCAAACCAGATGTAGATGCATTCCAAACATGGGTGCACAAAGTTTCTTGGTTTTACAAAACACTGCCGAGTTGAATGGAGCTTCACATAACATAAATGAAGAAAAAAAAATCTCTTCTGTCATAAAAGGAAGAATACAAAGAACACCAAATGACAGAGCAGGGAAACATCTGTATTAACTATTTCAATAATGGAAGCAGATGAATTTTACTCATCTGCCAAGAATTGCCTAAAATGTAATGGTGTGCTGAGAAGCTACTCAGCACTATGACTTCTCTTGAAACTGCTACTTGGCAAGTCTTCCTGACCTTCACACCTATTGTACCACTCATTAAATAAATTACAGCAGCACAAAAAATATTATAGTAGAAGAGATCTTCCTATAATTAAAATAGAAAATTAATGAAAGCTGTACTGTATCAGCACCGGGAAAGCAGTGTAGTGATAAGACCAAATAACAGGAAACAAAAGTCAAATAACATTAAAACAAGGCATAGTAGAACAAAAGATTTACTTTATTTCTGCTTGGCCAACATTAAACCAATAAATTACCTATGGTTTAACAAAGTTTCTTTCAATTGACTCAGACACAAACAAAAGTAGAGCCAAGGGTATTGGTTTAAGAAGAACAAAGATCTAGTGTGAAATAGCAAGATTTGTACTTCAACATTTAGCTGTCTGAATAAATTTGCACTCAATTTGAAACTTATTTAAGTAAATGAGAAAACTTACTTCATGTTCAGAATATTGCTTCCAACTTTTTATTTTCCACTGTCAAACTTTTTTCAGCCATACCACATAAGTACACCGATTTAAATTATGATCATAATAAAAAAAGGTTTTCAGTTATGTTACCTGTCACTAGCACAGTTAGTAGTTGCTGTCCAGTCACGCTGAGGGTTGACTAGGATGCCCCAGGAGAGAAACACAGAGGTTGGGGTGAGAGTGCCAACTACCAGCTGCAGAGGCTTTTGATTCTTGGTCCGACCTACATAAGAAACATATAGTTCCAACTAAAAGTTAGTTTCTTTCTCCTGCATTATGTAGGGTAAAGTTTTTGCAGTATGCTTAACGTAAGAATTAGATATATGCAGACTAGGTTTGAAGCTCTGGCTGTCTTGGACTGCATCACAGAAAGCATTGCACAGAGTTTAGGGCATCAGGAAGTCTCTCTGAATGTGACAGAAATAGTAACTTCTTGGCAGGATTCTTAGTAGCACTGAAATTACTTCCACAGATAAGTCATGCTTTTTAAAGCATTCTTCATCAAGGGTTAAATTGAACCTACAAAAATTATTTTCCTTTTCAGTCTAGGCAGATCAGAGTTAGTATCTGGATCTAGGGGCATTTTTTCTTTTAGCCACCTACTACACTGAAAATGTTCAGCTTTTGCGTGATACTTAACTTTACCTTTGATTTGTATGAGCTAGCACAACTCTCATACAGAGAAAGAGCTTTCTTTAAAGAAAGTTTAAAAGCTAACATTTGAAAATGAAGAAATTATCTAGAGCAACCATTTTGAACCTGTAGTTTGTGGACTGCTACAAGCCCAAGGAGAACCTTTGGTGTTTGGAAGATGATTAATTAAAGGAAATCCCTATATTCTTCACAACACATCACATATCTCAAAAATCTAAAGTATCTGTACCACCTCAAAATCTACAGGTGACCACAAATTCCCTAAAAGTTTATAAGCCACTGATCTAAGGGTTATATTTTTTACTATTGTGAAACAGATCTGACTTTCTTTTCATGCCTTTTGAACCCTAGTAGCTTTTCATTTAACAAACCCCAGTGAAAGTCTGATTTGTACTTTCAACCAATGTGTAAGTGTGCATTTAGAAATGTTAACCATGGGGGTTTTTACTTTATATTGATGATGAGTATGTTGACACCCCTCCCCAAACAAAACCAAAAAAAGCACTCTGTACCATTTGAAATACTGTGGAACATATGATATTTCCAGAAGAGCAAGTGCCCGAAGAATTTTCTTGTTTTCTGGACTAGTTCCTATACTGTTTCTCCATTTTTAAAGAAAAAGTAAAACCCAACAGCTTGGTCATTCAGCAAACTGCCTGGCAAATCTGCTATCTATAGCAAAATCCCTTTCTTGATCACTTGCTGAGAAAACATGGAAAATATGTGAAGTTTAAGGAAAATAAAACCCAAGCTCTCATATAACTTGAAATCACACTGGCTTTTGGGAGGACCTATATATAATTTTGATTAAGACTTATTATGCCATTAGTTCCCACTTAGACACTGCAATGATCTATATACCGTAAAACCAGGAATTACCTTGGTGATCATCTATGCTGATCTGTATGAATACAAAACATACAACTGCTCTATATTAATCACAGTATGCACTAGAGTGTCTCTTCCAGAAATGCAACCAGTTTTCATTTTTAAATTTAAAATTGCAGCAACTCAGAACCTACCACAATTATTGGTGATTTTCATAGTGTAACTATTCTCATTACTAAAAAGACCTGCCGTATATGTAGCTAGCATTAAAGCAACAGCTGTTCTTACATCTTTGTCTGCTGGAGTGAAAAGTCAATTATCTGAATCCTGTTCCACAGGATTTGCTTTTTTTGCGTTTTTTTTTTTATATATGTGTATGCATATATACATATATGCACATGTATATGTATGTGTATATATACATATATATATGTTGCATCTGAAAACTAATTCACCTTTCAAAATCTTTCCAGACGTACAGTTTTACATCTGGCCAAGAGCAAGAAATTAATTCCAAGCAGTTATCGGGAACTAGAAAAAGGTCATCTAGGCCAAACCCCATGCAATGAGCAGGGACATCTTCAATTAGATCAGGTTGCTCAGGGCCCTATCCAACCTGACCTTGAATGTTTCCAGGGCTGGGGCATTTACAGCCTCTGGGTAGACTCTTCCAGTGTTTCACCACCCCCACAGTAAAAAAAAATTCTTCCTTATATCTAGCCTGAATCTCCACTCTTTAAGTTTAAAAGCATTACCCCCTTGTCCTACTAAAACAGGCCCTGCTAAATACTATATCATATACACGTATCAGTTTATTCTTCACAACAGTCCAGTGATCCTGAAAATCATCTCCATATTAAATTAAGGAATTAAAATCTAACAACAATATTAATGACATGATTGAGCTAATGCAGAAAGTCTTTGGAACAGATGAGAATCAAATCCAGATTTCTACTTTGCTATGTACAGTTTAAACTAGAAACATCCCACTTTCCTTAACCCAATGCATCAGCAAACTTAGTGGTAATACTGACTTACAGATATATACAGATATATACATATATATACAGATATATATATATGTGTATATATATACACATATATATGTATATACACACACACAAACACACACACACAGACACACACACGGTACCATTTTCCAATGAGAAAAAAAGAGCATTAACATGTACATGAATGAAGAAATCCTTACTGGTACCTTATAGAATCATAGAATCATAGAATAGTTAGGGTTGGAAAGGACCTTAAGATCAACAAGTTCCAACCCCCCTGCCACGGGCAGGGACACCTCATGCTAAAGCATATCACCCTTAGCAAGACTAGCTTCAGTACACTAGATTACTGTATGCAAAACTTTTACTTTTTTTCCATGCACTTGTGACCTCTTTAAACATCAGAAATTAGCATTCTAAATTCAGTTTTCATTTGTAATAACTTTTTACAAGAACAATCTTTAGGTACCTCTTCATATTTTGACCACCACATTTTTGACCAATTACTGACTAGGAAATACTGTCCTACATTTTATCTTCCTGCTTATGGAATTTGTGCATCCCAGTCAAGCATCTACAGTTACTAATATCTTTTCAGAGAAACCCAGTAAAAGATTCTGTTTTTCTTCAACTACCTTAAGAAAGATATGCAGTAATGGTAAAATACCTGAACAAGATTTCTTGTTACTTGAAACACGTGATGGTCTTACTGAAACCAAATAGCGTGGCTCAGCATCTGTAAATGAAGAAAGCATCAATTAGTACAGATGTGCTATTTATTTAAGAAAGGGATTAACCTATAATTAATAAGTCCAATATTCAGTCAATGCTTGACACATTATCCAATCTTTGTGATTTCCAGGCATGTTTGCTTTAAGCTTATTGGCCAATCATTCAGAAATACTCTAGCATTAGGAAAAATAATACACCCATGCAGAAAATATTTGGCAATTCTTTTTGACTGTAACACAACAAATAGGTGAACATGGCAGGACATACATGTAACACTTCAACTCAAATATTAAGTGGAAAGTGAATGGGAATGAAAACCTGGACGAAGAGGAAGACATCACAGAATCACAGAACGGTTTGTGTTGGAAAGGACCTTAAGATCATCTAGTTCCAATCCTCTGCCCTGGGAAGGGACACCTCACCCTAAACCATGTTGCCCAAGGCTCTCTCCAACCTGGCCTTGAAGACTGCCACAGGTGGAGCATTTGCCACTTCTTTGAACAACCTGTTCCAGTGCCTCACCACCATCACAGTAAAATGATAACAAAATAGAAAAGCAAAACATGTAAAGTAATAAGAGGGCAAAGCCTAAAGAGTACAACCAGAGATATCTACTCTCCTGACAGGAGCTGGAGGAACTTCTCCTACAATATTTTCTATGCTCTGTTTCAAGCCATGCACCTTAGATTTCATGTTGTAAGGCTGGAAGTAAGCAGACTCTCATAAAGAGCTGCCCGATTGTAAAAAGAATAAACAATATTTTAGGTGTGCATACACCAATAGACCAATACTAAATAATTCAAGATTTGCATGATAGTCTGGTCACAGGAAACACCACAATGTCATATAAGTTTAGCACAGTCTCCAAATCAGTTACTGGCTTATTTTATAATTAGGTTTACATACTTCTTCCAGGGTCAATTTAGCAGATTAATTAGACTATTAGGTGCTTTGACAGTTTTGAATACTCTTTATGAAAGCAAAATTATTACTAACAGTTAAGAGCAAGGGACTTCTATTTGTGTAAAACCCACAAAGGGCTGTGACTTTGACTGAAATTTCTGGGTAATGTTACACTAGAAATAATGATGCATGTAATAGGACAGCAACAATTTAAGTGATTTTCTTATTCAGTAAATTAATCTCAGAGACAAATTGCGTTTTTCAGACTTTCTGACATTTACACTTCTTTTAATTTTACCCCCTATTCATTTTCTCCCAGGAAAAATAAACCTTTGCGAAATTGTTTTTAAATTAATTAAAATAATAATTTAAATTATTATATTTATCTTAACTCCTGTCCAAATGTATTTGTGCCACTTCCCATAAGAGGTTCAATTGCTTCACTTCAAAAAGGTAACAGAAATGACTGTTTTACACAGCAGGGAAAAAAAAAAAAAGCCGAAGCAAAACCAGCCCTACCAAAGAAGAATTTTTGCATTTAAATTCATTCCCATGGAAATGGCCTCAGTTTCTTTAAAAGTACACAAGAACTGCAGCCATTCTAAAGGATGCAGAGTCATCACTAGCTGGGTGTCAGTGTGAATCAGCTTGGAAAATTTCTGGCAATACTAGTCTTCATAGGAAATAATGAAATTAAGTAAACTGAATTTTATACGAACTCTTAATACATTTCAGAGACACTGAATGCAGTTTGGATAACCTGAGGACATTGTGGTAAGAGGCCATAACCTCAGATGCATTCCTGTTTCTGGCAATGAAAGGCACATAACTTCACCCTGCAGCTTAAAATAGGAAATATTTTGATTAAAACAATGTTGAGATGGTGATTTTAGTTTGGGGAATTCATCTTTAGAAAGATCTTATGCTTGACATCAGATGTCAGAGATTTTTGCCCTTCTGAACTGTTTAAAACCCAGCTCTATTCTCACTGAAGAAAGAGCAACACTAAAAGCTATAAGAGCTTCCAAAGATGTATCCATGGGCAGAATTTGGCTCACCATAGATTCATCAAAACTACTTTAGCTACATTTTTTCTTCTAAGAAAATTCCTCTGTAAAATTCCTATATCTAGTTTAGACACATATATTTTCATCTGTATCTATGGATGAGATACTGAATTTCCTGTCTATCTCAGTGTAACAGATACCTTGAAGTCTACCAATTAAACAGAACCACTGAGAAATCATTCAAATTTTTTATTAAATTCAGAAGCCCACTGAGTTTTCACACTGTTTGGTCTTCTTGCTAAGAAATGTATGCACTGATCATCACCACAAAATGGAAATCACTGGATGCTACCACAACTCTGTTAATTTTCAGGGGCTTAAAATATTGCCTTATCCATGTATTAAACTTTATCAAGCTGCAAGAACTGTTTTCCTGTGTTCCTTTATGATGCCTATATATATGCATAATCCTCTCTATGCATCCATGTCTATAAGAAGCAGGAATCTTGGGGAGAGGTAATATAGAAGGAGAAAAAGGAAATGCTGTTAAATACTGAAACCTAAATAAAATCATAATTTAGCTTGTGCTACTTCATCTTAATGCTTAAGATAAATTAAACTGACTGCTGAAATAAAAGATAGGCAGCAGAAAGGTGACCATTCCGACCCATAAAAATATGAGGTTCTGACTGTGTGTCATTATGATTCACAGAATATATCAACTATTTACACTGGCTTTGGAAATCTTAGCGGTTCCTTGCTCCTTAGCACGTTCTTGAAGGCCTGTTACTGTAAGACTAACCTGCTACTGCCTAGTCCCCTTTATTAAGGCTGGAATGACAAATGTAATGGATAACAACTCTTTCAGCTGGCACACAACTATTGCTGCAGATCAGAAATAAAGACCATATAGTGACAATCTTCAATTCTTTAGCTATGAAGTACTACAGGGTGAGGAAGCTGATGAGGCCTTCTACAGGCAGCTGAGAGCGGCCTCACAGTCACAGGCCATGGTTATCGTGGGGGATTTTAACTTCCCTGATGTTTGCTGGAAGGACCACTCAGCAACCCAGCCACAGTCCAGGAGGTTCCTCCAGTGCATGGATGATAACTTCCTCTTGCAAATGGTGGATGAGCCAACCAGGAGAGGAGCGCTGCTGGATCTCATCCTCACTAACAAGGAGGATCCGGTTGAAGCAGTAAGGGTTGAGGGCTGCCTTGGCTGCAGCGACCACGAGATAGTGGAATTCAGGATCTTGTGTGGTAGGACCAGTAGAATAGCAAGTAGAATTGCAACCCTGGACTTTAGCAGGGCAAACTTTGGCCTTTTCAAGCAATTGCTAGGGGAAATCCCATGGGCAAGGCTGCTTGAAGGTAAAGGGGCCCAAGATAGTTGGTTGGCATTCAAGGATTGCTTTTTCCGAGCTCAAGATCAGAGCATCCTGGCACGTAGGAAGTCAAGGAAGAGGGCCAGGAGACCTGCGTGGCTAAATAGGGAATTGCTGGGTATGCTCAAGTGGAAGAGGAGAGTTTACAGGTCATGGAAGGAGGGGCTGGCCACTTGGGAGGAATATAAGGCTGCTGCTAGAGGATGTAGGAAGGCAGCTAGGATGACTAAGGCCTCCTTAGAATTAAATCTGGCGAGAGGGGTCAAGGACAGCAGAAAGAGCTTTTTCAAATACATGGCAGATAAAACTAACACCAGAGGCAATGTAGGCCCACTGATGAACGGGATGGGTGCCCTGGTGACAGAAGATACGGAGATGGCAGAGTTACTGAATGCCTTCTTTGTCTCTGTCTACTCTGCCGGAGGCAGTCCTGAAGAGTCCTTTACCCCTGAGACCTCAGATGAAGTCAGGTCAACGGAGCGGTTTGCCTTAGTCAATGAGGAACGGGTTAGAGACCAGTTGAGCAATCTGGACATCCATAAATCCATGGGTCCAGATGGGATGCACCCACAGGTGCTGAGGGAACTGGTGGAAGTCATTGCTAGACCACTCTCCATCATCTTTACCAAGCCTTGGGAAACGGGAGAGGTGCCTGAGGACTGGAGGAAAGCAAATGTCACTCCAGTCTTCGAAAAGGGCAAGAAGGACGACCTGGGTAACTATAGACCAGTCAGCCTCACCTCCATCCCTGGGAAAGTGATGGAACACCTTATCCTTGGTGCCATCTTAAGGCATATCAAGGATAAGAGGGTTATGAGGGGCAGTCAACATGGCTTCACCAAGGGGAAGTCATGCTTGACCAATCTCATAGCCTTTTATGAGGAAATAACACGGTGGATGGATGATGGCAGAGCGGTGGATGTGGTCTACCTTGACTTCAGCAAAGCATTTGACACAGTCTCCCACAGCATCCGCACAGCCAAATTGAGGAAGTGTGGTCTGGATGATCAGGTAGTGAGGTGGACTGTGAACTGGCTGAAGGAGAGAAGCCAGAGAGTTGTAGTCTATGGGGCGGAGTCTAGTTGGAGGCCTGTATCTAGTGGAGTGCCTCAAGGGTCAGTACTGGGACCAGTATTATTTAATATATTCATCAACGATTTAGATGAGGGAATTGAGTGTACTATCAGCAAGTTTGCTGATGACACTAAGCTGGGAGGAGTGGCTGACACGCCAGAAGGCTGTGCTGCCATCCAGCGAGACCTGGACACGTTGGAGAGTTGGGCAGGGAATAACTTGATGAAATATAACAAGGGAAAGTGTAGAGTCCTGCACCTGGGCAGGAACAACCCCAGGTTCCAGTATAGGTTGGGAAGCGACCAGTTAGAGAGCAGTATAGGGGAGAGGGACCTGGGGGTCCTAGTGGACGACAGGATGACCATGAGCCAACACTGTGCCCTTGTGGCCAAGACGGCCAAAGGCATCCTGGGGTGTATTAGAAGGGGGGTGGTTAGTAGGTCGAGAGAGGTCCTCCTTCCCCTGTACTCTGCCCTGGTGAGACCGCATCTGTAATATTATGTCCAGTTCTGGGCCACTCAGTTCAAGAAGGACAGGGAGCTGCTGGAGAGAGTCCAGCGCAGGGCAACTAAGATGATTAAGGGAGTGGAGCATCTCCCTTATAAGGAAAGACTGAGGGAGCTGGGTCTCTA